CAATCTGAATATATAGAATGTTTTAACTTTTCATTGATGCGCTGATGATAACAAGCACTAACTCTGCTTCGCGAGGCTGCTTTCGCTAATTATAGCTTTGATAAGCGATGTTATACTAGGAAAATTACGTCACAATCTAGCGGACAAACACCTCCTTACTATTATACCCTGGGAGGTACCTTTATCGCGATTTTTTTCATCATTATGATCGTTGCAACAGAAAACGAAAATGACTGAAGAAATAAGTGTTTCTTCTTGCAATGTTCCGGTGACGAAAAGAATGCAAGAAATTTTCTTAACGTCAGACATTCTCCATCCAGCGCTCGGGATGTCTAAGCGTAACATTTGAGTGAGAAATGTGGAGCAGCCCTTGACCCGCCCAGTTATAAACAGGTCTCTCATAAAGGACTGGAAAAAGGTTTTGGGCTTGTAAGGGCCAGGGATTAAATATTCTTTTGTCTACTTAGACGTGCAAACGAGGCTTGCCTCGTATTAATGTCAAGACATTGGTAAATGTTATGAACACCTCCTCGAACCAGGTCATGAACAGTGCAGTCCCAAAAGCCGAATTTTGGAAATGATCAGTCACGACTACTTTTGCTCAGTCGTGGAACCAACCTTCAAGTGAGGGCGAATTTTTTCCCAGAGGGTTTTTTCCAGCTAGCTCTTTCCCTTGAGCGAGAAGAGGGGCGAGTAAAAGAGAGGACGCTGGGAACCAGGTTACTTTGGTCTCTCTTTAGTCTCTCTGCTGGCTAGTGGCAAATAAGAAATGCAGAGAGATGTTTTAGGGGCTTGACTTCCTTAACTAGAGTACACTCGTAATGGTGACAGAGCAAAAAAAGTCACAAAAAATGTCAAGTTTCGTGTCGTAAAATCATATGAAATAAATCCTACCATGCAAACGACCTGCAAAAGATGCTTCATTTGAATGGTAACACCATAGGATTTCGTCCCCAGATTCAAAGAGTTGTAAAAGACGAATTATCTAATTATTACTAGCTAGGATTGTTTTTGTGACTTTGACACAAAAAGCTTAGGGAAATCGAGACATGATGTCCATAATAATAACAATTTGCTTGTTGTAGTTCGGGAGGTAAACTCACAGAAGTTGATTCTGGAACCCAGCCTGTGTCGCAACCCATAATAATACCAAAAGTTGTCATAAACGGAGTGAGTGCAGATGAACAACCAGAAGTGAAAGACGAACATGATAAAGATTCAGATGCCGGAAGTGTGTACGACGGAAGTGTCTATGGTACTGGCAGTTACCAGGACTCGACAGAAGACCTGTCTAGCAAAGGGCACATCGATCTTCATTTGAAGTAAGTGATTTATTTGCTTGTGAGGAAGCTCATTTCGGTATTATGGGAAGGAGAGGCGTGTTAAAAAATTTGCTTGGCACGCTCAAACTCTCCTTTAGGCTTGATAGATGGCGGGATTAATCACCTTGAAGTGGGTACTCCGCCCCGAGGTCCAACCCCTTACCCTGTTTATACACCATTTTTGACTGAAAAGGTACCCATTTCGTATACCTTTTATTGACTAATTGCTGTGAATGTGCCGTCTTTTAAATATAAATAGATCACTAAAACAGAAATTTTTCTTGTCAATTTCTCAGTCATAAAGCCGCGAAAAGAATGACAAGAGTCAATATGGAGTGAATATATTTTACAGGATATTTTTTTTTCTGAAATCATCCACCCCTCTTTCTCTCAAAAGTTAAATGGTCGGCTCCTTAGTGCGTAATTTAGCCCACCCACCCCTCCCTCCTTCCCGATCTTTTCAATTCATCTCTCGAAATGACGTTACCTTCTGGTCGTTCAGGGGCGGATATAGGGGGAGGGTGCAGGGGGTGCGCCCCCTCCCTTGAGATGACCTGCGGTTTTCTAATACAACTGGTATACTGCAATAAAAAAAAAAAAAAGAAAAAACTATGTGGTGTATTGGTGTTGAAGTAGAGCAAGAGACGAGTGCACCCCCTCCTAAAAAAAATCCTGGATCCGCCCCTGTCGTTTTAGCGAAAATTCTTTATGTTCAAAAACTAAAATGAAAATAGAACACCACCTAAATTTTTCTTTGCTGAGTTTTTTTTTCTGTCATTCCTTTCAGCAAGCTTTTACCTCCGCTTGTTTTCATGCAGGTATAGCCTTTTAAAGAACCGTCTTTACGTCACTGTTAAAAGCTTCAAAGATCTTGTGTCACCTGACCCGCCCAGCAAGACCAATCCGCTAGTCCGTCTGTACTTGCTGCCAGACCGTTCCAAACGCACCCGGCGAGTTACCAAGGAGCTGTCGGGAACCTTAAACGGAGTGTTGAACGAGACTTTTGAGTACATCGTTGGCCTTGATCAGCTACGAACCATGCAGATAGATGTCGCTGTAAAGAGTGATCGAGGATTCAAAATTGGGCGAGCACGGAATCATTTAATTGGGACAGCAGTTGTGGATTTGTCTCAAAAGGCACTTTCTGACGGCTGTGACGTCACTTGCGAGTTGAGAAAGTTTAGCCTTACGTTTTGACCAGACACTAACAGGGTCTTGTTGGACTTTAGTAATAGCTGAATTTTAACATCTTACCTTAAACTTGTGAAAAGGCAAAATTCTACGGGGCTGTCATTAATTAGGGTGGCTGGGGGGTGGGGAGGGGGTGCAAAATATTCTTAACAGGGAAAGGAGCCTATCACCCGTCGGGGAATAAACTTTGCACTACTCACTCAATTTCGTAACCCTATTTCATTCCATGATTAGACAAAGCTTCCTTATCGCCGTAGGCAACTTTTTTCTTGCACAGGTTTTATTTCCCCTTTTTTATCTCCCCAAATTTTAAAACAGAGGCGGCCTTGTCTAAGATTTTGAAATGAAATTTCCTTAGCGCGATTCTTAAACGGGTCATGTTACTCTAGCTGCTATCTTTTTAAGAAGCTAAAACGCGTCTTCACACCAATTGAATTCAAAAAAGAATCGTTCAGTTTCTGTCGCCTCTTGTTACGGATGGCAAAGATGGACAGAAATTGAAACTTGAAAAAATTGGGCGAGTTTTTATGTTAGGCCCGCAAAAATCACCAAAACATTATTAAAATACTCCTGTGAAGTTATGAAGATTGGGGTAAAGCCACTGGCTTGGCCTTAAACAGCAACATCCTCGTGGGGTTTCTGAAAGCCAAAACCACGGCCAACGATGTTTTGGGCGGTATATCCCTCTTTTGGTTCTGAAGGTGACCTTACTATCACCCAACAGACCTTTACAATTACATTAGTTATAGAGTTATTACAGTTATTAGGTGACCACTTCGACAATCACGACGACAACGCTCTCAATTTTGGAGGCAGAGAGGTTCATTACATCATCGTTCATCGCTCAATCACAGTTCATTGCAGAATTACAGAAAATGCAGCGATGGTACTTGGTCAAAATCACAAAATCGCTTCTCGTTCGTAACTTTTAGCCGTTTAGATCGTGAGAAATTTTGAAAAAGCAACAAAATGTTGCCTAAACCCGAGAGAGGTTTGTTGTTGAAACCTCATGTGACGCATTTTATTTTCACAATAAATATATAAAAAAAGGTCATATTATAAGCTAAACAGATGTAAATCATAACTTTTGTGCACGTCTGCTATAGGTGCTTTAAACGGAAAGAAATCGATACATATTTTTTAACTTTACGAAGTTATTCACGGATTTCATGACGTGATAGTACTGATGTAGTTTATTAAAAGGACCAGAGGGGATATATTGAAAAGGTGTTTACTTTATTAAATTTATTTTACGAAAAATAAGTGGATACTCTCAATTTTCATTAAAGAGACTTTTTAGACATCTGACATTGCAATGATAAGATAATCTTTTACAAGTCAGACCTTGTCAAAAACAAAGAGCAAAGTTAAGAGCTAGGTATTGCTGTGCGCGCGTCTAAATATCCTATTGGTCGACTCCATATTATGTTATACACCTAAAGTGCACTCTTGCGACAAAGTATATACTACACCTATAAATCTTATAAATTATGATCAAAAATTGTTAAGTACACGAAAAGTGGAGAATAGTATATAACCAATTTTTGTAGATTCTTGGTCTAAAAGTGTCATATTAGAGAGGAAATTGAGACCGTTTTAGATCAGTTTCTCAGACCAGAAAGAAAAATGTAGTCCCCGAATTTTCCTCTTTGTAAAAGCGTGCCGCGAGAATGAGAGCATAACTAGATTATATTGCTGATATCGTTCTAAAAGCGTGCAATCAGTAACGCACATTTAGAGCATAATATTTTTGTCGTATGAAACCCGAGGAGTGTGCATCCGTTCCAGCCGTTTCCGGTGTAAAAATTAGCTAAATCAATCGGTCCTATGAAATAAAATTTCCCAATAAAAGGCAGTTTTCAATGTGTTTTAATATTTCTTTACATTTTAGCTTATGTGTATTTTTTTTATAGCTTTACTTTTGTTTTATAAGTGGTTCTCCGTAATACAAACCAAGGAAACCTAATTTCCGGTCGTGATTATTAGTTATTACCAAGGAATTTTCCGGAATTGGCCTTAGCTCTTTAGCTCAATGAGAAATTCACGGCTATAAGACATTTATTTTTAAAATAAAAGAAATGATAAAGGCCATTTGCAATTTGCATGTAATTTATAGGAAAAAAAAGATATATTTTTGTTCTTAATGTGTAAACTACTTCCGGTGTGAACGGAAGTTTGGCCTGGGAACTAGTAATAGGTATCTATGAGCCCGCGCGCAAATCAAAGATTAGCCGTCAAAAAGTACTCGTCAAAAGACAAACGACGGGGATTTCCACTTTTTCTGGTCGTCAAAACGTGGTTTGACTGCTGAAGAAAGTCCTACAAAAGTCAGCAGCGTAAAAGCGCTTGCCTTAGTGACTTGAATTGCTAAGGAAATACCCACAGTTTCATTTTATACAAACTGGTATTGTTGTGTTGTAGAAGGTCAATAGCGACTCACCGGCATCAGTTGTTGCGATTTCTCTCTCTCGATCGCTCGAGAGTTGAATGGCTTTTGACCAAAGCATATCCTGGTTTCAGGAGAAGGTAAGATCGTTGATTGTTGCTAGATAAAGTTAGCTAAAGTCCCTAATGGTTTTTAAATAGCCGAGTCTTAACACAATTTACTAGTTTCCTTGGAATGACAGTTCATTCAATATTTACATTCGAGCTTTGCTGAATGCTGTACTGGTCGACTTTAAAGACACCAAGTTAGATTTAACCTTGATTTAGATCGTGTCTTGGTAATAGCATGTCACTTTGCCCTTATTAAAAAGCCCCGTTATCTAGCTATAGTTTATTTCCTTCAAGAAACGCGAGGAAAAATTCTCAGCTGATTGCATGATCGTTTTGCGTTTACATTCTCAAAGTAACATACAAAAAAACAAGCCACTTAAAATCTCTATTTTCACGTCGAAAACGACAAGATACTTTTCTACAGCAAATTCTGCCGGTTTAATGGTTAAGCCGTGCATGAGCCTGGCGTTCGGATTTCGTCCTTTAATTCTTACAATTACTGGTCATGATAGCCACACGTTTTTAGACTCGGAGACAGCCCGAGAACATTTGTTATTATGCAAATATTTTCAGCTGAATTGTTTTCAACCCATATTTCCAGGTTTAACTTTTATGATTGATTATTCTGTCTAGCTTTGTGGATAATTCATCACTTAACAGAGAAAATATTTGCATACTTCGTTCAAACTTTTTTTGTCTATAAACGGCTGATAAGTTTTAAAGCATTTAAAAATTATTTCAATATTTCATTTTGTTCTTATAAATTGGAAAATGAAAATGTCTTCTGAAGAAATGCAAGGAGATTGTCTTGAAGATATTGAAAATTGGTTTTCTATATTAAAGTATTAACCTTGGGTCTTCCAGAAACTTGTCCAATACTTCATTCCTCCTACAGAATTCCTTCTTTGTAGTTGTTTTTTGAAATCTCAAATAACTATAAAAAACATCTCTGTGACTGAAGAAAGGGCTCAAATGAGAAATGAAACACATCTTAACAGCCAAATTAGTTCAAATTATATTTCACAATCCAAAAGGAATAATTTATTAAACACAATACTTGTATGTGGCTTCTAGGAAATGTATAATTAATATAGTTAACTGATTGTATGACCCCAGGAATGTATTTTGAAATTCTCCAAGGGGGATGCATTAATATGTTAACCTGCTGTTTACTCAGGGGTTTAGCCAAATGTATGTGAAATACACAGGTTGCTGTAGTATTTTGAGGCAAAATGAAATGGCGTTGCATTCCAGAGTTGGAGGGTAACCAAATTCGAGAGGAAAGATTTTTGTATTCTGTCGATGCCTGGTTCAGTGATATCTTAGATCTTACAAGTAGAATAATTTTTCACTTAAGTTGTGTGTAGCCATTGTCATAAAATTTCTTAGGCATAATCAATGGTGAAATTGGCATTTTAAATTCTGAATTCTGCCACGCATCCATCATTTTTGGAGGTAAAGGTAAAAAGAATTAGAGTGCGCTCGCTAATAATTGTTGATTAGTACTAGTTTGTTTACACAGCTTGATATTTAGTTTACTCAGATGGTTGGGCCTTTGCCAAGCAAATTGAACTTGCACTAAATTAAACATGATTGTTAATGTTGGTTAATTAACTGAATTTTGCTTTTTAATTTAATTGCACTTTTACCTATGATGATATGTGAAAAGTTTGTCTTTTCCTGCATAGGAACTTTAAAAGCTTATCACAGAGATATTGTCATCAAGTGGTTGGCATGAAGAATTTGTCTCAGTATTAGAAAGGTCTTTTTCTTGATGAAAAGTTATATTCCTTGCCAAAAACAAATGTCCCTTCCTTGACAGAATAGTTTCTTCCTTAAAAGAAAGGTCCTTCGATGAGAAGAAAGTCCCCTCCTTGATGGAAAGGTCCCTTCCTGGATGAAGAAGGTCCCTTCCCAGATAGAGAAGTCCCCTCCTTTCAAGATAGAAAGACCTCTTTCTAGCTAGAAAGGTCCCTTCGTTCCTAGATAAAAGAGGGTCCCTTTGTGGATGGAGACTGAAGTCCTTAATTCCTTGATAGAAAGGTCCCTTCCTTGATTGGAATTTTCCCTCCTCAATAGAAAGTTCCCTGCTTTGATCGTGTATGTTTTTCCTTTTCTAGCTTGGTAAATATGATAAAGCTTCATGGGAAAGAACTTTTGAGGAGCAAGAACAAGAAACTGTAAATATTTGCAATATTATTTCTGTTGTTATGTTCAAGTATTATAATGAATTTTCTCTTAGACTCACAAGCTAAAAAGATGTTACGATGAAACAACAAGAATGTACAATGAATGGGACCAGTTTGACTCTGAAAAGGCTCATTTCAATAGTGAATGAGTCAGGGTGGAGGTCGTTATCCCAGTCATCAGCTCAATGTTGTTGTGCAAAAAAGAAATCTGTGTTGTGAGGCCATCAGAGTCATGAAATGACAGCTTTGGAGCTGCAAGAACCAGAACATTTCCATTTTCTTCTGATTATGCTTACGTCTACATACATGTACTTCACTCGTGATCTTGTGAAAACTAGACTGTTTGAGTTGAAAGCGAAAGTGGAAGAAAAAAACTACTAAGTGAATTACAGTACTTGTTCCTATGCAAGCTGTGATTAAACCTATCAACAATAGATGGGTGTGGGGAAGGTGCCTGATGAAACCGAAGTGGGCTGCAAGCGAGCCTAGAAGGTAACCATGACCACCCTGAGAGGGGCACCCACCGGGCACCGTCACACTGAGAACCTCAGTGGAAAGAGTTGCAGATACTTACCAAAAAGAGCATCCAGAGAAGAGGAAGGGTTGGGGGCAAAAAACAACTGTAACTACTGCATGCAAAAGCAACGTGAGCAAAATGATTGACTCCTGTTACAGCGCTGTAAAATCACTAAGGCCCTGCTAAACCCCAAGACCGCCTCACATACAATTAGTGGTGGAGACCGCTGTGTTTAACCTCGCGTAAATTACATTTAGCCACATTTAGTTATAGAATACTAACTGTAGATACTAGATTGTGGTACCTACAATATGGTCAGTCTTACTTGTAATCAGAATTTAGTTGTCATTGACTGGTCTAGCGTCCTTCATACTTACAAATTGTGATAATTGTTTTCAGTGATCGGAAGCATTTTCCTTTTTTCAATTCCTTTCCTGAATCATGTGCTTTAATTTGTAGGGTTTTATAGATGTTCCCAAAAAGCCCGGTGGTCTGAAGCCTGAGCTTATAGATGTTGATCTTGTTATTGGTATGTGCTTAGAAAAACCTTTTAGTTAATTAATTAATGTCTACCAGTACATTGTAAGTTATTTTGATTTTGATGTAGACTGGGAAACTCTTTGTCAAGGTCATGCCTTGAATCTGTTTTCTTTTAGTTATTAAAAATAATTATTAACTTAATCATAACTACAATGTATAACAAAATTCGCAAATCCGATTGGCTATCAACTGTCCTGATTTCAGTACTAATAGGACAGTGTAATAGGACAGTACGTGTCATGCCTAAGTGACTGGACAGTACTGGCAATCGCACGCTCTCACTGACTTAAATGACTTTTTTCACTTCTAACAAAAAAACTCTGGGAGTTTCTTATGTTTACATAAAAAAAAGCCTAAAATACCACAAGTTTTGTTATAGTTAAGATTAAACAAATTGGACTCTCACTACGTGGTCGTCTGATTTCGTCAATCACTCGTATGACTACAGACTGAATTGGACTCCACTCAGTCCTATTAACATTATTTATTTTCTTGCAGGCTCCACATTCCCCAAGACAAAACCAGTTCACACTTGGTCAGCTGTCACCCAGAAAGGTGTAATCCGAGTTCTACTCTTCCCTTTCTTTCGATCATGGTAAGGCAACCAATATATTTAAGAACATTTTACTGTGATCAGAATCTAATTTCTCCTTATGATTATCACTGTAAATCAAACATGAAGGTTGTGAGAATGACAAGGAAATGTTCATCAACAATAAAAGTCTGGTGATTTTTTATTACTAGTTCTCATTCTAAAAACAAGTGCCATGAAATGCATTGAGATCAGTGTAGACCCTAGCCTAACATTATGGATTTCCATGATTTTACTCCATGATCTTACCCAAGCCTTTTGGATTTGCAGCCTGTTAATAGAATCCTGTGCAAGTAGGAAAAAGTTATTGAGGATGCACATTATTAAAATTTGGCCGTGATCAGAGGATAATATATGGAGTGGTTTTATTACAAGGCAGTTACCAGCCATATAAAGAATAAATAAATCCATTGGCAGCTGCTTGTAAACCAGCCTTTTTCTTGTTTTTTTCAATGTTTACCATTTCCTGCTAAAATTGTGTATGGCCATAATAGTACTTAAGTTGGGTGGCTCTTAAAGCATTTATACTTGAAAAGTCATTGAAATCCACACATTAAGTGCAAATATAATGTGTTTAATACATTTGTAGACATTACACTGCACGGTGCTTAACTGTTTTCTTTCTCTATTTCTCTTGTTTCAGGTGGACCCAGCAACTGTCACCCAGATTGTGGTTCCTGTTCTTGTTTTTGTATTTATGTGAAATTCTGGTGCTTGTTATTTATTTGAGAGAATGGGAATCTCATTGGAAAGTAAGTAATTTAGTAGCATATTGATGTACTTTACTTTGATCCCTGTGGGTGTAGGTGAGAGTAGTTAATGGTATTCTTGGTATTCTTGCTAGCCTGTACCACAGGTGGAACAAAACTTCTGGTTAAGTCTGTCTTCAACTACGTGCCAAAATCCTTGTTCTGGGCCTCCATCTGTGTAGTGGAATTTGACTTGGCACCATGACTGGCCTGTTAAAAATTATGCGGTTGTCATTTTGCCAATCAATCGATTTCCCAGAACAAGGATTATACTAACAGGGGTTGATTATGACGCTCGGATGCAAGTTATATCCTTGCGTGCTCTCACAAAAATTTTAGGATGTGTTGTTAGTAGGATCTGTTTTGTCTACATGTACCTCATTCCCCAAAAAATAACTGCTGTTTTTTTCTTTTGAGGTTGTAACATGGTCAGAGGCTTGTGGACCAGCTTTGGTAAGAGTTTTATCATTATAAATTTGCCCACCCCCAAAGGGATGATCATTTACTATAAAGCAAGCTTCAGTAAAGATTGGACACAATCAGCATATCTCCTTTCCGTTGCATCTAATTTGTGTGTTATTCACTTTTCTCTGACCAGTGCATTGCCCCGCCTTATATACCCTCAATTTAATTCTTTATCTGTTTTTTACTTATTTGAAAAAATGTCAATTGTTACTCTACACCCAGGAACAAAGTCACAATTGGAATCAGACTACTCTTTTCACTTGATCATACAGTAACGCTTTACGCTTCTTTGTTAGTGAAAACCAGCCTTTTAAAACTGCTTTGCTACACTGCTTTCTCAGATAGTCTGTGATAAAAATAAATAATAATTCTGTTTTATTTTTTAGATCATGGTGATGTTAGGGGTGTTGTATATGTACATGGTCTCTACAGACTACTCTAGTTCTTCCGGGAGAAGAAAAGTCAAAAGTATCAACAGAAGGTATAAAGCCGAGTTTGTATCTAAGCTTGTGTAGTCAAATGACAATAGAGCGGTTTTCACTTGACTGTCCAAAGGGATTGGTTTTGGTTTTGGTTTTGGTTTTACTACGCCCTTTGGTTGGCTAGTGTATTTACTTTGGTTTTGGTTTTATGACAGTCAAGTGAAAACCGCTCTATCAAACTCTTACTAACAGCCACCTGTTTATGTAGTCAAACGACAATATCAAACCCTTACTAACAGCCACCTGTTCAAAACAGTCACATTTTTCATTGCAGCAGAGGGATTTACTCTTGTTTAACTGGAAAAAAACAGATACGATGAGCAGATGCGAATAGCTGAAGGAATAGACAAGTTCGTATTAATACTTGAGACAGCGATAATATCTTAGCTGTTGAAGCTGATAGAATTCCCCAGTGGAAGGTGGTGGCCCCCTCCATACTAACCCCCACATATGTGGTTTTGTCATGTGAAAGTTTCTCCAACATGCCTTTCAGTAATCTTTTGTTGCCTACTATTATTTTTTCTCCTCCTGCTTTCAATTTTCTGGGGAACCATGTTTCCTCCCAAGAAGAGCGCCATGGACACAAAAAATGCTTAGAATCCCCGGTAGGCAACAAGTCAAATTTCCAGTTTTTGGTAGTTGCTCACATGTACAATGCATTTATTTATTTATAACATTTTTGCTCTCTCATCTACTCATATATTTAATCTCTGCTTTACAGAGGAAGAGCAGCTGCCAGACAGAAGAGAAAAGGCAGCGGACAAGAAAATGGAGGAACAGTATCGCATAACGGGCTGATCATAAATGGTGTGCGGCAAAGAAAAACTCAGCAAGCTGCTGAATCAGGGCCTGGTAAAGGCTATTTTTTTGTGTCTACTAAAATTATCATAAACAGTTTCATCATCCTACCTCTAGGGCCATGACCTAAGTTTGTAGTAGCCTGTTCCAGGGTCCGAGATAGTCGGGTCGCGAAATTGAGAGAGCGCGAACGCGAAAATAAAACGGGAGGAAACTTTGGATCAATTTAGGTGTCTGGGAAACTGCCCACCAACCCCTCCCCTAAGCTAACACAAACACTTAGTTCTCAAAACGATGGCTTAGGGGAGGGGTAGGTGGGCAGTTTCCCTGAAACCTAAATTGGTCCGAAACGTTTTCATGTGCCTTACGCTCGCATCTCTTCTATCTGAGAGTTTGGAACGGCCGAAGTTGGTAGAGTGGTGAAACTCTGATGCTGTTTTTTAAGTGAGACAAAAGAGAAACCTAAAGAATATACGGGCTGTATAGGCCAGCCACCGCTCTGTTTTAGAACCCTGTTTTAAAAAATAGACAGAAAACATGCATGCTTGGCTATTTCTTCACGCAAGAAATGAAAACCTTGTTCTGGGCATTTTGGCGTAAAATTTTATCTGAGGTTCAAGACAGACAGGCCAAAAAACGGAAAAGCTATACCCTCTCCCGACTCCGAGCATCATGTACCCACAACGGCCTGCCCCACTTTCCCCACTAGATTCTACAATACATGTAGATCGGTGCTGCATATTACAATAAGTTATCAGACTTTTAATTTCTGATGAAAGCTTTACCCATCACTGATGAAATTGTACTTGCCGTTAGGCATAAATATGACTGTACAGATCAAAGACCAGAGACTTTCATTTTGAAGACACACTTTTGTATTGTTACCAGTGTGCGATAACAAGTATAACAGTGAAGCAGTGGAAAACATTGAACAAGAGAATGCAAAGGATGCGGACAACGATAAAACAGAAGAAGAAATGAGCGAAAGCGGAGAAACAACATCATCTACAACGGAGAGTGATGTGTCTGATGTTGAAATGGATAGTAACAATGAAGACCCGTTTGCTTGGGATAAACAGGTATGGCGCTAGTGTTTATTTTTTCACCGGTCATTTCGTCCCCGGTTACCGGTCATTTCGCCCCCGGTTACTTAGCGCCCTATTTGGCTTCTGGATATCTAATGAAAACACTGCGTTCCGCGACACGACCTAGCTAAGTCGGTAAAGCGCTTGACTGCAGAGCACGAGGTCGCGAGCTCGATTTCCGGAGCTGGGTCAATACTTAAGGCCCTACAATAACTGAGAACTGAAGGCATTGTCTTTGCCCTGTAATTACATCATTACTCGCGTGTTCGCGTGGCTCGGATGACTACATAAAATGGTGGTCCCTTTTAAATAGGGGGCATAAAAAATAGTGTACTTAATTAGTACTTTCGGGCCAAATGTATCGAAACTCAAATGAATTGCGGATTAAATTGCGGTACTAAATAAACGGGTTACCGGTCATTTCGCCCTAAAGTCATTTCGCTACAGGTTACTTAGCCCTATTTTAGAACGAGGAATATCATATTTGAAGCGTGCTTGTTTTGGTTTATGGCTTAGAGAACAAGGAATATTACATTCGAAGCGCGTTTGTTTGCTTTTTGGCTTATAGAATGAGGAACATTACATTTTGAAGCGCGCTAAACGACTAGAAAATAGTGGGTTGAAAGAAGGAGTTGAAGTCATTTCTAGGCCGATCTTGAGTTGTTTGGTTATTTGGTGAAACACTGTTTGAAGTGTTTGGTCTGGTGGTAACTGAGTATATATCCGTGTTAATAATAGCATAATCAATACAAGTTGTATTGCACTTCAGATGAATGGATCTCTTGGATTGGAAGAACACCCGACCCCTCCACCAACTGCAGAAAAAGGTAACATACAGCTTGAACTTTACCTTAAAAACTGTAAAAACCCAGGACTTATTACGGTGATTCTAGGGTATCGTATGACACCAGGGGCTCCTGAGGACACCGAGTCGTGTGCCAACCACGACAACAACGGCAGTAAGAAAGTTAGAAATCAGTTGGTATTATCTGCTCGTGCATCACACTTTTTGGTTCATTTCTGTGACGTAACTGCACGACTACGACGTGAGGACGTGAACATACGACGACGATTTTTTCCTCTCTCTCTTTGAAACTGGACACAGTCCGTAAGAATTCTAACCGCTGAAAAATTCAAGCTGAACCCACCCTCGATGAATTGAGCGAGGATTAAAAAAAGCGATAAAGTTGGAAGAGGCGCAAGTGAAGTGTGCTTTGCTGTCGATGCTAAGTTTTCTCAGACTCCCTAAAGCAAACTAAATCATCATTCGTTATCACTGATATTATACTTTTCAGTTATGGTTTCAATCTGGGAAGGAAATCAATGTAAAAAAGCTCAGTTGACTCTCATGGAAATAAGCACTGCCATTAAGAATAAAGTGGTAAGTCTGTCAAGATGCGGTGGATTTTCTTTTTTGTCTTTTCCTCTCAAGCAAAAATATTTGTGAGCGTTCCACGTCAACCGGAACTGAAGCCATGAAGCTGCCAAATTTGTCTTGCTAAGTTTCTTTACTCTTATAGAAACAATTTGCCGGTAATTTCCGATAAAACCACTGCCCAAGAACGCAAAACGACCACTTCCGGTTGACGCGCGTTGCTCAAAAACGTCCTATTATTTAGTTCAAACTCCTGTATGTTGCTCTTTTCCAGGATACCCACAAAAGCCACACTGGTTACGCGCAGTTTGCAATTGTGGTCTCTGTGTTGCTGGCATTTATACCGTTACTCTTTCGGCTTTACAATACAACTGTAAGTATGATAATATTTTCTGCTTTTGGATCAAGTTACATGAAATCTCGTTTTTTTGGGAGAGCATTCGGTTCTTTTCTAGTCGTATTAGGATTTTATTAAGGTTTATGTTTACTTTTGAACCTCACCACAATGGCCAGCTTGGAGACAGCAAAAGTGGCCGTTGTAAAAGGGTGGCGGTTACGGGGAGGTAGGGGTGTGAAATGACAGCTGTCTTTTTTCCTGGGAGCACAACATGTTTATTGTGTCAAGTTCGTGCTTTCTATTAGCTGTTCTTAACTGACTCTCAGCCTGAGGTATGTTCTAAGTTAGCCTGTTCCAGGCTCCGAGATAATCGGACCCGCTGATTTGAGAAAGCGCGTAGACTAAAATAAAACGGAAGGAAACTGGAAAGAGCTTTTACGCCCCGCCAACTTTTCGCGTGCCTTTTACTTCCGCGTCTTCCCCGCTATCTGAGAGCCTGGAACAGGATAGTTCTAAGTATGTTCTTAAAATGGTTTTTACAAAGAAGTACTGCATTTACGCGCCATACGGATCAAATCTATTTCGTCGGTCACTGATAAAAAATGGCCATTGTCAAGAGGTTATTTTGGCATTTGATGACGTGCTTTAGTGGCCGTTGCATTGTAGAGAGGTTTAAACAAGAGTCAATGTATGGACTGTCCGCCGGGTCAAAAGAAGGCGGCCGTTCATTAGTGGAGGTTCGACTTTATTAAATATTTTCTCTTTGTACCAGGGAAAGCTCGGAAACCTTTGGAGAAGTAATACTCCAGAACTCTTGTGTACAATGTTTGGATATACAGTTTGGTGAGTGCCGGTTTAATTGATTTGGTTTCTGATTGTTTCGCAGCCTTGTCTCTTAGGCAACCGTTGCTTGTGTCGTCACGCAACCCTCTTTCCCACAAGTGAGGAGGAGCGTTGCGTCACGACACAAAGGACGGCTTCGATGACTCATAACCCTGCTTATAAGATGACTTATGCTGAAAGTCAAAAGTCTTAATTTGATTCAACCAGATGCTAGGAGATGAGCAGGAAAAAAATATACTTAGACCTGTACGTAGTCAGTAAAAACTATCGACCAACTAGTTGCTCTTCATCTCCCGGACGGAGATTGAAGAACGCCATGCTTGTCAGGTATAGGTTCCTTGATGGCTGACCAGGCCTACGGGGCGTTTCCTCTTTCTTTTCGATTCTTGTTCTGTTGTAGAGTTCCACAAAACAGCAAACATTACTGGCTAGTAAATATGACTTATAAGGTCTTATAATCCCATTGTCTTGTCAGCAACGTGGTATGGACCTGTATTTACTGTAGCTTTATTTCTCAGCACTTGTTCCAGAGTTCCCCCTTAAGACTCGCCTAATTGTAGCTATTCAGCAGTTAGTCTGTCTGGCAAATGTAGGAATCAAACCAGAGCTTTACCCAGGCTCTTTCTACCTGCTGAAAACGTGATCAATCTCAATATTCCAGCTAACATATATCCTTTGTTTTTCAGGTCTCGTGTTATTGTTGTTGTCAGCATGTTGGAGAGATTCTTCCTGAGTTTCTCGTTTTTCTTCTTGCTGTGCGTTGCAGAAAAATCTTACCGAGAGGTGAGAAGTCATACAACATGACCTTGATTCTCTCCCCCAAGTTGCTCACTATTTGTCACCCCACTTTGTCACCCCGCTTGACCCTTCGCTGATCTTATCCGCTATTTCTCCAACTGCATTTAAGTCTCCTATTTTGGGGGGACCGGGTTGGGGGGGAAGGGGGCTGAAATGTTTTATGGCAGAAAAAAATGAATCTATAAATAACCCTAAAATTGCTTTTTCCCAGTCCTAATGAGAGATGAACGCTTTGGATCGATCTAGTTTCCAGGATCTCTTTCAGGGAGACCCTCGAGATTAGCTTCGAGCTACAACCAGTTGCAAAAATGATGAGACACTCCCCCGGAAAAACGACCTTTCTTGCTTCAAATCGCTCCTGGTCACAGGTCTGTAAAATATAATACTGACCTCCCTCCTCCCTCCCATTCAAAGTTGTTCCTCCAAGTTTTGAGTATGGTCTTGTATTGCTAGCAACTTTGATAAGGGGTGGAGGGGGGATCACAAGCACAAGATCATGGACAGGCCATTTATGCCAAAATACGGTACAGTGTCTCAAGTACTTTTGCAACTGGTTGTCTCATTTAAGGCTTACTTCAACAAGCGATTTCCAAGTCTTAAATTCCCAAAACGAAGACTATAGCGACATAAAGAAATAGAATGGCACTTTGTGTTGCTTTTCCCAGCCGATACATCATTGTCATTGATAGCAAACTGCCTAAAAGAGCGCTTAAGAATGTAGTGACTTGTAAATTTTGCCTCAGTTTTGTTGTGACGCATGCGCCGTTATCTACCGTGACATAGCTTAAAGTTTCGGCGTTGTAATTAAACTCTGAGAAGCGCGAATGCATAATAACAGCATAATTTTCCTTTTCTTGGTATTTAGAGATACTATAGTTGCGAATAAAGCTGCCAAACCTTCATTTTCACCCCTGTATCTGTAACGCAATGACATTTGATATGCAATGGCTTTATGTCATCGGTATACCGCGTGACTTATTTTTCAACATCGCTGTTAAAGTAAAACCGTTCAGTTTTTTTCATCTACTACGGTGAAAATAAAATGGTTATTAAAGTCCGTTAGAGCTAGAGAGCAGAAAAAGTTGTGTGCTATGTTAATTTCTATTTTCTGACGGTCTACCATCATCCACGGTCTACCATTCTGCAACAGTAAGAAATAGAATATATTAATATATTTATCTCATATGATGGTAGACCGTGTAGACCGTGTAGACCGTTGAAGCACGTACATTGCTGACATTGCTGTGCTGGAAAATTGCTTTTCTTGGGGATAGTGTCTTCCTTTTTGCAAAGAAATTAATTTCCTTACCAAGTACAGAACTACAAAGCCACGTTATATGCGAGCTCTCGCGACTATGTTACTGAAATACGCGCGTGAATTTTCATTATCTGATGCCTAGCCACACTCGGGCTTTAAAATCGAAACAAAGTCGTAAGACGACCAAAGAGTAAACACAAATCCAAACTTGTGTTAAGTAAAGTAAAGTCGACAACAGCTGCTTTTTAGCGTAACTTTTCTTTCCTGTAAATGGCAGGCGATAAAAGAGGAACCACGTCCACGTACTTATCGGAAACAACAACAAAAAGCTATCTCCTTGATCTAGCGGGGCATCTTACGTCACTTTCCTTCCATAAATAAACATCTTTTAACCGAGTTCGAAGAAAATATATTATTTTTCGCATCTCTGTAGCGTTTTAGGACCAAAAACCCCTTTCGTTACAGCTTACTTAAGATGGTGTGGCATCTTTTGCCACGTGCTTCCTTTAAAAGCCCAATTTCTCGCATATTACCACATAAACAAAAGGGCCAACAACTGCCGTTTTTGTCTCGCCATTTTTAAACAGGCAAACCGACAAAAATGAAATACTGTTTTTTATAACCACCTCCTTAGGTGCTAAGAGTGCACCACGTTTTACCCCGTTTAATAATCGTGCACCACGGCTATAGGGGTATGAAGGACTCAGACAACCAGTTGCAAAAATGATGAGACACTCCCCCGGAAAAACGACCTTTCTTGCTTCAAATCGCTCCTGGTCACAGGTCTGTAAAATATAATACTGACCTCCCTCCTCCCTCCCATTCAAAGTTGTTCCTCCAAGTTTTGAGTATGGTCTTGTATTGCTAGCAACTTTGATAAGGGGTGGAGGGGGGATCACAAGCACAAGATCATGGACAGGCCATTTATGCCAAAATACGGTACAGTGTCTCAAGTACTTTTGCAACTGGTTGTAGCTTACTTATGAGGGCTGTATGAATTTTTTTTGTCATATTTATAACCTAAATCCCGACCCAGCGATCATCATCTTATTTTTCGTTTCGTTTCAGCGTTGCCTGTATGCCAAGTTGTTTGGCTGGTTGACCTCGTCAAGAAAGTCTCGCCGTGCTGGTCTGCCTCACTTTCGTCTCCATAAAGTGCGAAATATAAAGACATGGTTGTCTCTTAGATCCTTACTAAAGGTAATTATAAACAATGTTTTCTTTCCAGAATGCACGTATCAAAACAAAATGCTAGAAAGACGATAAAAGTAACATTTTTTAAATATTTTTATCAGAGACGAGGTCCTCAAAGGTCTGTAGACATGATTGTGTCATCATCTTTCATCCTTGGAATGATTTTAGTGATACTGATGTGTGTTCAGGTAAGTAAAGTATCTGCCATTTTTTGAGCGTGTAGTGCGTTTAATTTTTATACAGTCGAACCTCCATGTGCGACTACCTCCCTTAAGCGACCACCTCCCATAAGCGACCGCCTATCCAGAACACTAAAAATTTCCCAGTCAAAGACTCGCAGTTGGAATCTCTAGTAAACGACCACCTCCTGTAAGCGACCGTGACCACTTTTCGGGCCTGAAAGTTTTAATTTCCAATAGAGTACCGAAGTGTGACGTCATAGAAAATGAAATTTGTGAAATTATGGGATTTGTTAAGATATTCCGAAAGAACAACGTCCAAGACGCCTACTCGCCAAAAATTAGCAATTTGGGGCAGATTGTCTCTGAGATATTAACCCAGGTATGCTCCGATGACTCCATACAAATCCTTCTAAATCTTGCCTGGTTCCTAATCTTATGAAACAAGCCAAATTTAGAAGGATTTGTATAGAGTCGTCACAGCATAATTGGGCTAATATCTCAGAGACAATTTGCCCCGAATTGCTAATTTTTGGCGAGTAGGTGTCTTGGACGTTGTTCTTTCAGAATATCTTAACAAATCCCATAATTTCACAAATTTCATTTTTATGACGTCATCACTTCGGTACTCTATTGTTTTCACCTCTTGTAAGCCACCACTTGACGTCTTCTCTGATCTCGATCTCGCTGTGTGCACTATGATACTTAGAATATACGAAGAACTTTAGTGACAACACGGAGCAACACATGGCGTAACTTAGAAATTAGAATTATCTTCCATAAAGTAGATGTACGGGGGCCTCTTTTTGGAAGAGGCCCCCTGTGGTTCGATTCTTGGAAGCGATTATCTCCCCTAACCGAGAACTAAGTCTTTGCATTTTGGGTGGTCGCTTACGGTAGATTCGACTGTATATGAAATGGTTTCAATCGTAAGCCTCGAGAAAAGTGGTCTTTCTAATCTGTAGGCGCGTTAAAACAAACACAAAACGAGCCAAAATTAGTTACAACTATGTAAAAAAAAATTAAAAGGCATTAGATATCCGTTAAAGATTCCCCAAGGGCGCAAGGAAATCGAAACGAGATAACGTGATAGTTTTCTTTTCCAGTCGGTCCGATGAATTGACTAAAAATACATTAATTGAGTTTGAGAGCAGATTAGTTGAAAGATTTTTCGTCTGCTTTAATTGGCCTTAAGATTCGATTTTACATTCAACGCCGCAATTGCACCAATAGAGACTAGTGCGGACTTAAACGGCTGTGGAAGTTAAGGTAGACCGCGAGCGGTCGTCCTTTTTTTCTCAAAGCCACGCTTAGGGAGCGAAAAGTTAAAATTAGGTAAATTTATGGTAAAAAGGAATATAGATTGGGGTGGAGATAGAAGAGAGGTGCTCCCGATCTACTGTGACTCAAAAGGAAAATATGAGACCGCTCGCTGTCTCAAGATAAGATGATTTCTCAATTAGAATGAGCGTGAAAGCGGCAAAAGCGATCGAAAATAGTGAAGGCGTTTCTGTAACCAGAAGGGAGGAGCTCATCCAGGTTTTTGTTTTCTTGTAGCTCATAAAAGGAAACGAAAAGGAGAGATTTCTGTCCATACTATTTAACTGGGAAGTATCAATATGGTGAGTAATATACCGTAAAATTCCGAAAATGAGCCCTTTAATAATGTGTTATCCAAATAAAACTTGCTGATTATAATAAAAGTAACAACAACAACAACAACAACAATAATAATGCTACCACTACTACTACAAATAATAATAATTTGTGCTTATTAATGTTAAGTTGTCTGTGTTTATGTTTTGTGGTTACTTAATGGGCTTTTTCATTGCAGGTGTCTTGTGTTATCAGTATATGTTCTGCGTTTCATGACCTTGGGTTCAAAAATCAACAGTAAATTCACCAACACCTCGGGGCTACTCACAGAACAGGTGAGCAAAAGCGAAATCCCTTTTTATCATGGTAGTGGAAAACGTATGGCTACCCCGCCGGTACCTAGGAGAGGTCAGCTCCCCCCCCTTCTGGGTAGGGGGCACTTGATGATACTTTGGGTAGAGGTGTGCCGCCAAGGCCTTCATAGCGTGCGAGCAAGCTCTCCGGGGCGCTGTGGCGGCGGGGCGGGGAAATCAAGGAGATCTTGCAACTACTTCTCGGGAATTTGAATATCTGCATCGAAAAAGTCGATGCGAAATGCTGATTGACTGAGATGACATTAGTAATGATTAACCTTGGCACGTGTTTTTCAATGTTTGTTTACATTCGCGTTCGTTTCCACTTCGCGCTGATGGGCGGAAATCTTACAGCTCAGTCGTAGGGGAGCCACAGGGGAATTGGTGGTGGAATTCAAATTCCAGAGACTTAGTTGCAACAGGAGCAAGCTCTCCTTCCTTTTCCGGCGCCGCCACCAGAGCGCTCCGGAGAGCTTGCTCGCAGGCTAGCCAAGGCCTTCAAACCCTAACTTTATTCAAGAAAGAATCGTTCCTTTCGCTACACTATTTCAAGGCGAGAGACCGTATCTTATGGCCCTAATTCACTTCGTCTTGCATAAAGATGTTAAGTTTTTTTTTTCTCAAACTAACATCATAAAATTAGGTTTGTTTGGAAAAAAAGGCGGCACCACAAATGTAGACCGCACAACACCAGTCTTCAGACTCTTTTAAAGGCTTTCAGTCCAAAAAGACAACCTCTCAGAGACCCTAAAAAGTGAAAGTTTTATACCTTGTTTAATACTCAAGACCCTGACCACCATACCCTTTTAAGCGGCACAAACCCGTTTAGACAAGGGAGCTCTCCCCCGGGAGGTCAACTAAACTAACGTGGTATTATGATGTAACCTGACGTACTGTTATGGCGCAGAAAGAGAGCTCACGCTCTCAGCCCAGAGCTCACTGTCGCCACGTAACCAAGAATGCAGTAACGACGGTGCGTTTAGAACTAAAAACTGTTTTGACCAATAGTCTGAGTGGCAAATTCAGTGAGCACTCTTACAATCATTTCATGAGGAAATTAAGTGAAGTTTTTTTCTCTTTACAGATCAACCTTTATCTTCAGATGGAAAAAGCTCCGCACAAAAAAGAAGATTTGACGATTGCAAACCACGTTCTTAAGTTAGCCACCAAGCTACTGAAGGTATTACTTTAGAGGTTAAACACGGATTGCACAAGGATTCTAAATTTATTCAGAATGGGCGCCGTATCGCTCAAAAAGTTTATTGTATGCGACATCGCCTGTTTCAATAGCGTTTAGATTCAGGTCTCAACGCTTATGGATTTCTGTTGAGTCGTGAGGACTTTTAACAAAAATAATCTTTCTCAAATACCCCATAGACATAAAAAGAACCAATTTATCAGGAAAGAAAAGCAGAGTGTTTTTCGCATCATGATAGTGATTGCTAACCGTTAACTGCTTATATATACATTTACTGGTTATTACATGTATTTATTTATTTAAATGCTCACTTTATTCGAGTGTCAATGTATTTAGCGCGAAAGTAGTAATTGAGGACGCTGTTTTTACGTCTCCTACTGGAGACTGGACGGTTATTATACTTGGTCAACCGAGCCACGCGAAGGTCCAGCCGTTTGCAGGGCAAAGGGAGTACTTTCATTTCTGAGGTATTTTAAGATCTGATCTGGTCCCGGGAATCGAATCCACGCCCTCCTGCTCTGCAGTCAAGCGTCCTACCGACTGAGCTAGGCCTGCTGCAGTATTTATGTATTTTTTTTAATTTTTTTTTTTCAGGAAATCGAAAGCCCGTTCAAGATGTCTGGTTTGTCGATGAACCCATTGTTGTACAACATTACTCGAGTGGTAGTACTGTCTCTTTTCTCAGGAGTCATGTCTGATCTGTTGGGCTTCAGACTAAAGGTACAATTTCCTAAAATCTCGTACCATTTTACTTTGAGTAAGAATTCAGTAGAGAAATTTAGAACAACTTTACAACATCTTTGCAAGGGCATTATACTTTCTGGTTTTCGGGAAGGGGACAACTGGAGAAGCCGCCGAAAAACCTCTTGGAGCTTGAACTCGTTTCTCGAAACTCCCCGTAATTACAGGGCCCGGAAAACTCTCGTGTTTTCACGTGACATTGAGGTTTCAATCATTTTTAAATAATACGAAAAAACCATCAGTTTAAACAAAGTGGACTGGTTTGTTAGCTAGGCCCCTTTTTTGTATTCTTTAGATTCTGATGTTAATATTTAGGTTTGGGGCTTTAGGTTCGGACAAACTTAAAGCAAGAAGCACACATACACCAACCCACGACCTGGCCAGTACCTCACGCATACGCACAGAGATATCACCCGGGCAGTGGCAGCCATGGACAGCTGTTACGCCTTTATTGGGGCTTAACAGCATGGCATAGCCGTCGGGTCAATGAACGGGGGAAACCCCATGTATCAAACACCCTTCACTGCCGCGGCGAGTGCTAAGCACTCCTTTAAGCGCCAGTTCCACACAACATGTTTAGGTTCGGCCCGTTTCCGAGCGCGATAATTACCGGGACCTTCGAGAAACAGACCCCAAGGATAAGAACTAGCAACAAACTCAAGCCATATATTGCTTCTCCCCTGGGGTTCGAACCCGGGTAAAATTTGTGAGGCAAGGACTTCCTCTCACCTAAAATAAAAACTCTCCGGTCTTGATCCTTTCCTGGTGGGGGCCAGGGAGAGGAGAGGGGGATCCAAACCTCCCACCCCCTGTATCCCTTCGGCCCCAGGATTCCCCCTGGCTCTCACCCTATGTCCTCCCTCATCTTTCTTTTGTGAGCGGTATGTGAATTCTTTTACTATTTTGAATTTCACTTCTAGGTGTGGAAGATCAAGGCATAGCATTGCTTAAAGCAAAGGTTAAGATATTTAACATATTTAAATAAGTGTACATGTTTTATTTTATGTAAAGAGAGCTTATAAAAGACATGGGGAAATGTAATATGGAAGGCGTTACATATCCCGTTTACACGAGCCGTTGGAGACGGCGGCTAAAAGCGAAGCGTTTTGAAACAATTCTCAGAACTGAAGCAGTTTGTTAAACTGTTTAACAAAGTGGCCTACTGGGTCGTGACATGCCAGGTTTTGAAGGCGAAAGAAAAGTTTTGCTCGTCCTTGTACTAAAACCCAAGGAAGGGTGTTACTTTTCGATGTATTCGCAAGCCAGAAACGCTCTTAATTGTTTTATAACCTTGTTATCAATTCCCCAAAGGCACGTTAAATTTAAGTTACCTGGTATCCACCCCCGGAAAACTATATTTTTACATCATCGGTTCCCATTATGTTTCCCGAGGGTCCAAAACCTCGTCCCCAGGGTCCTGGAATTGAGATTGATATCCCCCAGAAAGAAACAAGCAGTAACTTAAACAGCTCGTATTTTTATTGATCGTTTTAATCACAATAAGCAAAGCTGGTCACGGCAATGGGTGTAACGGGGCAGCAGTTGCTTAACCCTTCAAACCCCATTATCCACATACAAATTCTTCAAACTGATCTCCATAAATTTTTTTTTAAAGATATAGTTGAGAGAATTTGGTAAGAGATCAAAGCATTTTCCCTCAGACGAGGTAATAAATTCTCCCAACCCTTTTTTTTGGATTTTGTATTGATATTATTAGGAGAAAATTGATGTTGACTCCTGCGCGGAATGCATGTAAAATTAGTGTCAGAGCACGTGATCAATAGCTTGCCAATGACAATCGAATCTGTACATAAGGGAAATGGGGCTGTATGACATCTGTCACATGACAGTTACTTCTTCCTTAACTGAACGTAAAGCGGTCAGTTATTTCTTTTTAACATGGTGTGATTGCCCAGGAGGGTCTCAATACAAACTCTTATCTGACTGAGGGTTGTTATTAGACTTAAGGTCTTAGAAACCATCGTTGGGGAAAGCGATTGGCCGTTTTCTCATTGTTTCCAGGAGTTTTAAGGTGATGTTACACGAAACAATTCGCAACAACTATTTTTAGCTCAACAAAGCGTTGCAACATCGTTGCGACATCGTTTCGAATAGTTACGACATTCTTCCAACATTGCAACGCTACGTGGCACTAAAAATCTTCGTTTCGAATCGTCCCATGTAACATCACGTTTAGCTCTAGTTTTCGAAGAATAGATCCGATTCGATACCAGCCTAGTAGCTCAGTGGGCTTCCCTGGAATACCACTGTACTAACAGACTAGTTTATCGTTGTGGTTTTGCCTTCACAAGTGTTACTGTACTAACAGACTCCTTATTGGGGGTATTAGATAGTGCAAAAACAGATTTATAGACCTCGTAGGCTTCTGTTGTATGCTCTTCAAATGAGGCTTATTTTTTGTGTGCGTATGTGAAAAAAAAATGAAAATTTATTTTTACGAAGTATCGAAATTATATACCATTACCAACTTTTGAGGCAGTTGTAGGGCGGCACGTAGAGACGATAGCGCTAGAAAACGTTTTTTTCTGCTTTGTGAAAGCAGTTTTATTTATTGACAAATTCTGCGTGTATATGTAGTGGAACAAATTTAGCAAATGAAAAATCCCTCCCATTTTGCGTCGTTTCGCAGTCCTTTTTTTCAGTTTTATTTTTTCAGTTAAATGACCTAGCTCTTTTCTGCTTTATTAGTTAAATTCCTTCCGCGGCAGCTCAGTGTTTTTGCATGGGGGGAGGGGAAGAGGCAAGACATTCCATTTGGCTACTGGTAAATGGTACTTTACTACCCCTCCCGTCGATTTCATTAGAATTAAGACTGCTTCTTCTTATTAAGGGTATAAAATACCGTTGTTTTATATATACACTGGTTTCTCCTAGTTACGCTGCTGATTAGTACCTTTCTGGTCATCGCAGGCTCAATATGCGGCTACCAGTTATGTTCGTTTGGTATGTTAGCACACATACTAGCTTTAACAACCGGTAGTTAGTTTTACCACTAGCAGATAAAGTATTGAACAGCTAGTTTGAAAATCACGAGTTATTTATTGCTTCCTAGTTTTAGTTTCTGTAAATTTCTGTCATACCTGAGCAGTTTGTGGACACGTGGCCTATTTCGTGCCATTTTTGTTTGGTATACAAGCCTAAAGACGCATTAAAAGACCATGAACCAAAAGGGGGTCTGCCAACTTTTAGAGTTTACACTCTTATTAGCGCGATTTTAACTAAAAGTGGTTTGACCAACGGTGAAGCTGTATTAAAGATATCAATTGAAAAGGTCGCCGGACCTCGCGCTTTACAGTCCGGCACAGGACCAGTATTTTTTCCGTCCAAGAACCTTATAATTTTGCATACATTCCAACAACCATAAAATCTTAGCCTTGTGGGTCAATGAGTTTAAAATGGGCACTCTGTTTGAGCACTCTGTTTTAAAAAGTAGTCGAAAACGTCACTTAAAAAGTGAATTCTCGTTGCCTCAAACTTTATCGCGCTTATTCCATATCATGTATTCGTCAATTGTTGGCAAATCGTTTTGTAGTTGGATTCCAAAATTATCAAAGTTCAGGGAAAGAAAAAGAAAGTTGTTGTTTTGTTTTCAGTCACGTCCTCGACAAAACGAAATTAGGCACCTTCACGTTGTAGTCGCCAGCGAAGGCATAGAAATGTACAAAAAAGCCCGATGCGCGTGCAGTGTTGTTGTTCTACCAATCTAAACCTATTCCTTTTTTGCCTACTGTTTTCAAGCTTTCCTGGGAGGACTGTTTATTCGCAAGAACGACAACGTATGCAAAATTTAAGGGCCAAACATTGTATTATGAGGCATTTGAAAAAGATAATTCCCTTTCCATCCCTGGTGTTGTTTAAGTTACATCCCATATTTTTGCGTTAAGCAGGTCATGTGACCGCAGACTGCAAGGCGCTTATTGTAAATAGTATTGATTTGAAACTGCACAAAGAAATATCGAATAAAGAGGAATTATGAGGAGTATGATTTTTTTCGTGTTTGAAGTCATCACTCTATTTCCTCTCCCTCAGTTCCTTTTCTTCCCCTCTTTCCTTGTTTCCTCAATTCGCCACGCCTTTTTCTGCGTCATTTTTTTTTTCTTATTCTGTCCCTCATGTGTCAATTCATCACCCCCTCCCTCTGTCATCCATTTCTTGGATCATTATAAGTTTCTGGGAAACTCCCCACCTACCCCTCCCCTAAGCCAACATTTTGCCCAAAGTGAGAAGTGTTAGTGTTGACTTAGGGGAGGGGTAAGTGTGCAGTTTCCCACAAACATAAAATGATCTCATTTCTTCTACCCACCGCACCCTCCTCCCCTCATTTTTCTCGATCCATCTGCCTTCTGTTCCATTAGCTGGTCAAGAAAGAAGGTAGCTAAAACGACAAAGCATGGAGACTAGCAACGAGGAAAAATTGAGATTAGTCTTTATTTAAATTTACAGCAGCCACTTTAAAAATAGTTACATCAGCATTATGTTTGTACAAAATAATTTATACAATTATTAAAATCCAATAATTGTCTCTATAGCAAGTGTGGGTGAATTAACTATTTCACATCTTAGGAGCTATAACGAAATTATAACCGTGCTCGTGAACGTATGAAAATGTGTGTCAGAAAAAAAACCTTAGTAGCGAAAAACAATTCAGAAGTGTTTTCCTCATAATCTTCACTTACACATTCTTAGAATAAATTGTCCAGTCTTTCAATATATCCCCGTGCTTATCCCATCCTTAATTACCTTTAATAATAAATTTATGAAATTCCTCTAAATTATTTACAGTTCCTCTTCTAAAAAAATTTCAAACATTGATCGCGTGAAACTGGATGCTACGCTCATTACATCCCACACAATTAACATTCACCCCCCCCCGCCCCCGCCTCACCGCCTAAAGTTAGAGATATGAGAAACGAGTAAATCATGTTCCTCGAATGTGAAAATCAATGCGTTACATAGAATAAGAACCAGTTATGATTGCCATCAAAATTGTTCTCAACCTGAAATTTGAGCTGGGAAAAAACAATAGTTCCAAGCTCCTACAATTGATAGTTAGAGAGCAATTCACCAAAATTTTCGCGTGTCATAGGCTAAGGCTATAGTTTCTAACGCGGAGTTACTTTGGTCGTCACGCAATAACACAACGCGTCCCCAAGAAATAATAGCTGAGGGGCGTTGCGTGACGACTCAAATAAGTCAAATAATGGCTGTACGAAACAGTAAGGGAATACCGGTCCGGTCGGTTAGACCAGAAAAAATAGAGGGGAGGGGTAAGTGCGTTTCGAACAAACCATTGCCATTGATTTTGTGGATGTAATACTAGGTGTGACCATTCAAATGAGGGCTACCAAGCAGCACTTTCCTAAGGAGAGGCTTCCTTTGATGTGAGCATTCAAATGAAAGGCACTGAGCAGTTCTTTCCCGTAGTACTGTTTATCATGTTGTACAAGGCGGTTTTACCTTTTGATCCTCTGCGTAAAACTCTCTGGTGTGGGCATTCAAATGAAAACTGCAGGATGACTTCCTCTCTATGTATAGCTTACGCCATAGTTTATTGCTGAACGCGTCAGTGGAAATAAATCTCGGTAAATGGCCTAGACCACTCCTGTCGTAAAATATAGTCCACTCCACTCTTGACCCCCCAATTTTACACCGCTGTGTTGGCAGGCACTCTCATCTCTTGCCTGGCCTGCCTGATCCCATGAGACTTTGTAAAATCTACCTCAGCATAAGGACTTACCAAGGGCGCAGATTTTGGTCCAGGCGCCGCCGCGCGGCTACAAGAGCTTAAATCAATTTTGGGCGGCCGCGTGCGTCGACGGGAAGGCGAATCTGAGCCATCCTTCTCGTTTTTGCTTAAATCAAGCACTATGTAATGAAGCTCGGTAGATTCTTCGTTTTCTTTAGCTGAATGTGAAACCGACCTGAAATCACGACTACTTGGACGTAACAACGCTGGCTCACTTTCTCGTCTTCCATAACGAGGGGACCTGCGCCATTTGCTATGTTTGACGTCAAGTTTACCTGGTGAATAATTGACGTAATCGACCTCTTGTTGCACGTTGCTATCTATCTCCCCACTAGATCCGACGCTGCCCCTTTTACCGTTTTCAAGTCGCCTCCCTGGAGTAAAGTTCACGTATTCAGGCATGTCTACCGCGCTTTTGCTTTTTGCGATACCGCTTAGATCAACGTTCACATACTCACGTGATGGTTCGGTAAGTATGGATTCCAAGCTGTGTTTTCTGAAATTGTTGGGCACAGAAATTTGATCGCGTTTTTTGTAGGGACTGAAATTAATATAATGGTGCATTTCTTCATAAGGCGAAGAATCAACAGAAATTTCAGGACATTTCTTGGGGCTGTGAGATTCCAGTCGCCTTCCCGCTTTTTCGAGGTTCTCTCCAGGTGTAAAGTTCACATACACAGGGTGGTCCTTGTCATTGGTGATCGATTCTGAACTTGACGAGTTTCTTGAGAGTTTCTGACCCGGGGGGACAAAATTCATGTATATTGGAGTCTGTTCTTTTCGCACTCCGACAGGACTCATGGTGATGTAATCTTGACTTGAATTCCTTCGAGATGAAGAAGGCGATTTCTTGAGAGAAACAAACTCACGAATGTCTGGTTTATTTGGCAGGGGGCTCTCATTGGCCCGCAGTAGCCTAGGTGATGAAGTTTTCTTTTGACGTACAATGCCCGAGTTTTGAAGCTTTGGTGTCACGTGGTTCTCCGCTTGTTGTCTTGGTGACGTCATATCCATGTATCCCCCTTCACGGGCGGTCTGTGTCGACTTTGTCGCTTCTTGTGAATCCTGGTCTCTCGCCGCTTTCATGGCCTTAGCTTTTGACAGGTCCATGTCTAAGTATGAGTCACAGCTATGTCGCTATTGGAAAAGAAGGGATAAAATTCAAAAAGAGGTCGATAAGCCATCAGTAGACAATATGGTCATTTTAATACAACCACCTGATTAATTGACGAAGTTCGTGTTCTCTCGTATAAACATAAAGCTAAACTCTCCGATGTAGTAAAATTTTCCTGGAGTTTCAATGTTCAGCCAATCAAATTTCAATATCCAGTTTAACCGCTGACCAAAAATGAGGCATATCCTACGCTTGGGGGCCGCTCAACAATTGTTGCGCATAAATGCTGCGCAGTGTGACCACGTCTGGATCTCGCCTGGTGAAACTTCGTGCACAATATCACACTGGCACGCAACCACAAGCAACGAAGCAGCAATTCTTGGGGCCTTCAGTCACTCTATTGACAACCAGGTTACCATAGCAAAATCCCATAAACGGCAATGCTGGGGATTTTTTAAAGCCGACTGAATACAACGCAAACTTTGATTGCACCGCCCAGGTATGTATAAGCTAACAAAAATCAGGGTTGTGTTTCATATACAGTCGACTCCCGATAATTCGAACCTTCACGGGAAATAGGAAAAAGTTCGAGTTATCGGGAGTTCGAGTTATCGAAGGTAAAATTATATAGAAAACGATCTGAAGAGAAATGAAAATTGCTTTGAGTTAGCGGGAGGTTCGAGTTCTAGAGGGTTCGAGTTGTCGGGAGTCGACCGTATATCCCGGAGTCTAAAATAATTCTAAGTAAAACAAGGCATAGATAACAATATATGTCGGTCGATGATTAATGGATAAGGAACGAAACGTGAGTAACAAAGTAGATTAAAAACAATGGATTTCTACTCAAAAACCATGATTATATTTTTAACATGGACGCAAAGTGGTAAAATTGACTCCATGTTGTGAAAGAAGCATTGGGGAGCTTAAGCAGGCCTAACATGCAATAAAAACGTCGGCTGAAGTATTCCTTGAGTTGAATTCTAAGCGGGTCTACATCCGTATCCAAAACTATTAAGAGAAATTCGTCTTTGTTTGTACGTGAATTTCAGAAAAACGCCAAAGCCACGTACAAAACAAGTGTGATGCACGTGCAAAAGCGGCGCACGTGCAAATTAAGGCTCAAAATGTGATGCACGTGAAGAGATGTTGTTTTTGGACGCCACAACTACCAATTTTTCTGCAAAACCGAGACTCCACACTTTTACGTTACGTCCTCATACTAACTTACGCGTGCATGGCTTTCGTCCACGCCTAAACGACCGTGAACATACAACTTTGTAAACAATGTCCAGAGTGGATATCGTTTTGACTTAAACATTTGTAAAAGTTATGTGCGTCTTTAGAAAGTTAACGGCCTCGTAAAGACGAAACCCCCGTAAACAAAGTGACTCGAAACCGGTTTCACCACTTTAAATATAAGGTCAGGTGCCCAAGAATTTGTAACAAAAAATTCCACTTGCGGATATTCTTAACAAGCTGGAATAATCGCGACAAAGCTTAGAGACGGTTTTTCTGTTTTTTACTCAGGCTCTCAATTTATCACATCGTAACAACTGCAGTCCGGGTTGCAATACAGTATTAAGATCAATGTAGAATTCCAGTAGTACAAAAATGTCGTTCTGAATTGAATTTTGTAACAAAATTTATGTCTTGTCTTATTCCTGAAAATGGTCAATCAAACGCACCCTGTGAGGGCAAGGTCCGTGCAGTTCAACTAATCAATTAAAGGAGCGACTCTCTCCTTTAAGCTTACCCTGTCTAGCGCCATCTTCATGTAATCCTCAGAACTGAGTGTGTCTTCAATACTTTCTGCTCCAAAGTTCACATACTCTGTAGAAAAAAAACCCTTGTAAGTCATTTGACACCTTAAAAAAGAAAGTCTGTTTGGGAAAATCAAATTGCAATAGTGCGGCAAAACAGAACGAAAATCAAAGTCAAAATCAGACAAGACAACAGAAAAAAATCAAAATCTCATTTTGTCATTTTGTAAAATGTTGAAAGAACAAGTACCGGCACCAAGTGAAAGTACTATCAAAAAGGTTTCATTTCAATGGTCACACCGCAGGATATTGTCCATGGACTCAAAACTTAGAACCAGCTTACAAGACTGAGAGTGAAACGATTAAGCGCCGTCCACACGCATCCGTTTTTGTTTGAAAAAGATACTTTTTTCTCCATTTTCAAAATAATCCGCGTCCATAAGTTGCTTTTTTCAATCTTCTTGTCTGTCCACACGAAAACACAACACCGGAGACTTAAAAAGGTACGAGTTTTGATGGGCACATGCGCGTTTTTTAATACCCGACACCGTAACGTAATCGTTCTCAAAATCCCCCGTTTTAATCCATCCTCACTGACGAGTACAACAAAACGGTGTTTTCAAAAATCTCCACTCTGCGGGATAGCCTGCAACGAAGACGTAATTTAACCTCGGTTAGTAACGTCTGCAAAGCAGCGCCCATATCCTTGTTCTGGGCCCCCAACGGACTCAACTAATTACCGGAAGTACGTTTCGTATATCCTTTCATCCTGATTGGCGAATTGACAACGGCTTTTTTAACGGGTCAATCATGGCACATACTCAAATCCTGGTACACAGGTGCGGGCCCAGAACAAGAATTTCGATGTTGTTTCGCAGACGGACTTAACCAGAGTTCAGTTTCGTCTGTAGCGCTGGCTACACTCTGAAAAGCGTTTTTCAAAAGATGCGTTTTCAGTGACCGTTTTCACTGGATACGTATGGACGGAAGGTCAAACTGAAAACTCTCCGTTTTCAAACAAAAACGAATACGTGTGGACGGCACCCTAGACAGACCACATTTGTCTGGCATTTGCACGCTCTGTGTCTACCTGGTTGAACATCTCTTTCCTCGGATGATGGACGACTGCTTGAATATGGCTTGACCAACACCTTGTCATTGAAATCTGAGTTTGTCTCTTCTTGATTACTGTTTGAGCTATCCACGCTTGAAACTGTTTGAAAAGACAAAAATTCTTATACACAAACAACAGTGATGGCTGTCCCAAACCTTTTTTCGAGTTCCGGTCGTTTTCTATGCCAACAGACTGTTCACAGTTCCCTATTTTTCCGTAAGACTTTCGACATTGAGCGCTTTGCGTGACGGACGGCCATCTTGGATGCAATGAGTGCCGAATAAGGGGGAAGAGGACGGTTTGGGAGGAGGCGTTTCTCGCCTCCCACCGCCCAACGCTATAAACCCCGTCGCCCGCCCCCTCGGTACACAGGAAATTAAGATGGACGTCCGTACCGGGAAGCGCCCTATCCTGACAATCTTGCGAAAAAGTAGGAGACTGTGAACGGTCTAGTATGCCAATCACCTGGATATCACTTGCATTACTTGGACACACAATGATAACTTACCATCCTTTGATTTTCGACGAGGTAGGAAACGATTCAGACCAGGTGATGGTTTATTCTTAGGGCTCTCACTCAGTGACAAATTTTTAGCGGAACTTGCCAAGCCGACACGATATGATGACAGCGGGGAACTTGGCTCTGTGTCTGCGCGGACACGGCTGGGTGGGTAAAGGACGGCTGAAACAGGGCGTGGCCTGCCCTTCCCCCTTTTCCCCTCACTAGCACAACGGCGTCTGGATTTTTGTGGTATGTCAGATATATTCTGCATTACCCTAGAGGATGTAATGGCAAGTAATATATGTTAGTGTATTATAAATTGGACACAAACAGTGACCATTTATGGGGACCAGCTTTCAGTTGGCTAGTCATATCCCACTGAATGGGTCGCAAAAACTACTGACATAACTTTTGTGTACTATTAAACAGCTGACATGCAAATCCCAAATTTTCCAAACATTATCCTGGTCCAAAATTCAAGTTACAGTTTCCTGCTGCAATTTGTACAAAATGGAAAATCTCTAAATTTAAGTGAGCAGAAGTTGGCACAGACAATAAAGCAGACATGATAAAAACAACTTTTTTGGTAACTGTTTATCCGTGAAGCACTTAGGAGTTCTTAAGAACTTCTTTACACCTGTCTGTGTGTTCTAGACCAAACTGGAATTTCAAAGTGTTGGTTTTGGAGGGAAGGGGAAAACTAGACAATTACCTAAGGAAAACCTCTCGTAACAAGGGAGAGAACCAACAACAAACTCAACCCACATATTCTAGAGCCCCAGCCATATTGGTGGGAGATGAGTGCTCTTCACACTGTGCCACCCTTGCTACCCAAACAAAACAAAGAGTTTACTTACCCCAGTATAGCCTCATGCATGTTCTGTGCAATAACCTGATCATCCACTTGGATCCACATCTCACCAGCACCAGTCACTGCAGATCGACCAAGTTCCATAAAGAAAAAACAGTCTGTATGTCCACAGCGTCTAATGTTGACAAGCTGAAGTTCCACTGCCGCATCTCTTGTATCTTTAATCACCAGTTTTAAAGAGTCACTAGTCAGCTGCAGATCATATTGACCAGCGAGATTTTTACTAGTACCCAGTCCTCTGGGTTTGACGGACACATGCCATGTTGAGACTGTTAAAAGGAAAAAGACCAGACTGGTCAGTTAATGTCGGGTTTTCAAAATCCCTGCTGACCAGATCCATATGTTTGAGGGAGGGGAGGGACGAACAGAATGAAGAATGCAAAAAAATTATCGACATCTTTGATTATCTGGGATGGCTAAGGACATGTGGGGGAAACTAGAACAAAAGAAGCATTTCTGAGGAACAGACTTGCTTCCAAGATTTGTGCAAATGGTCTGCAATCTTTCCTTCCCTACAATAACTTGATCAGTCACCACCTGGGATACTGCCACTCACGTGGCAATAACTTCAAATCTGGGACACTCCCATGCAGACATTCCTTAGGGGTTTGTCACGCGTTTCGAGCTTGGGTGTTATGAAAACCCGGCTTAAGTTCAATACGATCTAAAAGTCAATCAAGCATGAACCCCAAAAAGGAGATACAGTGGAAACCCGTTAATACGGTCACCAATGGGTCAAAAAAATTTGTCCATAATAAAAAGATGACAGTATTTACAGAGGTTTCTTTCCAGGTAAATGTATGGTCATTTTTGCCAGGCGGCCAAAAAAAAAGTGGCCGTAATAACGAGGTGACCGTATTAACAAGGTATCCATAAGGCGGGGTTCCACTGTATATTGTGCATCAAGCTTTTTGTTTGAGATGGATGTCAATATTTCATGCACATAAATTCATTAGAAAAAACAATACATTTTAGGGATCTTACTGATTTCCGAAAATCCAGACGTAATTAATTCTTCGGCGGAAGGCACCCCTATGGTGTTATGGGAACACAATTATTGAAAACATAATGACGCACTTTCTTCTAATTAAAAGATTGGCCACTGGGGCTTTTTATTTAGACTATTATCTAATGAATAACGCTAAAATTACCCACCCGAGGAATTTAAGATGTCATCTTTTCTCTGCTCAATCTTCAAACTCTTTAGCCATGAATTTAGGTCACCTTCTGTTTCAGCAACGAGGCCAAACTTGTCCTCGTGTGTAAACAAGACGAAGACCAATTTGTGCTTCGTATCTTCTTTCTTAGCAATATTAAAACAGTTCGCGAGGTATATGACACGTTTCGGCGAACTATTTTGGCGATATTTCTTCTCACTTTCATAGTATTCCAGCCGCGATTTCCCTTTTCTTGGAGAAGAGCGAAGAACGAAGTAGCGTTTCTTGTGAGTCTGTTAACAAAATGAGAAAAAGAAACAAATCGAAAGCTAATAACATCGTACTCAGCATCAATGTTATTGTAAATCGTGTTATGTACTGAACTGACCGAAAAGTGATAAATCTAGCACAAAATAGTTTATTTTATTTTTAAATTTTTAAAAGGTCTCAACATTGTTGCTAAACCAACTGAAATGCCCGATGTCTGCAGCTTTTATAAAACTGCAATTTTCCACAGTAAATGAATATTTCGTAAACATTTGCATTTACCGTTCAATATTCGCTTTTCCGCGCTTCATGTCACATGAATAAGAAAGACATTGTCATTCAATTTGTCGCTCACTCGCACGAATATTTTTCCAACTTCCTAGTTTGTTCTTTGGAGCCTCAAGCTAAAAGGCATGGACAAAACATAACACAATTGAAATAAAGGGCATTTCGAGTGACGATGCAAATTCGTCTAGCCTAATCCAAACAACATTGTATTTTTGAAAACATGCTTAATCTGCTAAATGAATCACTAGCCGGTGACAAGACGGGTACTTGAGTTTATGTTACATTTTACAGAACAATCGAGATTTTTATTAAAGATCGTGATAAAAAAGGAAGCCTTGAAATTATTCAAAATAAGTCGAAAGCGTTCTAGAAGCTTAAGAACGTGTGATCGGAGAGTGCAAGTTTAGACTGCTCGCAAAATGTTCAAGGAGGTGTTGCAATAGGAGCGCGCGCGCGCAAACAACAACAAACTAGCCAAACATGAGTTTTAAAAAACAGTTCGATCTTCCAAACACAGCAACGTTTTAATTCTAAGAGCGAAAAAATTGTGAGCAGCGATTCTGATAAAGAAGGCATTCAAATCAATAAAAATCGGTCCAATATTTTTATTACAAGGAAAAAAGTTAAATCATCGACTCTCAAGCATTTATGTCGTCAATGATAGCTGGGGAAGAAGTCAAAATGGACATTTTAATAAATAAATTTCCTACCTTCAGTCGTTTTAGATGTCCCTCCTTGACGATCTCACCATCATTCATGGTATTTAGCTGCCTTAGAACCATAGAAACACTACAAGAAGGCTGCAAATTACTCGAACTTCCAAGGCAACGAGTCAGCTATAGTGGTATTGTGTAACCGAATCCTTGCAAGAGAATTGCCAGTTTTTAGCGTCCGATCGAGTGATTGAGCTGATTGAGTCGATCCTGTGCTTAGTAAATTCTTTGTCTTTTCCTTTGGTACCTTTAAGAAGCCTTTTTCCGGTTAAAAATCAACTTAACAGCTTGAAGAACTGATTCGAAAGGCAATCAACAACAAGTCAGTTGGCTTTACTACACAAGATCCGCACACCACCAATCGGTACCAGTCTCCGTAATATAATCGTGAAAAAATATCGCGCGCTCTCAAGTGCGTGATAACAGCAGTCGTTATCTCGCGCGATTATAAACGAGATTATCGTTAAATTTATTGACGACTAGCATCATCCTTTCAATGTTCTAGAAAGTTCCTTGTGTTTAACATTAATTTTTTTTTTGCCTATGGAAGAACGCTGGCTATGGAAGTCGATAACATGAACTGCTGACTTTTTTATCCAACGCCGGATCTTACCGTCGCGGAAAAGTGGACAAGAAGCTGTAAACTCGAAGCTGTAAACTCCTTGCCCTGACCTTCATGTTTGCCAACATGGCCCCGGAAGATATGAATAGAAATAACATTTTTAAATGTTACTCATTTTTTTTCTTTAATAAAAGTCGCTGGCAGCATTTTGGGTAGGGAAAATTCTTGCAGGCCCTCGGAAAACAGTTTCAGATCTCCTGACAAAATGTCGCAATAAAAAATTAAAAAGAATTGTAACTTAGGAAAAAAGAAATGGAAAAGCAATGTTTATTGGAAGATTGTATTTTCCTGTTTTCTTTGTCTATGTACCTCAAAAGTGCTTTGTAATATCAATCAAATTGTTTAAAATGTTTGTTATATAGCTTTTCTTCATTTTACTATAAAGAATCCATTCACAATTAAGTTGACTTCCTCTTCCTATTTAGAATATTCGGCTCCCGGTCGAAGCCTCTAGGCGAATGATTTGCCTGAAGCGTAGGAGTATTGTTTGCCGTCTTTATATTTTAAGCAGTACTTCAGAGACACAAATGCAAATAAGTCCGACCAACCTAAACTTGTTTTCCCCAAGACAAAAGACAAGTATCAATATGAATATGTATAGGAGAAATGCCGGTTTCAATTATTTCGAGCTCGTGCGCGTGTTGTCTTCACTAAATCATTCGCTCATGACGGGCACTAGTTTAACTTTGTTGTTTTCAGAGAACATGACTGAGCGAGGAAAATTTAATATTAGCGCAGTATTTCTTTTGTACATGTATAAAACTGTTTCTTGGCTAAAGACAAAAACAAACAGTCCGACAAAACGAAATAATAAAGAGTCATCAATTAAAAACAACACGTGGGCAAATATTAAATAGCAACAACAACAAGTTTATTGACTTTATCTTCGACATGAAGATTTCAGTACCAAAACAATGACAAATGAAACAAAGTAAAATAAAAGTTAAGTAAGAAAGAAAGCCACAACAACTATATATTGAATATTATTAAAAGACTCGATGGAAGTTACTTGCTTGCGCAAACGCAAGAACTCATTAGGGCCATTTATACGAGGAAAAATAAGACGCGAACTGTACCATTTATACGAGCATGTCTTATCTAATAAGACGCGTCTTAGCTAAGCCGCGTCTTATTTTAGACAAAATGTGCCGTTTATACGGAAAGTTCGCGTCTTATGTAAGACGCGTCTTATTTTTCCTCGTATAAATGGCCCTAATGTCTCTCTAAACAATGCTTGTTAATGGGTGTTTTTTAGGAATAAAACGGGCGACTTTTTCTTTTTGTCATGTTCAAAAGCTCTCTGGCAAAGTTAAGCTCTAAAGGGGGCCAGTTTGATATATAAACGGCGGTTTTTCGTTGCACTGTATCTCTTGAGCGATGAGTTCCGGTCAGTTTAATTTGGCGGCAAAGTAGAAGACTATTAAAAAGAGGTTATCTTACTAATCAAGCGTCGCATCTGATCAAAAGGCCGGAATTGTTATTTACGTAAGCTGATTTATCGACTAAACAAGTGAACAACAATAAAGCCGGCTGTTGTTGTGCACGGCAAAGGGTTCTTCAAAAACAAGTTTACAGGGGAATATTGGCGCTTGAAATCTGTGTAGTCAGTTGACTCAGTTTGTCTTGACTCACGGAGATTTTGTCTTATGACCTCAGGGGAGCTTTTATCTTCAAAGGGGAAGTTTGCATAGCTCACTAATTTCTCTGGGAAAAAAAACATTGTTAGATTCCCTAATTTTTGGATATCCTTACTTTAAGGAAATTTAATTTCAACTGGCATCACTTTGCATGGAGCTGATGTTTATCAACCGATCAGTTTTACACAAGTACGCCAGCATTTGTGATATCGGCCAAAAATGCTTTGTGATCAACGAAAACTGAGGTACTTAGACCGGGAAGTTCTCAACGCATCAAATTCAAGGAGGCTTCACATTTAAACTGGAAATTCTAGAATCATTCAAAAGCGCTGGAGGGGTAAACAGCTGATATATCTTCTGACGACTTTCCTCCGGTCAATTGTTTCTCCGAATATTGTCTACGCGGCCATAGCAAGACCTTGGGGCGAGGGGCGTTGCCACCCACATACACGGTCTGACGCTTGTGAAATTATTTGCCGAAGTTGAATTTTGCCGATGGGCGATTTTTGTGTGTTTTGAAACCGGGAAATTTGTCTAATTTTTTGGGGGTTTTCCAGCAAGTTGTGTGAATTAACGTGAAATCAAAATTCAGGTCAAACAACATTCAAATGCAAAAATAAATACCGTTCTTAGTTATCACGCTTCGGGCGTTACTGCAGTCAAGTTATACCGCTTTGGTGTGTTTAAACACTATGATTTACACTCGGCTTCGTCATACTTTTGTCAAAGTTTTTCTTTCCCTCAATAATCATTATCACAATTTTGACAATGAGTAATCTTTACAGGGGAAAATTCGCGGTAAAGTTTTTCTCCCTTTTTTTTCACGATCGTAAATAAAACTGTAAAATTTAAAGAAGAAAAGAAAAGAAAAACTGAATGTAAAAATTACTATTTTTTACTGGTTGCCTAATCTTTCGACCATAACAGAACACAGCATCTCGTTTTGCAATTACGCTTCGTACTTCAGTACGAAAAACATTCCATAACATTACGTTCAACTTCTCTAGGACTCCGGCTGCAGAAATCTAATGGTAAATCTATGGTTTAGAACTTTTTCTAATTGTGCCCCTAGGTTGTGGATTAATACTCCTACAGTTATTCGGAAATCGAACAGTGTTTGCACATTTAACATTTAGAAGTGAACCTTTTCAGATCTTATTTATCATTAGATATTTTCATTCTTTCTGAACTTGGCAAGCACAGCGGACAATTTGTGAATGTGTGCGTCATAGAAGATTATTATTATTATTATTATTATTATTATTATTATCATTACATCATTAACAACTAGTTTGTTAGTTGAAATGAGCGCCACAGAGAATGAATCCTTCGCAAGTCGCCCTATAATTCCTGCTTTTTTCTTGCAATAACTAGCTTAAAAACGAGGTTTTCTTTTTATCTTTCTACACCGAGCAAATTTATTTGTTCTTACGTTAAATAATGCTTCGGTAGCAGTTTACACAATAACTAAGCTGATTCGTCCATTTAGGAAATTTAATAACCAAGCTTAGCAAAATACATTTGCTCTCTGTCAAAACTTAATAACAATGTTTCTCTTTAAACAAAACTGCGGTTAATCATTCTTTTGCCGGCATTACTTCCTTCTTCAAGAAAAGAACTTCCTCTCTTTTTGCAAAACGTTCAAGCCCGAAGTGTTTAGTACGGGGCTTTTCCAAGTGACATGACGTGAAAGCGCACAACGGACGAGCACTCGGTAATGATCGGTTTATCTTCGGGTGTTATCGACAACGTTTTATTTTCACGTGATCAGTCTCTTCACTTTTTTCTGCCAAATTTACCCTTGTTGCCTTTTCCTCTTGGTCGACCCTTGTTTTGTCGTTGCATCAATTTTTCCTTTCTGTGCCGTGCCTTTAAGATCTGTTCCTTGGATTTCAATTCGCTTCCGCGTGGGTTTTTACCTTTTTTGACAAAACTTTTTCCTGTTGAAGCAAAAGAAGAGAGCAAAAAATCAGGTCGTACAGAATATCTACATGGTTTTAATTTTAAGGGACGGGCCATTATTTTTTGACGGAGAGGAGGGGGGCGGCGGTTGGAAAATTGTAAAATAAATTGTTTGCAGAGGCTGTAAGCACTGAAATAAAGTGTATACAAGTAAATAAAAGTGTTTGCAAAAAGACGGAGACACCAAAAAAGTTATTTGCAGCAGGAGCTGCATACAAAATAAATGTTTGCACGGGAAAATTTCTTAACCACACACCCTCCTCCCACCCCCCCCCCCCCCCCGCCCCCGCCCCCCCCCCCCCACCCCCCCCCCCACCGCACCCGTCGCCCCAGGCGTCCCCCACGAGGCTGACAGGAGCCGAGGGTCCAGGATCAAAAACACAATACAACACAACATAATTGTTTTCGACAGCTTGAAGCACGAAAAAAAAGGGTATAAAAGAAAAAAAAAGGGTTTGAAAAAAAACGGAAACCCCAAAAAAGTTATTTGCAGCAGGGGCTGCAAAAAAAAAAAATGTTTCACCGGGAAAATTTTTTAACCCCCCCCCCCCCCCCCCCCCCCCCCCCCCCACCCCGTGCATTCGCAGACGGACTCTCCACGTTTCCCGCTGAAAGTGTACAGGGGGAGGACAGGGGGGAGGAGAGCCCAGGAGAATAGGGGTTGGGACTGGTACTGGAGACGGGTGGGAAGGGGAAATATAGGGGGAAATTACGCAACAATGCTTAATATTTAGCAATTGAAAACGGGCTAAAGAGAGAAGGGTAAGGAAAAGAGGCGGCAGCCGGGAATGCACGGTACAGGAGGACTCCCAGTTCCTCCACCCCCGTGTACTTTTAGGCCCAAATGAGAGTGCATTCGTGACATAATATGCAAAAGTAATGACTACATTTGATGCGAAGATTCTTCTTTCGTCAAAAATGCCGACTATTTATCATTCGCCACTTTAGAAACGAACAACCTCGTTCCCAGGGTTCTCTCCTACCCACCCTCCCTAGGACGGGTAGGAGAGAACCCTGGGAACGAGGTTGAGAAACGAGAAGAGGACTGGAGCTGAGTGTGTCCCGCAATTGTTTCTGGGATTCTTACTGAGGACGCGCCTGTCAGCTATTGGCCAATTTTTTTTTCTTTGTCCCCAGTGACAGTCCCAGAAGTCTTTACGAAAGTTAACCAGGCCCAGTTTTCCACATTTTTAACAGTAATGCCGTTAGAAGTCATATTTTTGACACCTTTCTTTCCTTTGTTGTGTCCTAGTTTCGTTCCATTCTCCTCTCGGTCATCAGATCCGGGAACATCCATTCTGTTTCTCCGTAGCCATTCCTGATAGCTGTGTTGCGATAGTGAAGGAAAAACGAAAAACAAGCACCTAACCATAAACTCACCGACTTAAGATGCGTTCAGACAAAGAAGGAAACCAACTACCTATGACAGATTGAGGGATACGTTTCATTAGCAGTTGCCTGACGTAAGTGCTTTTCCAGTCTACGCTATACGCTTTATTAAAATTGTTCACGATTAATGGTGTTTAGATAAAAGCGTTGGGCAAACTAAAAATGGCTTAGAACGTGGTTCTGTTAAACACGGGCTAAACTCGGTTTAAATAACTCGCCCTTTGTTTGCTATCCAATCCGGCAACGTCTAACTATTGTTACTACGGAAGCAAGCGATAATTTTGTCCGTAAAATTTGTTCTAAGGTTAAATCAGTATTCAAACTTGGGTACCGGGATTGCAACTCGAGAAAAAAGCGAACCCTTAAAGGTTGAAGCAGACACACGTACGAAAAACTTTCGAAGAAACTGAACGACGACAACCAACGACAAAGACAGGCCCTCCGAGAAAGAGGCAGAATGGTTTAAGGAGAAATAACTAGACTGATAAGAAGAAAATCTATATTAAAAAAAAAATGATAAGCATATGTGAAGTTTGAAGAGGATACATGTTCTTCTTGTAGGTAGCAGGAATACGCACTCCACTCTCTGTTCTTATTTTCTTCGTGTTGCCATCTTCACCAACAAAGTTTTTCCTCTTTCGATCCCTGAAAACCGAAACAAACAACGAACAAAAAAAAACACGTTAGATCGCTTGAATCATTGAGTGGGTATCTGGATAACAAAAGAATCCCTACTTCTCGTCTTTGAGCTTCTAAGTCTACAAACGAAATCCTATGGTGTGACCTTTCAAATGAAACTTTTTCAGTTTCAGCAGTACTTTCACATGGTGCTAATTACTAGGTACATAGCCTTATCTTTTGGGTAGTAGAAAAAATCCTGTGGTATGACCACTCAGGTAGTACTGTTATATGGTGCAATTTGTTTCTCTGTATTTGACTATTTTGATCATCTGTATTTGACTATTTTGATCACTATTGTAAATAGGAAAGTTCATGATTTCTGAAACGTCATCTTAAATAACTTCATCAGATGGTAGTGGCGTAAAACAACAGAAAAAAAAATTAGCTGACTCTCGCTTCCTCTCAAACCGCCCCCTACAGCTATAAACCACGACGCCCGCCCCCTCGATACACTTGAAAATCAGGTTGGTCGCCATTAACGGTAAGACGCGCTATATCTCGACGATCTCACGAAAAAACAGGGGACTGTGAACAGTCTAACCGCATCGTCATAAGTTTTTTCACTACCATTTCTTGATTGTTTTCGCTTTCCGCATTCCTTCTTCCTCATCAGCTTCTATGTCCATGACAGCACCAGACACATCCTTCTCAAACGAGTTCAAACCAAGCCTACAAGAAACCATAACTACAGTACGCGAGGGTTTGATCTAGTGATCATAAAGACAAATATTAACTGAACATTTCTTTCCCCTAATGTTTTTCTATGGACGAAATCTTTAAAATTACAATAAAAAGTATCAATCAATCAATCGAAAGATCTTATTTTGGGCGGATTTCCCTGTGTTAGGGTTTGTTGCAAAGATCAAGGTAAATTGGAAAAGCAAGTAAACAAACAACAATAATAACAAATCCTAGTTCATCATACTTACCCTAGTCCTTTCTCGCCATAAAAATCGGACGCAGTGTGGGGAATATAGTTCTCGTCTCTGAAGCTTTTCATGGAATGACCTGGTAATGCAAATCACAGAAAGAAAAGCGTAAAGCGTAGATCGTTCTTCGATGAGACTTTAGAGAAAGATCACTAAGTTTGACTAAATGCGAGTAGTCGTGAGGCATCCATCTTGACTTTGAAATAGGGAGTAAAATCCAGATGGCTGTCTCACGAATTCGACGATCGATCTGTTCAATCGACAGAAAAAAAACATACGAGTTCACAAAGAGCATTTCTTAAAACTAAGAAATAAAGCCCTCGCCAAAGTCACATCCGACAAGTAAACGTCTAAGCTAGGGTAAATTATATCGCTAATCCTTCTGATAGTTAAAACCTCGGCTGGACACGATCTAAGTTGAACCATGTTCGCTGCTGCAAACAGTGATGATAAACGCACCTTCAGGCTCTGATTTGGACTTCCTTCGTTTCTTTTTCTCTGTGGGATCAATTACAGTGGCAAACACGCCCTGAAAAAGGAAAGCAAACATTTTCCGGTAGTTTAACTCTCCTCACTTTTCGGCGAAAAGTTAAAGCTTTAATCGCGGATATAATTAGTTAAAACAATTTGCAAAACATAAGATCCCCTACGTCTTTAGGTACGCACACTTATTACTCCCCCTCCCCCCTCCCCATTGTTGGTTTCCAAGGGTCTTAAAAGGTGCTAGTGCATAAGCCAAGAAGGCCCACATAGCCAGAGCTTCACACGGTTTCTGTTACATGAAGCACTTGGTAGTGTATTGCTACCCCTCCCCCTCCCTCAATGAGACGAGAGTCTATCACAGGACTACCCTCTCAACAGTGTGTCCCAGGATACCCACTTATATACCTGAGTGAAGAGAAAGGTAGTGAAGCAGGGCTCTTGTCGAATAAAATGGAAAAACAAGGCTTGAACCCGGTCCTACAGACCTGTGTTCCAGGTGTTAACCGCAGGGCAAATACGCTTCCACGGGTCTGTAGTGGAAAGATCGATGAAATCCGCTAGCACTGCAACAATTATGACGGTCGAGATTGTAGTAACAACTCACCATCATTTCATCACTGGTCACATTACTGCCATTTCCTCCACGTTCATTGCTACCACCCCTCCCCTGGATAGTCAAGGAATCGTCTTTTTTGAGCCTCTGTGCTTTTTCAATGACTTCACTGTGACGTTTCCTTTAAAAGAATAAAACAAATGACGCAACGTAACTAACAACATTTAAAAGAGTGTTGCCAAGCAGCGTGACGTGCACTAGCGTTACCTTCTAACAGTAAGACAACTATACTTCAACTATCCATAATAATCACAATTATATTACTACTATTTCATCGAAATTCGTATGAAAACAAAATGGGAAAACTACAGTCAAAACTAACTTTTAACTTTTGCACTAATGGTCTGACTGATTGGCTCGAAAATGTCACTTGTTTTAATAGCAGAAATAACAAGATCGCGGAAAATTCAAAACCCAACACCAAAAATGATTTCTTAGATGATTTACAAACCGTTTTGACATCATGACTGACTGCGCCGTGGATTTTGATGTTGATCCTATTTCGAAAATCGTCTACAAAACGAAAACAAACAAACAAGCAAGTTAACTCCACAACTGTTTATCTTATTGATTTAGCCCATCAGGACAACAACATGCCTCTTGAAATCCCACGGTGTTGGTAGAATTATCGACAGTCTTTGGAGATCTTCATAAATCTGCATTAAAACGCTGTTGAGTGTCGTATACACAAAAAAATGGCTTAAATACTTTAAAAGTGTATAGAACCAGTCACAAACAATGACTTCTACGTACTTCTAGAATTGTTTGTCTTCATCTGCAAGAGATCTGCAAGAGATCCTTTGGACTAAAACCAAAAGCCCCTTTAAACTATTCTTACCTGCCTCGGCCGGAAGTTTCTCACTCCATCCATGATGTCAACTCTTGTGGCAGACGCCTCGCTGGAACTTACATTATCAGATTCTAAAAACATCAGAACAAATATAAAAATTAAAGCCATGGAAACATCGAAGCAATCTCTTGGTTTTAATTACGTGAGTTATGATGATAATGATGATGATGATGATGATGATGATGATGACGTCATTTTTGTGGAAGGCATCCCCAAACAAAAAACAGGCCAAATGGATTCGCTCACACCTTTTTGAGCAACGAAGGCGCGAGAAGTTTTTCTTCCTGACCTATGAGCTAACCAAAACGGAAAATACCCCGTTTAACAGAAATAAATGAACATCCAGCGACTTCCTTTTTAACACTTACTGAATAGCGGATGAATGGGCAGAGTAGTGGTGTCTATCTGTTTGGATCGCTTGACGGATTCTGAAGATGCACAGGGTCTGGACTTCATGTACTGTTTGTAGCCATTGGCTGCTACTTGGCGGAGAGAGACCTGGACACAATACAAAGCGAATTGTTAGCTTGACAGCTCCACTTTTGAGTCGTCAACGAATTTCTCTTTTTGTACACGGCCAATGCCGGCAAATTTTACGTTCCCTGAAATTCTCTATAAACTTTTGGGGACAAACCTTTTTCCCCCGAAAAAGTTTACGAAATCGTACAAAGAATCGAGTGGATTGATAGCCTGCGGTAATTGGCACGGCAAACAGTCAAGAGGTCATTTCCGAGTTCCAAAAACTCTTTCTTTAAAAACAAGGCTGAGTGCAAATCCTTTCTTGTGAAAATGAGTTTTATTCCCATGAAAATTAAAACTCATTTTCACATCAATGGTTTTGTACTTAGCCTCGCTTTGGAACAGAGGCCCGGGGGAACTCGGAAATGGCCAATCTCTGTCACTTACAAGGTCATGTGACTTATCATGCGCTGCTTTCAGGAAGTTCTGCTCGTCATCCACAAACTGCTGAGGAACCGTGCCTATAAGACCATCATCTTGAGCCTGCGAGTCCTTTTGGGCCTCCTTCAGCGGTCGACCGAGGAAGAGGTGAAGATCGACCACGTGAGCCAGCTATCAAAACAACAAACAGTAATATGAGAAAAGTCAAACCTCTCAAGAAAAAGGTCAAATTATATATAGGTCATAATTTTGCATCAAGACAGAGAGAAACGAGAGTCACAAACAAGTTAAGAAATTGTACCAAGAACAAGAAGACCAAAGACTACTGCAAAGCTGATTATTGTTTTTTATAACAATATTTCGGCTGGCCATACCAGCCTTCTTCAGGTTTACAGATGTTACTGAACTTATGTAGCAATCACAATATTATATAAATGGAGAATGTCGCAATAAAAGGGAAGGGCGGAAATGACGTACAACATAAAAACTGGAAAGGAAAAATACTAAGGATATGGATTACAATAATTCCAGTTTTTCTGTTGTACGTCATTTCCGCCTCTCCCTTTTATTTCTTTATATTTTGGCTGATTTGATCTCTTTTCTAGAGATCCAACGTTTACAACTAGCAGGATCTTCGTCCATGGTTTTTGCAGCTAATTTAATCCTTTATTTTTAAGAAATTGTCGCTCGACACAACTATGGAACCTGAAAAAAGCCCAAGCGTAAGCACGTGGTTTTCTAAACAAAGACAAACCATACTGCATACGATGAACTCGTTTAGAAAAACGAGAGCATTTTGCGACATAGTTCTTCTGGTCGAGGACCGCCGTCTTGCAGCTCACACAGTTGTCCTCGCCGCGAGCAGCCCTTACTTCAAAACTCGATTTACGAGTGACTTGACTCAAGAACAGGAAAGACACGAGTTGGAAGTTAAACTACCGGAGTTTAATCCTAGTCTCGATAGAATTGAAGAACTTTTGAATTTTGTTTATACTGGGGAAATTGAAATGACCGACAAAAATGTGGGAGAAATGCTGGCCTTAGCCGATTTCTACGACATCGCCAACCTCAAAGAACTTTGTGCACAGTTTTTACTAAAACGACTTAAACCAGCGAACTGTTTGTCAACCCAAATGTTAGCCGACCGCTACCATCACGAACCTCTTTTCGAAGCAGTTACTGATTTCATAAGCAGCAACCTAAACTCTATTTGGCATGAAGAGGAGTTTAAATCCTTGGACATTGCGGAAGTAAAGAAACTCTTTTCGGGCGAAAGACTGGCTATCAAACATAAAAAGGAGAGGAAGAAACTTTTTGAGGGATTAAAAACTTGGGTGAAGCATGATCTACAGGGAGAGTTACGTCGCTGAACTGCTCCAATGTGTACGTTTGTCGGCCATGTCCAACGAGTTTCTTTTGGATCTGATCAATCATGACGAGCTTGTGACACGTAGTTGCGACTGTCAAAGTTTGATCGCGGCGGTACTTGGTGTCACGGAAAGCATTGTGCTAGTCAGCGAAAACGGGTGTGCATCGAGTTACATTCCCGCGACCGAAGCATGGATCGACTTGGCTAGATTACCAAGTTATAACAAGGTTCGAGCAGTAACAACTTGCAAGGGTTTTGTCTACGCGATTGGCTGGGAGGATGATCGTTTCACAATAGAGAAATTCGACCCAGAAAATAATCTCTGGTCGCAAATTTTATGGGATAGAAGAAACCGTCCAATGGCGACCGTGTCTATTGGGGACAGTATTTATGTCCTCCAAGAACAGATCGTGTCCCGCTTCAATGCTGTGGACCACTCGTGGGAAGATGTAGCTGGGATGACCTCGGTCAGGAGGGGGTTATGCGCTGTGGCTTTAAACGGACACGTTTACGCGATTGGGGGCCATGAAGGCCTTGAACCCCTGGGTCTCAACAGCGTAGAAAAATACGACCCTGCGAGGGACCAATGGGAGGCCGTCGCCTCGATGAACCACCATCGATGCTATGCAAGTGCGACTGTTGTGGGGGGCAAAATTGTTGTGGTCGGTGGAAAAGGGGACTTTCTGCCGCTTTGGACCAGCGAACTTTACGATCCTGTAACGAACATGTGGAGTTTACTTCCGGGAAAACTGAAAGTGTCACGATCCAACGCGGCAGTTAGCAAAGCGAAAAAGACCATTTTTGTATTCGGGGGAATTTTCACTGACGGGATTGTGGAATATTACGATTTTGACAAAGAAGAATGGGAAAAAATCGGCAGGATACCGTCCACAGAGAACTTTAATCTCGCTTGTGCCACATGGCTTCCTGACACACTCTTCAAGTCGCTGAAAAGTAACAGGCTGCTGTGTGACCAAGAAAATGATTAAAGGATAGAAATTTACACGAAAAAATAGACCTGGGCCGAGTTTTTCTCGACCTGGTTAATTACTAATAATACAAGAGGAAATCAACCTAGAAGATACATCTCAGTAATCAGGAAAAAGTTTTGTCAAAGATAAGACTGTGTGACTCAACAAACTTTTTAAATAAAGCGTTGCAAAGTATTCAAATAGCCAGACTTCAAGATAGATTAACCCTTTAAACCTTGTTCCAAAATAAAAATTGTAATTTTTTTGCTCCTATATATTTACTATAGAAGCATTGGGGAGAACTTGCTAAAATATGTAACAAATTTATCTTGTGTGATCATAACTTTAATTCTCACTACCACTCTGTTTTTAAAAAAACATTGATATCACAAAGCTAGACAAATTTGATGTTGATCTCTCTTTACTCTTAGGGTTCTGCCAGGCTTCATTTCCGAGCTTTGGACAATTCTCTGCCGCTTTCTCCTAAATACGCTAAAATAACATCAAATAATCAATTTTAAGGTTCAGGGGCGGTTCTGCGGGGAGGGTGCGGGGGGTGCGCACCCCCCCCCTGGCGAGATGACCTGAAACTTTCTAATACAACTGGTATCCTGCAAAATATGCAGATATGTACGATACGTATTCTCAGCAGTTCACATTATGTTATTGCCTAGTCAAAAGCCTTGTTCTTCGTATTCGCTTTTAAAATTTGTTTATGTCACCACTCAGTTACGCCATTTGTTAGTGGTGCACTGCCTCCTAACTGAAAAAAATCCTGGATTCCCCCCTGAGGTTGTGTAGAGAATGTGGAAAATAGCTATGTCAAGCAAAAGCCTATCAATTTTATCTCACACCTCAATGATGTACAGTAAAGACTAGATTTTATGGCGCAATGGGATTTCGATGGGCAGGAAAGATATGATTACAAAATATCAGGGTGATTGTAAATTTTTATAATCAGTAAAGAAGAAATTTAATTTTAATGCAGAAAAATTAGAAAGCTGCTATGGACAATTTTTACTTGGAAAAAGGACAAAAAATATTTAAACACTGCACCGTAGACATCTTTCGTTACGCTGAGTTCTTAATGCATAGGCTGATTTGCATACATTTTAGATTTTAAGCACATGGAGCAGGTGTTAGAGAAAAAGAGGAATAATAAAAATAATAAAGATTCTTTCAAATTTTCTCGAAAAACCTTCAATTTTGCCTCCAAACAGTCGAAATGTTTGGAATGTTAGGTCCAGACCGCGTGAAAGCATTGACACCAACCAACACAAACCAATCTTGTTTACGTGATCGACTGTTATGACCGCTGACACGCTTTACTGATTTTCCTGTTTTGTTCATTGCCTTATTTTCGCCAAATTCCGTTTACATCTCAAGAGTAGCGAGAAAAAGGGTGATAAGTGCGGTAAGATTTTGTAGTTCAACGCAACTATGGAATCTGAAAAAAGCTCGTGGAAATCCAGCCAGAGACAAAGTGTGCTTCATACGATGCACTCGTTTCGAAAGTCACAAGCTTTTTGCGACGTGTTTCTCGTTGTTGGAAACCGCCGTCTTCCAGCTCACAAAGTTGTTCTCGCGGCGAGTAGCCCGTTCTTTAAAGCTTCCTTTACGAGTGACTTGACTGAAGAAAAAGCAAGCAAGGAGTTGGAAGTCAATCTGCCGGAATTTGATCCTGACAGCATCGAAGAGCTTTTGAATTTTCTTTACACCGGGGAAGTTGGAATCACTGAAGCAAACGCCGAAGAATTGATGGTAGTGGCTGATTATTTTGACATTCCCAACCTCAAAGAACTGTGTGCAGAGTTTTTAATTATTAGCCTCAAACCATCCAACTGTTTATCGGCCCAAACGTTAGCCGATCGATACCGTCACGAACTTCTTTTTGAAGCAGCCACTGATTACATATGCAACAATCTCAGCGCCATTTGGCATACAGAAGAGTTTGTTTCTTTAGATATTGCGGAAGTAAAGAAACTTTTTTCGGGCGAAAGACTTGCTATTAAAACACAAAAAGGAGAGGAAGAGGTCTTCGAAGGAATAAAAGCGTGGGTGAAGCACGACTTTGAAAAGAGAGAGAGTTATTTCGATGAACTTTTCCTCCGCTTCGTTCGTTTATCGGCCATGTCAATTAATTTCATTTTGGACGTCATCAGCCGTGACGAGTTTGTGTCACGCAGTCACGAATGTCACAGTTTAGTCACGAAGGTGCTTAGTTTCGCAAATGAAGAGCGTGACGAGCCGCGAGGTGTTACGGAAAGCATTGTGTTAGTCAGCAAGAACGGGTGTGCTTCCTGTTATGTTCCTGCGACAGAAGCATGGATCGACTTGGTTAGATTACCGAGTTATAACGAGATACGAGCATTGACAATCTGCGAAGGCTTTATCTATGCAATCGGCTGGGAGGACGATCGCATCACGATCGAGAAATTCGACCCGCGAAAGAACCTGTGGTCGGAAAGACTGTCGGATGTCGGTAATCGACCAATGGCGGCTGTGTCGATCGAGGGTAGTATCTATGTGCTCAAGGAACATGGCGTGTCGTGTTTCAAACCAGTGGACAGCTCTTGGGAAGATTTAGCCACAATGGTCTCTGTCAGAAGAGGGCTTTGCGCTGTGACCTTAAACGGATATATTTACGCGATTGGCGGCCATGATGGGCTTCAAAACCTGGGGCTCAACAGCGTAGAAAAATACGACCCTGAGAGGGACCAATGGGAGGCCGTCGCACCGATGGACGAACAGCGATGCTTTGCCAGTGCAGCTGTCGTGGGGAACAAAATCTTCGTCGTGGGTGGAACGGGGGACTGTTTTCTTCCGCTCTCGAACTGCGAACTTTACGATCCCGTGACGGACATGTGGAGTCTACTCCAGGCAGAACTAAACGTGCCACGATCCAACGCGGCAGTTGGCAAAGCAAAGAAAAAGATCTTCGTGTTCGGTGGAACCTACTCGAATGGGATTGTGGAATATTATGATGGCGATAAAGAAGAGTGGAAGGAAATTGGCAGAATACCTTCCACAATGAATTTCACGCACGCTTGTGTCACGTGGCTTCCTAAAAGACTCTTCAAGTCGCTGAAAAGTGAAAGGCTGTTGTGTGAGCAACAGAACAACTAACGGGCTGCCCACGATTGGTGGCCGAGAACCAGTGCCTGGGTACCGGTGTAGCTACTCCTACTACTGTGTGCATAGCTTCTCCATTTCGCCATGTCAGACGCCATTTTGAAACACGAGTTTAGCAGCGAATACAAAGCAGTGGACTGCCCCAGAACTAACAAAAATGATTACAAACAGGCACCCATTGTCCACTTTTGTGCCCGAGTACCGACAGTGTGCCTGAATTCTAGGTTGGGTACTGTACGTGAAAAAAGTGTGTACACATTAGTTCCTATAGTGAGTACTATGCACGAGCATCGTGGCCGGGCCTTACGTGTGAACGCTGCCTTAGTACTATAAATTCTGTAAATTAAGGTTGCTGTATTCCACAAATTTTTTGCTTCCATCGCTGTCGTCAAAGCCAGAGCTCCCTATTTTGGACATCGTAGTTTGTTTTGGGACTATGTTGACATCGTGCACGATAATGACGACGGGTACAGAATTTTCGCGAGAGTCACTATAAACACTTCACCGAAACCGGAAACCGCGCATGAAAAGTCTTTTCCACCTAGGGTAGAATCGTCAAAGATCAAAAAGCAAAAACTGGTGATTATTGTAAATCTAAGAAGAATCGTAAGAAATTTACCTCATCGCTACCAACAAGAGAATATGCTGTTCCACTCCGTCCAGCTCTTGCTACTCGACCTTGAACAAATAAAAACAGTTTTGTCATCATTAATGTTGTGAACAGGACAAGGGAGGGGGCAAACTCGATAACTGAAGCGTTCTTTTTTAAACTCTAGCGTCGGATTGTCTACTATTGGCCTTTTACTGTGTAAGGTAACTTTAAAAAGACTTCAACAACAATAATAATAAAAAATTAAAACCGGTAATCAAAGTTTTCACATTTCAGCAGTCTTCTATTCCCTTAGAACAACCCCATTTTTTGTTTTAGAGCTTACTTCGACTCCACTAGCTTTATTTTGGCTGTTTCGGCCGAGCACTAAGAGATAAAACAATACGTTGTACTACAACCAAGAATAAGCAAGCAACGAAAGTTGTCTTTCAAGTGCCAGTTCGTTTCAAAGAACAGAATAAAGGAATTTAAGAAATCAAAGACTATACCTACCAACCCGGTGGATAAAAAGTTTGGGTTTGGCGGGAAAGTTGTAGTTTATCACGTTGTCCAACATTGGGATATCAATTCCACGGGCCTGGTGACAAATACATGCGAATGCTCGTCAGCGTTTTGCAATGAAAGCGGCAGTATGGTAAAAGCGAGTAGTGAATTCTACCCGTTGGAGGCTCAGAAAAAACAGTGTCGGATATAACGTGGTTAAATTTTATCCTCGGTTCAATCTTTTTTCTTTTGTTGTAAACCAATGTCATACCTTACCATGCACACAATATAAAAGGAAATTATTAAAAAAAGACAAAACCAAAGACAAAATTAAACCTCAATCCGGTAATGAGCTTTTTTTACTAAATAAGCATCCTCCTAAACTAAGTTAACTTCAGTTCACTACCAATGAATCTTCTCGCTTTTATTTAAAGAATGTTTAACAAATTCTGTGAAATTATGCGAGTGAACAACCGTCCTTTGGCTCTAACAATTCATCGTGGAAATATGTAATTTTAAAGCACTACATGTATTTGAAATCAAGGGAAACTGTTTCATTTTGCGGGACGTAAAAACTCTCTATAATGCACATTACTTTTTAAGACAATCTGGAGCATTTCTTCGACGTTTTACCTACGAAACAATACTCTTTTACTTACAGCCACGTCTGTAACCACCATAACGTTTGTTTTCTTATGTTGAAACTTGCCAATGTTAATCTTCCTTGCTGTAAAAGTAAACAAGCATTTGTTAAAGTGTCATTCGCAAGTTATTTGACTCTTGCAGCTACCTGATTTGGTACGAAAAAGGTTTAAACGTGGGCTGTACAACGCGTAACGTCGCTTTTCAACTCGTTTTGTAGCAATGTTTCGAAACGAGATGCACGTTTTTGTAGCCCGTTTTACGGTCGCTTTAGTTCACTTCGAGCACTTCCTGAATGGACGCTATCATCATCTACCCGTGATAACTAGAAACAGTTAATTTTCTCATCTACGAGGATTCAAGTTCAATGCACTCCACCGCAAATCCCCCAGGTATAAGCATTCTATACTGATCCGCTTCTCTCCAACTATTGAAAAACAGCCAGGCTGAAGTCGAGTCACTAACCACTCAAGACGTCGCCTGAGAGCACGCTCTCCAGTTGGAGGAACGAGCGAGCAAAACAGGAAACGCTAGCGCGTACCTCCACGGCTCGCTTCGCGCGTACCCTCTCGGCTCGCTTCGCTTGCCCAATAACGGCGAGCTTACTCGCAGGCCGGGCTAATTAAGACAAAGCCTTACAAAACACCAACTGGACATGTTTCTAGTTAAATACGTTCGTTTAAACCAGAATTTGTTTGGTCTTCGATCAGTAATTAGCACTCGTGTATAAAGGAAATTACCTAGGTTAGACTGATTTAAGGTGGCTCCGTAATTAATACAAGAGCATTTAGCTGTGACAAATTTTCCGTCATAACTTTTTCGATTTTAACGCGATGGCTGCGAAACTTTGCAAAGAACAACAGATACCATTCGGCAATAATACGGAATATTCCGATTTCATTGATTGTAAATATTTCTTGAGAAATTAGCGCTTAAAAGGACCCTAATGTTCAAAGAAAATCGCGTCTAGTAAAAAATTTTGCTGATATTTTTTACTGAAATTTCTGGTATCGGCTTTAATTGATATAATAAATATGCCAGAGGAATTTCAGAAAAATCGTTGGAGCAGAAGTCCGTAACTAAAAGTCGCTCAAAATTCAGCTGTGAAATTGTTTTGGAATTTCAAAAATAAATTACTATCTGGAAGAAGGAGACACCAGTTTGAATTTTCGGGACAAGTAAATTCAATGTTTGCTAATTCTGAAAACAAAAGCCGATTGCCTATCGTGCTATTCTTTAAAAGGTACTTTTCAGTTTTAGAAGCACTATAAATTACTCCAAACCTTGCTCTGACGTCGAATGACTTGTTCCTCGACATTTTTAAAATATCCCTTGGCAGTTTTGCTTCAAACTCCTGCTACATACATGTTGATGTATTGCAATGCATCCTCAACGGCTTTTCCTGCTGTACGTTGTTTCCAATTCAGGAAAAAGGTATTGGGATTGTAAGCTACCTTGTATCGAAGCTCAGATAGAACTGTCCAGCACCTTTGTTTATGACGAGAAAATGAGCACGAGCGGCAGCTCTGCGAGGAATTCGCACCTCAGCCAGGGGGGACGAATGACAATGATGCCCATGTCTGTGAACCGATCTGTATAAACATGTATTGCAGAGCAAAACATAATAATCAAGAAAAAAAATACCCATTCATTGAAGGAAGAAGTGACAAAAATTTCAGAGTTGTAAATTTATTCACGGGCAGTATTTTTGCGATAATTTTATTTTGCACTGTGATGTTATTCGGTTCACAGGCATGGTCATCATTGTCGTTCGTCCCCCCTGGGTGAGGTGCGAATTCCTCGCAGAACTGCCGCTCGTGCTCATTTTGTAGTCATAAACAAAGGTGCAGGACAGTTCTATCTGAGCTCTGATACGAGGTAGCGTCCAATCTCAATACTTTTTTCCTGAGTTGGAAGCAACGAACAGCAGTAAAAGTCGTTGAAAATGCATTGCAATACATCAAAATGTATGCAGCAGGAGTTTGAGCCAAAACTGCAAAGGGATATTTTAAAAATGTCGAAGAACAAGTCATTCTACTTCAGAGCAAGGTTTGGAGCAATTTATAGTGCTTCTAAAACTGAAAAGTACCTTTTAAAGAATAGCACGATAGGCAATCGGCTTTTGTTTGCAGAATAAGCAAACATTGAATTTACTTGTCCCGAAAATTCAAACTGGTGGCTCCTTCTACCTGATAGTAATTTATTTTTGAAATTCCAAAAACAATTTAGCTCAATTTCGCAGCTGAATTTTGAGCGACTTTTAGTTACGGACTTCTGCTCCAACGATTTTTCTGAAATTCCTCTGGCAAATTTATTATATCAATTAAAGCCGATACCAGAAATTTCAGTAAAAAATATCAGCAAAATTTTTTACTAGGCGCGATTTTCTTTGAACATTAGGGTCCTTTTAAGCGCTAATTTCTCAAGGAATATTTACCATCAATGAAATCGGAATATTCCGTAGTATTGCCGAATGGTATCTGTTGTTCTTTGCAAAGTTTCGCAGGCATCGCATTAAGAACCAAAAAGTTATGACGGAAAATTTGTCACAGCAAAATGCTCTTGTATTAATTACGGAGCCACCTTAACCTAAGAACATATTTTACCCAGAACAGATACTGACCTGCTTGATCGAGTGTGCTGTAAACATACGAGCTTTCTATTCCAGCAGCGTCGAGCAGCTGATATAAACATTTTGAGGCAAAGCACACAATGCTGTTAGTACTGGAATAGTGGAATAATAATAATAATAATAATAATTTGCATGCATATATAATATGTTTTACGAAGTCTTAAATGGATCAACAAATCATAGCTAAATTGCTTTACAACAACAACAATTTCATTCCTGCATATACTAGCAGTTAAATAGCTTGCCCCGCAAATAGCTGCAAAGCTACGGTCGTGGCGGGGAAAGACAAGTGCATGCATAACATACCTATACTAAAACAAAAACACTTCACGTAACAAAGCTTTTCAGTGCCGTTCCTAATGAATTAGAGGGTTTAAAAGTTAAGAAGGGAAAGTAGGTGAAGACGGAGCCAAGAGGTGTCACTAGAGGCCGGGGAGTGGGGATTTTCCCCGAACGATCCCGAACGATCTAGCGATCTAACGATTTAGCGATCTAACGATCTAACGATCTAAAGATCCTTCGATCTAGCGATCTAACGATCTAGCGATCTAGCGATCTAGCGATCCATCGATCTAACGATCTAATGATCTAACGATCCATCGATCTAGCGATCTAAAGATCTAACGATCTAGCGATCTAACGATCTAGCGATCTATCGATCTAGCGATCTAACGATCTAACGATCAATCGATCTAGCGATATAACGATCCAACGATCTAACGATCAATCGATCCATCGATCTAGCAATCTAAGGATCTAGCGATCTAACGACCTAGCGATCTAGCGATCTAACGATCTAGCGATCTAACGATCCAACGATCTAACGATCCATCGATCTAGCGATCTAGCGATCTAACGATCGAACGATCTATCGATCTAGCGATCTAACGATCTAGGGATGTAAGGATCTAACGAGCCATCGATCTAACGATCTAGCGATCTAACGATCTAACGATCCATCGATCTAGCGATCTAACGATCTAGCGATCTAACGATCTAACGATCCATCGATCTATCGATCTAACGATCTAACGATCCATCGATCTAGCGATATAACGATCTAGCGATATAACGATCTAGCGATCAAACGATCTAACGATCTAGCGATCTATCGATCTAGCGATCTAACGATCAATCGATCTAGCGATATAACGATCCAACGATCTAACGATCAATCGATCCATCGATCTAGCAATCTAAGGATCTAGCGATCTAACGACCTAGCGATCTAGCGATCTAACGATCTAGCGATCTAACGATCCAACGATCTAACGATCCATCGATCTAGCGATCTAGCGATCTAACGAACTAGCCATCTAACGATCTAACGATCCATCGATCTAGCGCTCTAACGATCTAGCGATCTCACGATCTAAAGATCCTTCGATCTAGCGATCTAACGATCTAGCGATCTAGCGATCTAGCGATCCATCGATCTAACGATCTAATGATCTAACGATCCATCGATCTAGCGATCTAGCGATCTAGCGATCTAACGATCTAGCGATCTAACGATCTAGCGATCTATCGATCTAGCGATCTAACGATCTAACGATCAATCGATCTAGCGATATAACGATCCATCCATCTAGCAATCTAAGGATCTAGCGATCTAACGACCAAGCGATCTAGCGATCTAACGATCTAGCGATCTAACGATCCAACGATCTAACGATCCATCGATCTAGCGATCTAGCGATCTAACGAACTAGCCATCTAACGATCTAACGATCCATCGATCTAGCGCTCTAACGATCTAGCGATCTCACGATCTAAAGATCCTTCGATCTAGCGATCTAACGATCTAGCGATCTAGCGATCTAGCGATCCATCGATCTAACGATCTAATGATCTAACGATCCATCGATCTAGCGATCTAGCGATCTAGCGATCTAACGATCTAGCGATCTAACGATCTAGCGATCTATCGATCTAGCGATCTAACGATCTAACGATCAATCGATCTAGCGATATAACGATCCATCCATCTAGCAATCTAAGGATCTAGCGATCTAACGACCAAGCGATCTAGCGATCTAACGATCTAGCGATCTAACGATCCAACGATCTAGCTATCCATCGATCTAGCGATCTAGCGATCTAACGAACTAGCCATCTAACGATCTAACGATCCATCGATCTAGCGCTCTAACGATCTAGCGATCTCACGATCTAAACATCCACCGATCTAGCGATCTAACGATCTAACGATCCATCGATCTAGCGATCTAACGATCCATCGATCTAGCGATCTAACGATTTAGCGATCTAACGATCTAAGGATCCATCGATCTAGCGATCTAACGATCCATCGATCTAGGGATGTAACGATCAAGCGATCTAACGATCTATCAATCCATCGATCTAGCGATCTAACCATCTAGCGATCTAACGATCTAGGGATCTAACGATCTAACCATCTAGCGATCTAACGATCCATGGATCTAGCGATCTAACGATCTAACGATCCATCGATCTAGCGATATAACGATCTAGCGATCTAACGATGTAACAATCTAACGATCTAACGATCCATCGGTCTAACGATCTAGCGATCTAACGATCCATCGATCAAGCGATCTAACGATCTAACGATTCATCCATCAAGCGATCTAGCGATCTAACGATCCATCGATCTAGCGTTCTAACGATCTAGCGATCTAACGATCTAGCGATCTAACGATCTAGCGATCTAACGATCTAACGATCCATCGACCTAGCGATCTAACGATCTAGCGATCTAACGATCTAACGATCTAACGATCTAACGATCTATCGATCTAGCGATCTAACGATCTATAACAATCCATTGATCTAGCGATCTAACGAGCTTGCGACCTAATTATCTAACGATCCATCAATCTAACGATCCATCGATCTAGCGATCTAACGATCTAACGATCTAGTGATCTAACGATCTTGCGATCTAATGATCTAACGATCCATCGATTTAGCGATCTAACGATCTAGGGATCCATCGATCATGCGATCTAACGATCTAACGATCTAGCGATCTAACGATCTAGCGATCTAACGATCTATAACGATCCATCGATCTTGCGATCTAATGATCTAACGATCCATCGATCTAACGATCCATCGATCTAACGATCCATCGATCTAGCGATCTAACGATCCATCGATCTAGCGATCTAACGATCTAACGATGCATCGATCTAGGGATCTAACGATCTAACGATCTAACGATCTAACGATCTAACGATCTAACGATCTAACGATCCATCGATCTAGCGATCTAGTGATCTAACGATCTTGCGATCTAATGATCTAACGATCCATCGATTTAGCGATCTAACAATCTAGGGATCCATCGATCTTGCGATCTAACGATCTAGCGATCTAACGATCTAACGATCTAGCGATCTAACGATCTAGCGATCTAACGATCTATAACGATCCATCGATCTAGCGATCTAGCGATCTAGTGATCTAACGATCTTGCGATCTAATGATCTAACGATCCATCGATTTAGCGATCGAACGATCTAGGGATCCATCGATCTTGCGATCTAACGATCTAGCGATCTAACGATCTAGCGATCTAACGATCTATAACGATCCATCGATCTAGCGATCTTGCGATCTAATGATCTAACGATCCATCGATCTAACGATCCATCGATCTAGCGATCTAACGATCCATCGATCTAGCGATCTAACGATGCATCGATCTAGGGATCTAACGATCTAACGATCTAACGATCTAACGATCTAACGATCCATCGATCTAGCGATCTAACGATCCATCGATCTAACGATCCAACGATCCATCGATCTAGCGATCTAACGATCCATCGATCTAACGATCTAACGATCCATCGATCTAGCGATCTAACGATCCATCGATCTAGCGATCTAACGATCCATCGATCTAGCGATCTAACGATCCATCGATCTAACGATCTAACGATCCATCGATCTAGCGATCCATCGATCTAGCGATCTAACGATCCATCGATCTAACGATCTAACGATCCATCGATCTAGCGATCTAACGATCCATCGATCTAGCGATCTAACGATCCATCGATCTAGCGATCTAACGATCCATCGATCTAACGATCTAACGATCCATCGATCTAGCGATCTAACGATTCATCGATCTAGATCAATGGAACCAAAAAAAAACTTCTTAGCTGTTTAACTCCCCGCACCTGCCGAATGCATGTGCCCGGCACTTCGAAATCTTGGTGCCAGCCCGCCCAAAAGTGGAATTGCTACCACTAAAATGTACACAAGGTAATTTCACTTATTTTTTTTCATTTATTTTTAACAGTACTTTAGGATTAAACCAAGTTCTTGTGCCATATCCGAGGCGATATTACGATACACGGTAAAATAAAACAGGATAAAATGATTTTTGCCCAGAAAACGACAGCGACATGAACTATTACAACAAAACCAAAACTAACCAACTTTATACAATACCTCCTTCAAGTATTCTACATGATGCTTTGTAGCTGTGAATATGAGCGTCTGTTCCGACTGTTTGATCAGGTTTTGAAGAATATGCAGCAAAACAGCTAAAAGAAAGTCATGCAGGCTTAATAGACTTAGAATAACCTTTCAAAAAATAAAGATCGGGTTCATGCGTTACCCGGTAACAAAGATTTATTTCGTTGAAGTATACTTTGTTTTCAGTAATAACGACGGAAACTAACCTTTATTGAAATCGTTTTGCTTATTTTGTAGCTTCGAGACAATCAGTTCGCTTTAAACACATTGAAGCAAATTTCCTGTTCTAAAGAGAACTATAAATTTAGGATGAATAGTACAGTTTCTTACCAGGTTTATCATCTGATCTCAATGAAAAGAACGCCAACTTTGAAAGAGAGAGAGAAAAAATGTAAGATTGAGAAAAAGAAGATTTAATATCGATTCTTAATGGGCGACAGTAGCACGATAGAGAAGAGCAAACACAACCCCTTCTATGAGCAGAAGTATTTGGAAGACTTTAAAGTATACGTCCGAAGTTTCGAAGATTTCCGAAGAGGGCCCGAGGGTATTTCGAAAAATTGTAACGATTTTCAGAGTTTATTACCGATGTTCATACCTTAAGCTGTTCGGATAGCTTTGAGTCTACATCCAATCGTATAAGAACAGGATCAGTAAGACCTAATGATGAAAAAGAACAGTACATATGTTACTGCTGAGCAAAAATAATTACAGTCAATTCTTCCTTAACGGACACCTCTATAAGACGGGCATCTCTCTAGGACTGACACCTAGTGTTGGTCCCTGTCGTTTTTCAATGATTTTACTGTAACTAAACTTTCTATAAGACGGACACCTCTCTCAGACGGACAACGGACACTTTTGGAACTGTCACTGGACAATTGGGAAGTACTTAATGTGGTGAAAAATACCTCGAAACGGAAATGTAGGGGTCTGTAGTAAACTGCAATTTAATGTTTGATATTTTTTTGTCTTGTTCCAGTTCGCAGAGTGAGTGTTACCCTTTTAGACTACGAAGCCATGAACGTTGGCTTGTAATGAGCGTCTGACTTCACAATGAAGAAGACAATTCCACTTTTCTGTTACACTGTTCCAGTTTTAGCTGTTTTGTGCAAGTTAAACAGACGTGTACTCATTACGTATAGGTTCAGCTTTAACTAAATAACTGGTGTCGCGATATCTTGACCGTCTTTGAGAGAGATGACCATAAACCGTTTCTTCCAAGTTTAATATGGCATCCGCGCAAAAATTAAGATCATTAAAAAAGTAAAGAAGTTTACATGCACATAACGTAAATACCTGCTTTGGTAAACTCCACTAACAACTTTGGAAGGGTTGCAGAAAACAGAAGAGTTTGCCTGGGAATAAACGAACAATCATTGAATTATAAACAATTTTTTCCTCTATGCAACAGCCCGCATTAGAACAGAATTTTATCTTTTCCATAACACAGTCTTGAAAAGGCACTGACAACAAAGTAAGATCTTCCTGATCTCGCCTGAATTCTCATGAATAAATAAAATCACATAGAAGCCATTTCTCTATCATTCGTTACCTTACCTAGAATCTGGAAGACGATGAATGATCTCATGAAGTTGTTGAGCAAATCCCATCTCAAAGAGTCTAAGAGTAACAAAAAACAATTTTGATTATTGAAATATATAAAAACCGTTTGGTCCTCGACAACAGCCACTGGTCAGATGCAAATACAATGTTATATTTTTCCACACAACATTTAATTTTCAAAGGAAATTTCTAAACACTGGGCCGATCAATGATTCTTTTTACTGAATTCATACCTGTCGGCTTCATCAAACACCACATATTCCACTGATGTTAGTTTTAAGTCCATTTCCATCATAACGTGCAGAAACCGCCCTGGAGTGGCCACAATACTACCAATAAAACAATCAATAAGTAAATATACCGGAATACTGATTTTTAAAGGGACAGGGTCAATATGGAATCCAATAATTTTGACATTCAAATCACTTTGTATTGGTCAGCGAACCTCTAAATCTGAATTGCCATTAAATTAATTTTATCTTTTTTAACAAGAAACCTGGATTAAATTCTAAAATAATGATTTCATGAAAAATAATACTTTTTACACAGCCAATCAGAGCTACAGCTGTATGTATTAAGATGTAGCTTGTGAACAGGCCTTTGGTCTTTTTTTTTCCCCAAAAAGAACAGAGAGCCTGTTCACAGGCTATGTAAGATGTCCCCTCTGACCATCCTCTTTAAATTTCATCTCTTGTACTTCCAATGACACAGGGCTCTGTTGATCGCTCAGAGATGTGAAACTCAAGTGACTGTCTTCCACCTTGATAGCCTATTATTATGGTTTCTGTTCTAAGGGACTCACATGTCAGGATTTCCATGTAAAGCTGCGAACTGGTCCTCCATCCTGAAAACAACAATCACGAAAGGGTGATTTGTGAAAGGTACTAAATTTAGAATCAATCCTATTACGTAGAGTTTAACCTACATTGTACAAATACAATTGCCTCCCATTGCTTCCCACAGCTAACAACATTCTGCGAGTCTCTCCTGCAAAAAGCCACCACTATTGGGAAACAATGAGAGGTGGCCATTATTGTTTCAATTTTTGAATTCTTTCTCACATCTCAGCCTCAGTCTTCATGTTTTCGTTCCACTTCTCCGCTCACATTTAACTTGTGAACAAGCCTATGGGTCATGCAGATGATAAGAAGCCTATCCACCAATGTTTTTCTTTTGTTTCTTTTTTTCTGATGAATTTTATGTGCACATTAGAGTAAGAACAGAGCAGAACACAGAACAGGCTTCTAAATATTTTCTTATTTACCTACCCCATTTACCCTTTGAGCTACAAAGTGTAGCTGAAAATGAATATTTTCAAACACCAGTTCTTGAACCATCTCTAAGGAGAAAATTAATTGAACCCAAATACCTTTCATTAAGGGCTTAAAAAACTGTCGTTCCACCTGCTTGTATCAAAACCTAAAATCATACCTGTCTCCACCCAACACTACAGCTGCCTTCAATCCAGTGAACTTGCCAAGCTGTAAATTTGGGAATAATATAATAAAATTATCTTATGGAAATTACCAGTAGCAGGAGCTGCCAGTAGATTGATTAATGAACACAGTCAAACCCCGTTAATCCTTCAAGCCCCAGTATCAACATACAAATTCTCCAAACTGATCTCCATACATTTCTTTAACAAATTAGTTGAGAGAATTTGATAAAAGATCACTTGAGGCATTTTCTCTTGGGTGATCATTTTATTTATTCTCATAACATATCTCTTGACAGTGTATGGATATTGTCAGGAGAAAATTGATCTTGGTCACTATTGGGACTTGAAAGGTTAATAGACAATGAGGGGGCCACAGAAAGTGTCTGTATTAAGAGAGTTGAATTTAGAGAAATGTAAGAGTTTTCTTTCCCCAGGGACAAAGCAAACTGTCTGTAATAACAAGGTGTTCAGCTATTTTCATGGGAAACAAAAGAAAAAATAACCAAATGAACTTTTAAGATGTTCAATTCCCCATAACATGTACCTAGCAACCTGAAAATCTTAGTGATAGCCTTAAATTATTATCAAAAGATTGTTGCTTGGCTTGATTCACACGGAATGGGACATACATTTAGTGAGATCAACATGCCCAATCATTTGATGCCCTTATTTAAATCATCCTGAAATAACTAAATAGAACTTTTAAAAATATATAACAAATTGTGTCTCAGTGATTACCTCTTTGGTAAATTTCAGTGTCTGAAGTGCTAGCTCACGAGTAGGGGACAGGATCAAACCACGAGCACCAACCTGCATATAGGGCGTAATACAGTGTATGTTTATTAATTTTTATCAGTCACATTCATGAAAGAGCAGGGATTAAGCAGAAAGCTTAATTGGATGGAATGAAGCTTTTCCTTAGCTACATTCCTGATAGAGACAGGGTTTCATACTCCTTTTTCAAAACAAACCTCCATGATATTCTGACACTCCTCAGAAATTTTAAAACCATGCCACAATCAGATTGTAGTGCCAATTGCGCTGTGAGAATAAAATTCAAGAGGTTTAAACAATACATGGAATACCTTGCAGACTGAACCTACAGCTGTAGAAGCAACACTGAAGATACATGTATCTACTTTATCATAACAAAATAAAAAAAGACCTTGAGTTTTTCAGATTTCCTGGGGTTCTGTGACCTGCATCCATATTGTACATAGAAAGCTTCGGCTGCAGAAAATTTTGATCTAATCTCAAAAATCGTAGAGTCTATAACAGATGTACAAAATTAGAAGCTTTACTATGATAACAGGATCTTGTGATAATATCAACATCAACAGAAGATTGTTCATGGTGCAGATTTCTCTACCTTTGCTGAATGTGCTTTGAGCCTTTCAAACATTGGTATCAAAAAAGCAGCAGTTTTACCAGAACCTAACAGACATTAACAAGGCAAAAAGACAATCGTTAGCAGCTGAAAAAATCATGAATCAAAGCTTACATACATACATTGGGGTGTGTATTTATTACTATTTTTAAATCTAAAAAGGGAAATTAGCTGCTAGCAGGAAAGTAGTCTTCTGCATACTGTGTTGTTAACAGATCAGGAGCAAACTCCCTCTGAATGTCCACACAGAGAAAGCTTCAGACTGACATCGTGAGAATTGTCATGACTGTGGCACTCCTCAATAGATTACCATAAAAATAGTAATATATCATACTATACCTGTGCGGGCCATAGCAACCACATCTTTACCATCCATAATGACAGGTATTGTCTATGTAAAAAGAAAACAAATACGTATTTTCATGCATTATATTTAAGCAAGTGTCTTGTTACACAGCTCTACACTGTATACTTGGGTGCTGGGAAACTTACCCAGTGCTTTTATGCAAAACAGAAACAATGATCCATTGTCAATCTCGATAAATCTCAATAAATCTCAATAAATCTATGTGAAACCTTTCTTTGTATTGGTGTAGGAAGTCTGTAACCTTTCTTCATAATTCCTTTGAACACTGGAAAACTCAATCCTGGAAAGTAAACAGTTACATAATATTTAATTCTATCATATTTTCTAGCTCATCTCAGACAAAATAGCAAACTCTCATTGAGCAAAAGCCAAATGTTGTGAGTAATAAATTCAAAGAATATTAACTTGAAATCAAATTTGACCAGTAGCCATATTGAAATCGTTGAGGCAGTACATGTACATGTACATGAAGATGTCACAACTTCTAATAAAAAAACACAAGTTTACTTTACCCATAGACTGAAAGCCTCCTGACTTCTTCTTTTTCTTGTTGTGTTCAGAAACAAGTCCCCTTGTATCAAGCCCTGCATCCTCATCGGCATCATCGTCCTGCCTAAAACTTTCATCTTCTTCATGGTTATATAGTCCACCAGTTTCTACCTAATGTTGTCGGAACAAAGTCAACTTTTGATCAGAAAAGTACCATGTAAAATTACAGTAAGCCCTTTATAGTATGCCAACAGCTTAAAGCACCTGTTTAACATAGGTATCTTCCTTTAAGGGGAATAAAAGAAATTGACTGAGTAATGTCAGGGCAAAATTCTTTGCACTCATGTGTCTGTTAAGAGACAGTTGTCTTGACTGTACAGTTTATAAATAGTATTAAGGAAAAAGAAGATTTCAGATGATTACAATCATGTAGAGATTTTTCCCATTTACACTGTAAAAAGTAGAAACAGTAACATAATCATCTGCTCTCATTCACATGGGCTTGTGAGGGATTATGATAAACAATTTCACCAATGTTCTTCACCAAAGAACACTGTATATTATTCCAAATGGTATCAGGCATGTTAAAAAAAGATTATTTGAAGTGGCAATAGGTCTTACCATTTGGCTCTTAATGTGTGTGGTCAGAGGATTGAGATTTGGACTTCCATAAAGCATATTGGCATAGTCAGGTTACTTAGCCTGTTTCCAGATGGTTCAGGTTGCTCAAGGCTACATACTGCCCCCCCCCCCCTCCCCCCATCCTCCTTGCCTCCCATCTGATGGAATTCATTCTGGTAAGCATGGGTGACCCGACCCATCTCGGGGAATCAGGCAAGTCGTTTTGCACAAGGATTCAGGTTTCCTACCAGCACCCTAAATCAAAACGGCTACGGATAAATCATACTAAATAATTATTGATCGTTACTTTGATATTCCTGATTTCATGTTAAAAGAAAAGTAAGGAAAACTTGCTACACTCTAGGCCCTCCTGGCTCCTTTGATCGTCATATTGCCATCATCCATTCTACAGACCATTTATTTTAGGACTGTACTTCCAAGTGTCTTATACAGAATACTAGTATGGGGTTCCTGCTCACCTGCACTAATGGATGATCTTGAGCGTGCTCATATACGAGCTTCTAAACTTATTTTTAAACTTTCAAGGAATTCGAATGCTGATCAATTAAATAAATTGAAAGGCTGGAACAATTTATCATTTTACTATACTAAGAGACTGTTAGTAGAAGTGTATAAATCCTACTATAGACGCAATACCAATGTTTTAAATGATCTAGTAATGTTAAAACAATCATCTCACTGCCTGAGGAAATCAATGAATATTGAATTTCCAAGTCCTAAATCAGAAATTGGCAGGCTGACTTTCAAGCATAGAGCTGCCATTGCTTGGAACTCACTTCCTGACTCGATCAAAAAGTCTTCTAGCTTAGAATGTTTTAAAAAAAGACTTAGATCTAGCAAGGACTTAATTAATTCTATCAGCTATAATAAGGAATCTTCCATGATAAGAAACAGGAATGAGGAATTTCTTTATTAATCTTATTTATATTTGTATTGTTATTATTATTTATTATTTAAACTCTGTTGATTTTCTATTTATTCACATGTATATACTTTAGTTTTTAACAAGTAGATAGGCAGGTCCCCATCAGGACTTCAGTCTTGCGTATTCTGTAACCTGCGTTACCAAATAAACTATGTATGTATGTATGTATGTATGTATAAATGGATTTAAAATTCCACAGATCAGGCTATTTGTATATAAGCTTTCTTAAGAACTCTAAGGGACATTATAAAAGACAGAGGAAAGCTTTCTCTGTCTTCGATCTTGCGACATGTTAAATTTCCTTACACGGCTTGTGTTCCAATCAGTAATCAATAAACCAACCTCATCAAATTCTTCACTCTTCTTGCTCTTTGCTTTCTTTCTCTTGAAATTCTGCGCATTTGATTTACCTCCTTTGATGCCCTTTTTCTGCTTAAAACTTTTGCTGGGTTTACCCTTAGATGAGGCAGATGATCGTTTCTTCGCCATAAGGGGCAATCGCAGTAACAAATCACGTAATTTCTTAAAGAAAATATCAGAACAAACCAATCAAAACTGTGAAAATCTTGAAAATCTACACATGTTCGTCCGCCATATTTTTTTATTCTTCGAGAGCCCGCAGTAAACAAAACAGTGGTTGCGGTGTGACTTGTAGATTTTGATTGGTCAAAACCATAGCGACGTAACAGCAACTAACCAATCAGAGCTTTGCCATGAACGCGGCAAGTCCAAGCACGCGGCAAATTTGTTTTTGTTGTTTTCCGGCGTCATTCACAAAGACACAAACAGCAAACAAGCTATAAGTTGTAAAAGTTTTACACTTCATTTAAACGCTCAGAACTCGCCTAATTCTCCTCGTTAAATTGGGAAGAAAGAAAATGGAAGAATGTCTAGCGGATGTTCAGGTGACTCCGCCGACGGAAGACAATGCAGCCTTCGCTCAGCATATTTTGTGGGCCCCGAAAAAGAAGCGCTTGCATCGAAGGATGATTCGTGATGTTCCATCTGGCGCAAGACGTGGATCGAAGATTAGAAAGCGGTTAATATTCCCCATAGAAGAAAATGAAAGAAAAGAGGAAGAAGAGTTGTCAAGTGATGTCTCTGAGTACATAAAAGAGGTCAACAATGGAAAGAAAGATTCTTTGAGGACGCCGGACTGTTCGGAAGACAAGCGTAATGGAAGCGGTGTGAAGTTAGACCTTCTGAAAGTACGGGCGGATCATTTGAAAGCGAGCCAGAAACTAACCAGGAATGTCGATCCACAGCGTATAAAGAGAAAGCTAGCTTTAAGTAGCTTCCGCTGAAAGTTCTGCGACATTCATCATTTGAAAAACCTTTGATTCTTTGATTTGGAGGCAGTTGAACTGCGTGCTTTTTGGAAGCTATGCAATTGCACCTTACTATTGAGTACCAGCGTTCTAAGAGCGTATTAAATTATTGAATGACTGTGCTTTATTGGATCATGTGAAATTTTCGCTGTTCTAAACAGCTGAGTTCCACAAATTCAGAATTTGTGACAATTTATGTAAGCCGGACTTGCACTTTGCATTTCAACAATTTCAACTGCAGAATCAACTTATTAATTACAAGGATTATACGCAACTTTGCTTGCAGAATTTGTGTTACTTCAAGTAAGCTGGACTTGCACTTTGGAAATGCAATGATTGGATCATTGAAATTTAATTTATTATTGTCAAAGGCAGCTCTTGAAAAAATGAGATATAAGTATACATTTAAAAGTCAGATTAAGTATGCAACATCAAAAAATAAAGAAAAGTGAAGAAAGTAATAATTATTGATGAAAAGTTAAAGGTTCAGGTAGATATTTTTCTTTCTTCACTTAAATACATTGTAGACGGGAAGCTATATTGAAAATGTTGTCCTATTATTCTGAGAGAAACTGTGAGCAGTCTCTTTTGCTCAAAAATATTTGCGAAGTGCATTATGTGAGTATGCAAGTGTTGAAACCATAAGCAGCGAATTTGCTCACAGATTTTTTAGCAAAAGAGAGACTACTCACTCTTTAATCCTGAGAAAGAATTTGGGGAAGTTGGCTTGTAACAACTCATGCGGCAGTGTCGGAAAACATATAGTGAAGGTACTTACAAGAGTTCCTCAGGTCAGCCAGGACAAAAATATAAACATTAATAACAAAACAGCAATGAGGAAAGCATCATTATTTGAGGTTTCTTTGCTGTTTTGTTATCAGATTGTTTAAATTGTTTTCTTAGGTAAAACAGTTTCTCAGCCAGCCCTGTATACTCAGTTTTGGGGGGTCACCTACTGGATAAATGCAATCCAATGGATAAGCATTGGGGAAACTCGCTGGTAGAGAACTGTCCAGTGGATTTCAATCTTTTCATTTCAAAGTTATGCATCTGAATGTTATTGGCAAGATGAATGTTGCACTACATATGAAAATAATGTTCAAAATTTGTGAAGGAATCCAGAAAAATTTCCTTAAGCTACACACTCTTTCGCTCCAGACAGATAATGCATCTCCAGTATAACACAGCTACCTCATGTTACAAGTCATAAGAAATTTATAAAACGGTCCACTCTAAGATAGACACCTTTGGGACAAGTGCTAAGTGTCCATCTTAGAAAGATGTCCATCTTATAGAGACTCAAAAAAAGGTGTAAAAAAAAAAGGCAGGGACCAACATTTAGTGTCTGTTTTACAGAGATGTCTGTCTTAAGGCTGATTTTCACTATCAATGGAGTTGCAAGGAGTTGTCAGAAGCATAGAACTTAACAATCTAGTGAAAACTGCATTCTGATTCCACTTATGACCCTGTTGCTTTCAATCAAATGAAAACAAGGCTGTAAGAGTCACAAGCAGTAGCAGAAGAAGTAAAGCAATCACAAAGCGTGAGAATGTACATATGATTGGTTGAATTTATCCTTCCACTCCTGCTTCTGACTCCAACAATCTGGTTTTCACTTGATAGTAAATGACAGAGTCGTAAGCAGAGTCAAAAGGAAATGGAAATGTTTTGATTCTTCTGACTCCAACTATGTAGCCTTTGACTTTGCTTATGACTCCAATTTTTGATTTTTCACGAGGTCATAAATGCTCTTATGACTCAGCTTACGATTCTGCCTTCATAGAGGTCTCCGTCAAGAAAGAGTTGTCGTAATGGTAATAATACGAAAAATTCTGTATCTCTTTCTGGAGAAATATTTTATTGTGGCCAACATGCTTTTTGTTAAAACCCTTATCTATGTAATTTTTATTAAAATACAACAACAGAAACACCCTGATAAATATCTTAAGAGGTTTTCTACAATTTAGTCATATTCTCTGAAAATCAGGATCACTTCATTTCATTTACATGTTTTCTACTATAGAACTGAACTATGAGTCATCTTCTTACATGAGAAAAAATGAACTATCAAAAATACCCTTAAATGTAAGAAGGGTGAGAATAAGAAAAATAGAAAGCTGTTATTTACATGTAACATGACTTAGTCACATAACAGTAGTAAAGCCTCCATATCTCTTATTTTCAACCACTTTGCTTCATACATTTGACTCCAACCATTTAACCTTTAAGTCCCAATAGTGATAAACATCAATTTTCTCCTAAAAATATCAATATGTTGCCAAGAGAAATGGTTACAAGAGTTAAAAAACTGGTCACTAAGTAGAAAATGCTTTGATCTATTATCAAATTCTCTCAACTAATTCTTAAGGGAGATCAGTTTGGAGAATTTGTAAGTGGATATCGCGGCTTAAAGGGTTAAGAGTGACCAGCCACTAATATTATTTCTTCTAAAATATCTCTTTGTAATAATAAATTCAGAAGTCATAGGAAAATAGAAAATGATCACAAAGTCTTGATTAAAAAACAAATTCTCCCCATTCGTGACAAAAATATGCAAGGTGATATTTGCGGGTGACAAGAGGAGCCCACAATCCTCCAAGTTATTATTACGCATGCGTCACATGTATGTAGCCAGCATTTATTTGGGCTTCCACTAAGAATGTATGGAATGCGCAGAATGCAATTTGATCACGTGGATTTGAACCTTCTATCACTTGAAATCTGATCACACATGTTTTGATTATCTGTCATTTAAAACTTATGCAAAGCACTAGAGCAGAAGCATTTTTACCTTTGATTGTTGTTGCCCACACTCCATAACCTTTGGTTATTTTTTAGTATTTTAGAATAAGTGATTGCTAGAACTTATATGAAATTATCCTTAAAAGCAAACAAGAATAATATTATTATGTAATTGCTCAGTTAGGAAAAATTGCCTAAACAAAACTGGCTCAAATGAAACATTGTTTTTTACCTAAAAATACTTATCATAAACGTCCTACAAAACTCTCAGCACTCTGTGGTTCACTGATTTCTATGGGTGAGACCCTCTTGAGTGATTCATTCAAATGAACTGGGCCATATGAGCAAAATTTAAAATACTACGATCAATGTGCTGATGAACCTTTCTTGATAGAGTCCTCCAACTTTGATAGCCACCTACAAACAAAGGTAGCAAAAGAGAGAGGTGAGATTTAAAGTTAAGTAACAAATGCTTCCAACACACTGTTTTGTCACTCTGATATTTTAATATAAACAGTCACCCAAATAAACCTAAAATTGGCGACCCAACATGCAAAGATATGGAGTTTGCTTAGAGGTGGTTGTTTGTGAGATTTTCCAACTATAGTGCTTTGATTGCATGAAATTAGAAAGTGATAGCAAAGTGCTATCATTTTGTTAGGTTGAAGCTGCTCCGCTTCCCACATCACATGCCCCTTCTCTGCCCCACCACAAGCTACCCCTCTGTACCCTATATACTCCCATCTCACAGGCAAAAAACTGTTTTTGTTGAAATGCCCGTTTTTTTACAGCCAGAATAATCAATATATGAATATGATCAAATGCCTGCACCCTTGAAATCCCTGAGGGCATAGGGGATGGTAGGGGGGGGGGGGGGGGGAGAAAAACATGTTTTTTTGTCTTGGTAAAACCTCCCCCCCTTTTTTTTTCCTTTTTCATTTTCGACACCAAATAAAAAAGCCCTTATGTTTTTGTAGGGGGAAGGGGCCCGAAAAAAAAACTCCCTTCCACTTTGATCTCTATTAAGCCATGTCGTTCGTACTACATAATGCTGACACAATTGCAAGAAAATAATTTTTTTTTGAGGAGTGTTTGTTATTGGCGGCGCAAAAAAAAAAAAAGATAATAAGAGTCGAACCGCGGTCCCGGGTGGGTGTGGGGGGGGGGGGGGGGGGGGGGGGGGGGGGGGGGGGGGAGAGATACATGTATTGTTGTCCTAGTCAACACTTCCTCACCTTTTTCTATCCATTTCACTTTCAGCAGCAAAGTAATAAGTCCTTACTGATTTGTCAGGAGAAGAGGCACTGAAATAGAACTTCCTTCCACTGTGATCTCCTGCGGCAATAGTATAGTCAAGGAGTTTGACCACGCCCAGGGCCACTGTGTTGGACATATCAGTGTAGTAGTAAAGGAAGCCATTCTTTAGGACAAAGTAGCGCCGACGCCAAATCTTGTAATTACTTCCTTGTTTGTACAGGTAGCCATGGCAATCAGGATCTCTGATTGACAGTGCTGGAATGCTGACATTGTGGACATTTCCTTCAAAAATGTTGAATGGATTGGACTAAAGGAAAAACGACAAAAGGAACACATAAATTACATGGTCATAAATGTGGATTGAAAAAAGTACAGACTGAAGTAACGTGCTAAAATATGATACCTATAGTGTACAACCACCTACAAATTTTAAAAACTGTGTGTATTAATCCTTTCCATTTCCTTTTCAAGCACACAATCATTGGATCAGTAGAGATCTGCATCTGAGTTGCCATACTGTATTGCAACTGCAGGAACCACTTCACAGCAACCCTTAGGTTCACTTGCGATGATCTGAGTCATGTTTATAGTTCTTTGTGCTTATATTATAACTCATGACAAGCTTAAATGAGAACCCTAAGAAAACAGCCACACTCCAGGATGCCATTTCAGGTTTTCCCATGAATGAGATCTGAGCAACAAGCACAGAAATTCCATACTGTACTGATAACATGTCACTACCTGGATCTGAGTAGTGCTTCTGATTGGCTGAACCAAATTTCCTTTACGGTATTACCAATGAGAAGCACTACCCAGATCTGGGGTAATGACATGTTATTAGTGAGGAATTTCTGTGCTCATTCAGGAGCTCAGATGTCATTTTGTGGGGAAACTAGTGGAACCATATTGCAAAAATGTTAGCTTTTTTCTATGAAAAACAGGCCAGGTTGTAGTAATATTATTTCACAGCAAAATGAGGTTTCTGGGTAAGTGACCACCCACCCCTCCCCTAAGTCAACATTAACACTCACCACTCAATTAGGGCAAAATTGTGACTTAGGGGAGGGGTAGGTGGTCACCTCAATTGATCCCAAAATATTTAATTGTGTACATACATCTGTAGAAGACACCTTGGCTGCGTCCATCATGGCCATCATCCACTTCTTCATGTCTGATTCACTTCCAGCACACATGTAGTACGTTCTCGCTCCTCCTTTGGTCAACTTGAAGGAATGGTTTTTGTTTATTTCTGGAGCCTTCGACACAGAGTAGTTTGTCAAAATGATAACTCCACAGGGTACCTTGTCTTTTGAACTTTTGTAGTAGTAAAGGCAGTTATCACCTCGTAAAACAAACCTGGAAAATAATTATGGAATTGTTGCATGTACAAGTACGTGTAAACGAGTGGGAATTCTTATATATAAGTGATATAGTTATGAAAAAACTGAGCATGCAGGCTTATCTTCTTTATTTCTCAAACTGGCTGTTTAGTTACAGTGCAACTACCGGGGAACATAGAAGAAGATTATCCAATCACAATGGTTTTTTGAAACCAAAAGATTCTCAAGTTTTTTGCAAATGGATCAATAACATTCATGAATTTGAGGGCTGTTTCCTAAGAAGTCAGGCGGGATCAAATGGTTTTAAAGTTTTCAACAGTTGCATAGTTGATCCTTGAATTTCATTAGTCTGATTGCAAAAAAAATTTGAGAATCTTTTGTTTTCAGAAAACGTTGTTATCGGATAATCGTCTGCCAAGTGCCCCGGTTGAAGTAGTCACAGTTGTAAAATGCTCCTTCAAAATTACCCTCATAAACATTACGTACATATTAGTGACTCATACACATTTAGTGTACATACATGTACATAATCTTACCATCGTTTTCTCCAGTTTTTGGGCGTGAGTCCTGTTCCACCCATCTTAAGAAGATGCCCTCTGATATAATCTATGAAAGTGAAAAAAAAATAATGTCACAAAATGTTACTAGAAAATTAACTGACCTTACCTTAAGGTTGATTGATATAGACTTGATTATCATTAATACATACTTTCATGAAAAATTACTGCCTTATGTCTCATTCAAAACAGGTTTACACCCATGCAAGGATTGACACAATTTTTTATTATTTTTTTAAACAACTGAACACTGTGCAAAATCAAGGCAGTAACAATCCTCTTTATTGTTCAGTGTTGCTAAAGCAGTGTACTTAAAAATTCTTTGAGTAAAATTTATTGCACCGCGTTAGTCACTTGAGTCCAGGGTTGGATAAAGAAGATGTTTCACTACCCAGATCTGGGTACTGATTCTGATTGGCTGTTCAAGCACGTTTCCCTGGGCACATAACCAGTCAGAAGCACTTCCCAGATGTACAGGTAGTGGCCTGTCATCAGTGTGGGAAACCACTGGTGATGTCGCAAGATGTCGGCAGTTTTCTCAGGGTACGATTATTTTTTAAGGACATGTGCAAACCCTGTCAAAAGTTTACACCACAAGTTTACACTACAGTACATGAAAGTGGCTGGTACCTAGAAGTCAAAACCTCACCTTCTTTCACGGACTTCCCATTGGCACTATCTCCTTTGCTATATGTTTCTTTAAAATCCTTCTCTGAAACAGTAGATGAATCAGAGGACAAGCGCTCTCTATTGATTTCTAAACACCAAGATTTTCTCTTACAGACATTAGCAGCAGAGCCCAGGTTCTCAGGATCAGACACCCCATCATCATCATCGCCGTAATCAGAAGCTGTATCAGAGTCAATCCCCTCATCAGATGCTGTGGATGGCATCGAAGGACTACCATTTGAAGGACCATCTTCTTCAGTGTCCATAGAATCAAGGCTTTTATTCTCGGAAGTTTCGCTTTCATCAGTCACAGTAATCTCAATGCCAGGTACTGACATATCTGCATTTGTAACATTGGAATCTTCTTTATCCTTGCCGTCAGACTTCTCCAAGCTGGCTTCAGCAACAATCCCACTTTCATCAGTAACTTTACTTTCAGCTGACTCTCCTTTGCAGATGTCAGGATCAGATTTATTGACAGTCTCAGATTTCTCCCAGCTGGCATCAGCTGTAACCTCATTTCTGTCGGTAAGTGTTTTTTCAGCTGACTCTTCAGCACTGATCTCAGCATCAGGTTTTTCCACCGACTCAGACTCCACACTGGGTTCAGTTTTCTTGTCAATAAGTTTGTCCATAATTGATTCTTCTTTGTTAATTTCCACCGCTGAGTCACTTACTAATGATGCATCTTCCTCCACTTGTGTATCTTTATCATCAGGTACTTGTTTACCTGATTCTGCTGAATCCACAATTTTTTCCATTTGATCCCCTTTGAATTCTAAAGTGCCTGACTGCCTTTTTACTTTGCTGCAATCACAAACAACATTTTCAGTTCCTTTATTACTCTCACCCTCTCCGTCAGAACCTTGAGACACAATTTCATGCACATCCTTTTCATTCTTCACCACACTCAAATTCCCTGAATAATCACTCATGCTTTTCTCCTCCTTTTGATCTATAGAATTTCCTTCTTTACCTTCATAAATTTTTTCCACTGTTCTTTCACTGTTTGCAACTTTAAACTCTGATACAACTGAGGATAACAATTGTTCCAAGCCCGCTAGATCTTCCACGGCTTTGGACAGCCTATGGGCAACTTCTTCTTTTTGGGAATCTTGTTCTTTATCATTTGCCCCATCACCACTTTTCTCCAACAATGATTCTTCACTATCCAATTCGGGTATATTAACTACACTTTGCTCCTTTAAATCAGCCACTGTTTCATGAACATCACGTGATGCATTTTCCTGGTTTTCAGGACTCTTTACTGGGTTTTCAGTTTCACAAGTTGGTTCTTTCAGTTCTGCACTTTCACTCACTGAAACAGAACCAGAACTTGTTGGCAAAACTTCTTCCAATTTACAGTCATTCCTATCAGAAAGGGACATTACCTCTGCTGTTGGTAAATCTGTGGCATCTTGAACAGGCTCACCATCTAGTGATAGAGATTTTGGAGATTTCACGTCTGCTAATTCCCCATTTCTTGAAGAACTACTCTCCTCAGGTTTGCCGTTGTTGTCGACAGTATCATTCAGAGGAACATTATCATGATCAGGTTGTCCATTTTGACTATTGTTGCTTTCTTTCACCAGGAAATCCATTGGTGATTCTGTTGATTCATACTGATCAGAAGTTCCGACGTTTTCAGAGTCATCAGTAGATCCTAATGTTTCACCTCCACCTAGTGTACAATTATTTTTATTGTCAATATCATGGAGTTTAGGATCATTTGCAATCTCCATGAATGAATCAAACAATTCGTCAGAAGTCGCATTGACATCTGACTGTGTATGTTCCTCTTGGCTATTCTCAACGGTACATGTAGCTTTCTGGCTAGCTGTAACAACTGCTTCACTGTCTGTGTTCTCAGACATTGCTAGGGATATGTTACCAGCCACAACATAAAATATATCAACGTTGCTACAGTATGCAGACACCTACCAAAAGATCAGAAAAGAATCTGATTACAAAAGTGAAGGTGTATTTTTCCCATGTACTACTTGTTATGCTGTTGACTTGATGTTTCTGAGGGCTGCTTTACCGGAGCAACACAAGCGCAAACAGTATCAATCACTAGAAAACACCTCACAGAAAATGCAAATGCAAGTATATTACAAGTGCTGTCATTTTCCATTTCCTGCATTTGTGATTGTGCTTGCGCTCGCATTTGCAAGTCACAAGCGTGAACCGGGATTACATGAAAAGAAGCATATATAAATGCAAAGTGAACAGTGTTGGTACATGTCTATCTCAGTGCATTTGTGTTTCTGTATAAAATTAAAGTTTGAACGCCTACTACTGGTTTCACTATATTTTGACCCTTCAATTTCAGCTTTAAATGCGTACCTGCTGAGATGTAAGTTTCATAGGTAACCAGAGGTACTAAATTGAGTACCAAGAGTAAATAACCATACTTTGTTGTAGGATTTTAAAACTGTTCTAATTAAAACACTCTCGACCGAACACGTCTAGACTCAAACATATAGGCTTAGGTTTAGTGAGTTCAATCTTGCGATGGAAAATTAGAGCAAGGCAACTGAGATTAACACATCCATTACTCTTAATTTTCGCCAGAAAGTCACACTCCTTGCGGAAAAAAGGTGATAAAATGGAATCATTGTTCAAAACTGAAAAGATTCAAGCTGTGAAAAGGTTAATTATGCAAATAAGCTTACTGCATCTGACTTTCTTTTGTTAATTCGTTTGTTTTTATTTTTTTTAGAGAAAATGGTTTCTTAAGTTACAGCTGACGTCAATACTTTATCAAACCCCTCGCATCCTACTCGGCTTAAAGGTTCTTTTTCGAGTTAAATAATCAGATTTTCAATCAAAAACTCATAACCGCAAGATTTAACATGAAATTGACCATCAAAAGCGCTCTAATCTATCCATTGATGCCGTTAAAATATTCATGATAAATAACAAGAAATTAACAAATCGTATTGTAGTTATCTTTAGTATTTTAACTGAGAAATCGCCGGAGGTGACTTTCGAAAAACGTTTACGCAAGTTTCTTTGTCAATAAAGCTCAATAGATAGGTAAATACGAAAGTTTGACAGTGCCCGTATCCGTGGAAAAACTAATCGCTGCGCCGGAAGATTCGTGATTGCCAAGAACTACCATGAACTTACCCTCGCAACATCAAAATATCAGCGTTTTCTTATCACAATATCCTCAAAGGAATTCACTTATTATTCCATGTACGGCGACGAGGGCTTCTTTGACATCTTTTTTCCTGATGCTGAAAGTGACCGAAAGTACCTCCGTAATGCTCACTCGAAAACAGCACGACTCACCTTTCTCCGCATACGGGTCGTCTGACTGGTTTGGAACTGTCAATCATTCTGTCGGTATTCTCTGTGTCAAACGCGCTCACGAGATGAACTCAGAAAGTCTTGCGAGATCAAAGTCTCTCCTGATCGCCAAGGACAAATTTTTATATCAAAGGTATTTTAAGTAACTAAGATTTTTCTATGTGTTGAAATTGACAGATAACGTTTTTTAAAATAGTCAAGGCGTTTCTAGGAGAGGATTGCGTGACTACCCAAATTTCGAACTCAGTCTCTTTCCTTGAGGAGGGGTTTACGCAGGCTCACTAAGCGCTCAAAAGTTCTACTCCAAATCACTCCAAATTTTTAACGAGCTGGCCATGATCTCTAACTTACAGACAAGGATATTTTTGAGACCAAGTATCTTTCGCTTGTGGACAAGTAGAGGAATTCAAACCACCATCAATTCCCGACAGAATTACACGCAAACAACTGGAAGGCAACGTTTAGTAATTTTAGGAACAGGTTGGGGCAGCTATAGTGTTCTTAAACATATCAACAAAAAACTATTTGATGTGATTGTGATTAGCCCACGAAATCACTTCCTCTTTACGCCTTTATTGTGCAGTACTACTGTAGGAACGCTAGAGTTTCGCAGCATAATTGAACCTATTCGAAACACAGGCTTTCGTGATGAGCATCACTTCCAGTTAGCCGAGGCAGTGAAATTGCTTCCAGATGAACACACCGTTCTGTGTAGGAGCTCCTTGAACAATGACGAATACCCTCTGAAATACGATAAATTAGTCATCGGTGTTGGTGCTGTCAGCAATACATTTGGTGTTCCTGGAGTCCACGAGAACGCTTTCTTCCTTAAAGAAATCGCAGATGCCAGGAAGATCAGAAACCAAATTCTCAAAAACTTTGAGCTGGCCATGCAGCCGGGCGTTTCCGAGGAAGAAAAGAAACGCCTCTTGCATTTTGTCATTGTCGGAGGTGGCCCCACAGGGGTTGAATTTGGTGCAGAGTTGTATGATTTTGTGAAACAAGATGTAACAAGGCTTTATGTGCATGAGAAAAGCAAGGTCAGTGTAACACTGATTGAAGCCAGGCAGATCCTCCCATCCTTTGATGAGAAACTTCGTAATTTTGCAGAAAAAAAGATGAGGCAGAGAGAGCAGTTTGAACTTGTTCAAAGCAGTGTTACAGAGGTGCATAGTGATCATATCAAGTTACAAGATGGGACAGTGGTGCCTTGTAGTTTGGTTGTTTGGTCAACTGGCTTGGCTCCAAGACCATTTACAGGTAAGATAACTAGTGTCAGTCTTGGGGGACCTGACTAGGTCCTACAGATAAAGTAGGTGTCTGCTATTTCCTTTATTAGAGGCTGTTATAGCCAAATTTGTTGTATCGCGCTGTGCATTTTGCAAACTTCAAAGGAATTTTGGGTTTTTCTGTTCCGTCAGTCATCTTAGCGGACCTCTTAGGAAACACATGTTTACTTGTGATTGGTGCATTTCGATCTACTTTGTTTGTTTCTGTGTTTCAAGGTTCATTGCTTGTGAGCGCCCTGTTTTGGGCAATAATTGACTAGTTTTCTTCGAAGATTTTTCTGATTATTCTTATTCTTGTCTCTTGCAAGAGTAAAGCAATGTCTGCCTCCTACCCTCGACAAAAAGTCCACTCATCATCGCGATTTCCTTCGCTATTCTTGAGCAGTCTAGGGTCATTCTCAGTTTTGTTTTTGCAGGCCAAGCGGGGCAAGCAGGGCAAGCGGGCAAGTGCATTGTGATTTGCATTAACTCCACCCCCACTCAAATGATTGATGGAACAGAAAAACCCATTCGAAGTTTGCAGACGCGTAGCGTGATACAGCAAATTTGGTTATAATTTAAATGAAGGAAGGTCATCGCAGCTATAAATAGCCTGAGAAGACAGCTGACATCACTGGTTTCCCCATAGAATGACGTCTGAGAAATGACTGCAGAAATTCTCTACTGATGACATGTGACTACCCCAATCTGGTAGGTGCTTCTAATTGGCTAAAGCAAACGACCAATAAGAAGTACTACCCACATTGGAGTAGTAATGCATCATCAGTATGGAATTTATGCAGTTATTGTTCAGACATCTCATTACTCAGGCTTAGTTATAGATGTAACTTTTGCAGTTACAAAAAAAGGCCTGAAAAATTCAGGCGCGTACATTCACAGCCTATAACAATTCGCAGCTCAACTGACCCACAGTCAATAACAATGTGGCTTAATTGACCAATCAGGTCAATAGCCAGAGTTCAGTACCCTTAACTGGCAAAACACAACTCACTTTAACTATGAAGGTGACACCACATGAGTTATCAAAATGTTAGTCATAATTGTCACCAAATAGGTCTTTTCAAGACTGCACTCTCACATACCATCGTGTTGTGTGACATGAAACTTTGGTCCAAATCATACAAACCATTGCCAGTGAGACCACATAAATTCAGAGTGCATGGTTTGATTCTGAGCGACTGGTCGCACAGATAAAATTACCCTTTATTTTGACTGCTGTGGCATCCGTATACTCATGGAGGGTGTATCGCTGCAACACATTACCTATTGCATGCTGAGATTGATGCCAATGACACAGTTCTATTACAGATGTAAGTGACAATTGTTATATGAATACTATTCATGCATTGCTCTAAATTTTTAAGCTTCAGTGGACCTTCCAAAGAATGCTAACAGTCAGATCCTGGTTGACCAATATCTAAGGGTCAAGGGTATCAATGATGGCTCAGTATTTGCCATTGGGGACTGTTCCTGTATTGAAGCCAACCCTTATCCATGCACTGCACAAGTTGCAGAGAGAGAGGGCAGCTATGTCGCCAGTTGCTTGGGTCTTCTAGCAATGGGACAAGCTTCTGAATTAAAGCCTTTTTCCTGGAAGAACCTTGGCATGCTGGCATATGTGGGTGATTATCAAGGTCTTGCTGATTTTCCCACCAGCAAATTGCAAGGCTTCAAATCATGGATTCTTTGGAGATCGGTGTACTTTACCAAGCTAGGAAGCTGGAGGGCCAGATTCCAGGTACCTTTTGACTGGATGAGAACATTTATTTGGGGAAGGGATGTTTCTCAATTCTAGATTCAGGACAATAAGAGACTATTATTACCATTAACAGTAAAAGAAAGAGTGTTAACAAATGTTATACGCCTGCTAATCATGGTACCAGGTTGGCTTTGGGGTGAAAAAAAATTTGGGGGAGCTCAAATCCCTAGTTTGAAATACAGGATAGTCACTAAGCATAAATATTTTTATTCATAATGGTACAATATGTTTCAATACTGTGTTGCCCTCAGTCAAACATACAATTAATAAACTGCACAGTCTAATAAACATGGTGTACTCTATGCAAAGATGGTTAAAGATGGTTAAATTTCGAGTCATGTCTCAAGCCAATGTTGTAGCCTAGTCATAAAAACTCCTCTTCCATAGTGATGGAAAGCAAGGCCATTTCCATTAAAATACTTCCCAATATCCAATTTTTCGTGAAGTAAAAAGCAAATCGTGTATTTTGTTCACTGTTCTAAACAGGGCTCTGTAACAGAGGCTGTTTTCCTATAGGGTCACAGGAGATAAGGTTTGAAACCCCTACCGTTAATAAAATCCTATGCCCAAATTTACCCCTAGGGGAAGAGGGGTAGTGGGTATTTCTCCACTCGTGGCTCTGGGATGGTTAGGTGGCGTAGCCTTCCATATGTGTAAATGTAAACAGAAAATCATTAATATGCAATAAGCTAAAACAAATATATATCCACGGGAGCCGGGTAATGACGGCTCTTGATATCCATTCTCTTTTATCGTCGTATATATCCATACTTTATCACAAATATTGATACGTCTGTACCGTATCTAATCATGGCCGAAATATGTTATCCAATACTTATTGTGTAGCACGTCCCAGAGCTGAATTATGAAATAATTTGGCAAATTTCCGTAAATTTATGATTCATAAAATGAGGTGATTTTATAGAACATTATTCTATAATTATTATCCAATATCAGGTTAACTATAACATAGAAAAAACACAGTGGAGAGACTTCATGTGAAAAAAAAGAGAGAGAATAAAATCATTAGTTCTATCACGATTATTTTTTTTCCTTTGCTGTTTGATTAAATGAAATTGGTGAATAAATTTCTTTATTTGCTTTCCTCTCAATCTCTCAAAAAATTGACAAAAAAACACATGGCTAACTCTTCGTCTTGATCTAAAGAAACATGGAAAATGAACTTGGCTATTGTCTGGTCATCCTGACAGAACAAGCTTGGTCAATAACGCCTTCTATACTTTTAATCTGATACAAGGGATTCTCTCGGCTTCATTCGCCTGTTTCGCTATTTATTCCATCCCAGGCTTCCCAAGGTCGGAATTATTGACTTTGTGATACCTATCTGTGCAGCGTGCATTTTCTGGGTTTGTGAATATTTATCGATCATTTATTGAGAATTACAACTAAGGAAGAAAATTCTTCCGGAATATGTTATATTAATCATTCGAAGTGTTACCATCTTGTATCCGGGCGGTTTTAAGCGATTTCAGCGAGTTTTCTTTTCATTGTTGTTTTTCCTCGACGATGGAGAATTTCGTGTTTTTCTGTCGGCAGGTTAGTGTGTTTGATTTGTAATTGTAAATACTAAATAATTTGGCATGTCGTTGCCCTTCAGCCCTTGAGTATCATTATTTCTTACAGCAATTCTTTTTTTTTTTTCCTATTTTAAATACTTTCTGTACGGAAATCATGTGATATTTTAGAAAAATACCCCTTGAAAGTTTTACGGCGGATTAATAAATATGCACAGCCCTTTACATAGTAAATATTCACAAACGACAAAAGTCTACCAATTTCTGAACGTAAGCGAACATTTTGTTGTCAACTGTCTTTATAAATAAATTGAGAAATTTAAAAAATTTAAAATTTTAATTTAAAAAATCTGTTCTCTATATACACAGAACAAAAAAAAATCGCCATTTTTAAACGATTGAATCGAAAGTCTTTTCATCGAGTGTGGTATATATAGAGTCAATATTTCTGTTTTTATGGCCAGGACTTTGAACTCTGTTCGGGAAGAAAATATGTCCCGAGTATTTTTCTCTGTTATAAACAGAGAATGCATTTTTTTCCTTATTTGACGATATGGCGAGTGATTAACAAGCAAATGTTTTATCGCACTCTGTAGGTCTTTGTAGAGTGAGATACAATGTATACAGACAAACGCGTTATACGAAAACTGTCTTAATACGGACAACTCGTTATCATGGACATTTTGCCTTGTCCCTGGCGAAAGAAAGCGCTTACATTTTCTCTAAATTGAATCCGCTTTTACCGACACTTTCTATGCCCCCCTGTCCTCGGTGTCCATATTAACGTCCGTATGGCCCCCTCGGTGTCCGTATAGCCGTAAATTTGTATTGATTATACGACAAATCTAGTTCTCGCGTGTCATTTAATTTAGCTGCAATGAAAAAAAAAGTAGTAAAAAAAGGTATTTGAGACCATTCATGGCTGTCTTTACAAGCAAAGAAGATAAGACACCAGTCTTTTTGGTAAATCTATTCACCCAACGCCATGCAATACCTATGTAACATCATTATATTATTTTTCAGTTTCATTGATTAGCTCATATGACAGTTTTTATTCAGCAAATACAAATTGGTAGAACCGACATTTTTTGCCCGTGAGAGGTATGCTCGAGAAACCCAAGGGAAAATCTCCTTAGATACGGCTATATATCACCAAATGATCAGATACTTTTTAAGAATTTTTAGATATGTAATTCTTCAAAGATTCGCAAACAGACACACACAGTTATAAAAGCTCTCCTGATTTCCATGACGTACCTATTGTGGACAGCCAATCAAGTTTCAGTTCACGACCAAATTTTGATCGACTGCGAACAAAAAGAGCACTGCTTCGCACCGCTAGAATTTGGCCCGATCACTGGTTGCGCAAAACTCAGCAAAAGGTCTCAGCTTTGCAGAAATACTGTCTTTTGGTTTGCGAAACGCTAACTTTTTATTTATTTAATGATACTTTGCAGAAAACAGATTTAGCAATGATCTTACTGTAGCGATAACGTGCTTCAGTACTGTTGACATAGCTCAGCTTAACTCGCTCAAACGCAAACCAAGTATTGTCAACAAAAGGCTTGAAATGGAAAAGAGAAGTCGTTCTATACGGCTTCATTTGTTCACGATTCTTGGAGGGAAAAAGAAGTCATTTGACCTTTACAGGTGCGTCTAGCAACTCCTTTTTTAGAAAATTAGTTTCTCGTCGAAAATAGTGGATTCAGGTTCGTTACTCTATATAAGTAAAATCCACTTTTACCGATGTAGGCTCTCGACTTTCTTAGCTATTTTATCTGACTTAATCCCTCTAGTTTCGTCTCAGAAAATAATTGATTTGCTTCCTTTTTGTTCTCGGAGTAAACTAATCACTGAAACTCAGTCGCTGTGTTTGTTATCGGAACATTTTTCAGTTGTATGTATCCAGTTGTCTGAACGAAACTCTCCGTAACAAAACAGTAATTCATTTGATCGCATTTCGAGTTTGTAACAAATAAGTTCTAACTTCAGATTCACACAACTAAAAATACTAAAAAACAATAGAAACCAACGCTGACTAAATTTTTATTTCAGTTAAAATCAGTTAAAATTCAAACAATTTTTATGGACAAAATGCACAGCATAAGTACAAGTAGTCACTAAATAAATTTGAATTCAGATTTCTTTTAACTTGCTACAGTCAAATCAAAACGACAGCCTAAAGAGTTAAAACCCTAGTACAGTATACAGAAAATCTTCAGTGAGACAGATAATTTGATTCGTCATGTTATGAACGTGAGGTAACGAAAATAAATTATCCAAAAAGGAGTAATTTTTGTATTGCCGTATGGGGAAAGCTAGGAGTATTTAACTCTCGCTGTTGTTAATGCAACACGTTACTTGTAAGTTTCATATGCTGTTCATCTTATTGCAGGAAATTATCGAAACTCCCATCAAAATGGCTACTTCGCAGTTTAAGGCTTCGCTAATTCTGGTAGCGTTTTTTGGGATATTATTCTTGGCTTGTGCTACAAGTGGCAACAAAACCAAACAGTCCTCGTGCAACATGGTAGGTGACTTGGTTATGCGTCTCAATCTAGTAAGGACGACCGAACGTATGTAAATTTTTTTAAAGATGTTCATGAAAAAATGGCGTATTGAATAAACAGTCTTCGTTCAAATTCTCACTGTTGACAGTACTTCCTGTTTTACAACTTAAACTTTTGAGGTAACAGGTCTAAATTTCAACGGACACGCCAGATCGTATTCTTTTCAGTGTTTTAGCGTTGAAATAAAATAAAATAAAATAAAATTCAAAATGTAATGGCTCTCGCGAATACAAGGGAAGAAATTGTAGAGCTGCTCAATTTGACTAATGAAAGCCTATCAATTGACAAATATGAACTTAATCAATTCTACTTTTAATTTACCAGGCCTCTCCCGTCTACTATGCTGGGATTCCCGGCATGCATGGCAAACCCGGTTCCCCTGGGATGCCAGGCCGCGATGGACGAGATGGCCGTGATGGAGCCAAAGGTGACCAAGGTATCCCAGGGAAGACTGGACCCCAGGGGCCTCCGGGACCTAGCGGAAAACCGGGTGCCAATGGAAATGACGGCGCTAAAGGAGAACGAGGAGCCCAAGGACCCCCAGGACAAAAGGGGGAACGCGGGGAAGGTGGATTAAATGGAACCCCTGGGAATCCAGGTCTGATGGCTTTTAAGAACTGGAAGGAATGCGTTTGGAAAAACATCAATGATGGCAAAGATAACGGGCTGATCAAGGTTAACACATTTTTCTTTACCCGTTCATTATATCAAGGTCTAATCAGGGTTAAAAGAGAAGTTTTTTATTTGTTTTCATAAAGAAGGAAAAATAATAGCCACTGACAATATTAATTTTATAAATAACAACAATAACAATAAATACTATAGAAATATGGCTCTTCACTTGTTAGTAACTAATACACTTTCACTTTCATACTAATTTAAAAAATCAATTACGTGTATAATAAATGAAATGATAATGAAACAATAGCATTAAAAATCAAAGAAAAACTAAAGGACAAAAGATATAGAAGAAGCTTAAGGGCGTGAATAGATCATGACCAGTTCTCATTTCACCTGCCTCTAGGCACAGAAGACTGTTTTAGTCGTACATTTTTGCTAGCATATCTGTTTCTCTTTTTGTACAGGAATGTGTGTTCAGCAAGAACTTCTCTGAAACAGCCCTTCATGTGTACTGGACTGGTTCTCTTCAGGTCTATGCAAATGCTGGCTGTAGACGCTGGTACTTTACTTTCAACGGTGCAGAATGTTCAGCTCCCCTACCCATTGATGGTGTTGTTTACGTGGTCAGCAAATCTCAAAACCCTCATCGCGTCCGTCACATTGAAGGCTACTGTAATAACATTCACAAAGGAAAGGTGCGTGTGGGATTCTGGGTTGGTAAATGCGATGGGTACAGTCATGGAAACTATGACGCCTACACTGGATGGAGATCTGTGTCACGCATATTCGTAGAGGAGGTTCCCAAAGCTCAAGCTTAGACTTCCAGAGAAGACAGACCCTCCTGCATATTAACCAAACAGGGACAGTAAATAATAGCGCTTTTATTTGTGGGATACTACAGTTAATTGCTTTGTAGCCGTGTAAAGTTTGCTCATAATAAACAAGTTGCAGGAGGCAGTCAAAGAAAATGTTTGATTGTTACTACAGCTCAGATTTGAAGCAAATGTATGAAATGTCAAAAAAAACAAAAAAAAAAAAACACGCGGGCTTTACTGAATCCTAGCTCAGCAAATAAGAGGTCCGAAGAAGGTTATATTGCTTGGTAGTTTTTGCAGTTTTTTTTTCTCTGTTCTAACCACGATCAAGCTGTCTCCTACTTAAATCTCATTTTCGTCATTTCAATTTCCGCGCAAAGACTGGTGGGGCATTAAAAGCAAGGATGCAGCTTCTCCCTTTGTTCCTGCGCTTAAGCTTCACCTGTTTGCACTGAGTCATTCCATATGCTTCGTTCCGAACGACCTTTCGAATTGCCGTGGGGTAAGGTCAGGGTTTTGAACTCTCGGCGGCACGCGGACCCCTATGCCAAGACGTGGATCAATTCCCCCCTAACCCCTCGGATTACGCGTTTTGGGAAAGCGTGACAGAGCTTACCGTTAAGTGTAAACGTGTAAACAGAGGCTTGTTCAAAATGGCCGTACATACAATCTCCATTCTTTTTCCTCCCTATTCTTCGGATTTCATACATTTAAGCTTGAATTTTATAAGTTATAAATTGCCCAAAATCTTTCAAACAATCACAATGTAATAGGTTTTTAATGTTGGAAATATTGTGGGAAAAAGCCGAGAAAAGTACAATTCATTTTAAGCAAAACCGAGTGGATTAAAAACGTTATTCTAACGTCACTGTGCCATGTCAGAAAAACCATCAAATTAAATAAACACAGACAGAAAGGCTGTACATATTATTAGCGGCTAATTATAACACGATGGTTTCACAACCTCTTCCCAGAGTCTTCTCGTTTTACCGGGCGACATAATAGTACGGGTTTTCAGTCCTGCCGGTCACCGCCATATTTGAAAACGAGAAGACCCTGGGGCAAAGTGGGTGATCGCCAATTCCTCATCTTCTTAAGTATAATGCACCTTGTTTTCCCCCAAAATTTTGCATAAGTATTGTTTTCAGTTTCTCCTGGGAAAGCTGTAATACCCAGAAGAAATTAAAAACAAAGGTTATGCAATATTTTTGTTTGGGGGGTGGGGCGGGAGGAGGCAAACAAGGTGTATTATGGGAGATGTGTAAATGGCGAATTCTTTTCATCTCAACACAGGAGCCCCAGGTCGAAATTATCGACAGCGTAACGCATTTCAGATTAAGGATTTTGTTTGAGAAATTCAAAATGAGGGAGAATATTCCCCAAAGTCATTTTTATCCGAAAGCGTCATTTGTGTTGGGGAGTTTCAGAGTATCGAGTCATTCTGCCTACTTTTGTCTTCTTTCCAGACGATGTGGAATTTCATGTTTTCCCGTCTACAAGTTGGTACGTTTTTATGTAAATAGTAGCAAAAAGCCTAATACGTTGTTTTCCTTTATAGTGGCCTTTTCAAATATTTTTCATGACAATTTTGTTGCTTTAATTTTCGGTATGGAAAGCTGTGGATATACTTTTTAGAACCGTCTAGTGAAAGTTTTTAAAAGAAGAAACAATACAGATGTATCCAAACGAGTTCGGTTTTTGTGCAACGTGCATGGTGTAAAGAATTTACATAAATAGAAATTTCGTCGTTAGCTCTTTCTATTTAGAAATGTGGAAATCTAGCTTTGAAAACAAAATTTTTAAATGTATGAAGAAATATGTGCGTTTCTCTATCGCCTTTGGTTGTCGTAGAGTCAATTTTTACTGCCATTTCACTGTATCGAAATGCGTGATCCTTTTATATTATGTACAAAAACTTGGTAATCAATTTAATAACAAATTAACTGCGATATATGTCTTACTATACGATATACAGAGAAAATATTTGGGAAGCTTGGTCCCTTGCCGGCCCTGTAGTACACATGACAAGTGATTTACAGGCGAATATTTTTATTCCCAACGTTATAAAAAGCTACAAATTTGCATCTGTTACAGTATATAAACAATAAGTTATCGCTTGTCGTTTAATTTAGCTGCTTAGTAAATGTGGCAATTAACACCAAGATATAAGATAATATTATTAATGCGGGGTAGGAATTTAATACGCCCAGAATTACATTGTAAAACTATTTAGCCAATTGTTATTACTCATTACACAAAGTGTAGAAGTACACAGCCATTAGCTATAAGTCAATTCAATACACATAAAACATCGTCGACATGCTTTGTTTGCGCGTTTCGGTGATTTCAACTAGAAACTTTAAATTCGAATTTTTGTTTTCTATTTCGACCATTCCTGATTGTCTCCAAGCAAAGGAGAAAACGGTTAAAATCTGTTGATAATTCAACGCGAACACTTATAAGAAGCCTGATCGCTTTTAGGTGGCGTTTATACTTGTAAACAAAAATTGCTAGGAAGAATGCTTGCGCGTACCGAAGTTTAAACGAAGACCAATAGTTGTCCTGCAACAAGGCAAAGGAGCGCTACTGTATTCCTGAACGACCGACTTTCTTTCGCGTCAATTCGTGGATTTGTCTGCCGATTGGCGATCCAAGCACACAATGTTACTCCTTGACGTGCGTATTGGAAACAGCCAATCAGATTCTCGAGTAGGGTGGGCCACGTGAGAGAATACAAGAGTGCCTCAGTAAAAATACTGAGGGCTGACTGCAATTTTACACCACAATTGCAAAGGGGTCAGCCTTGCCAAATGTCGCCATTTCTTTTTGCGTAATTTTACTTCCTGTTTAAAAAATAACTCTATGATTTTGAAATGTAACTAACTATGAGAATAATCGGATAATTTATAATAACGATCAAGTACTAAGGGTCAACAAAAAAGCACTCTTAGGAACTTCCTTTTCAGCGCTCTAGTCAACAATAAACTTGTTCAAACTCGAATCAAACAAAGTCAACAAAAGATGGAAAATGAGAAAAAGGAGTTCATTCGTTGCGGTGTGTTCATTTCATGAGTTCTTGGACGAAAAAGAAGACTTTCTACACTTCTACAGGTATGTCTCTTAATCAGTCTCTTTATTGTCTTGCAAAACTTGAGCAGAAATAGAATTAGCCCGAGTTTCAGTCGCCCTCCTCCGTTCGCAAATTCAGCCTAAACTAGCCGAAGCTACTATTACCGATATGAACGCGCAGCCCTCTTATTTGTCAGGTTTCTAACAGCTTTGTTCACGATCTCCTAAGCTTGAAATCGCAGGATACAAAACAATCAGTTGAGGCCATGAAAATAGTCTTTGGTAGCACATTTAGTTCAGATCCATCATCAGTTTAGCGGGAAGAGAAGCCTTCTGTTGTGGATGCTGGCGCTCGCCGTTTTTGCGAACTGTTTTCTAACCAAAGCTCGATCCTCTAGTTTCTGGAGTTTGAAATCCTCTCAATAAAGCAATCATTTGCGTGGATGGAAAATAATTGATTTCCTAATGTTTTAGCAACAGACTAAACCAAATAAGAATGGAATCTATAGTTTTTTTGGCGCTTTTCGCCAATATATTGGAGCCGATAAAAACGAAAACTATTTGATTACATTTTCTCCATTTTGAAATTAGCGAAAGGTTGAAGAAGAGCAAAAATTGCATAACTGAAAATTAGCTTAGAAACTGAAGTAATGACAAACAACCACGGCCGCAGTCGTGGAGGAATTCTTTTCTCTAGGCGATTTACAGCCCGTATGAGACACAAAAAGTCAAGTGCAGTAGGTATAAAAAATTATTTCTGAAGGGTTTACTTTGTTAAATTCAGAAAAGACTTTGCAAATAATAAACAATTACTTTACAGTAAATAAATCTTAGTAGCCCCAGTGACGTTAACTTTTTAGTAAAATTCGCTGCAATAGCTAGCTTTCATCACTAGCGTGAAATTCGTCCAAAATTAACATATTTGGTTTAAAACAGTAAGTAAGGAGCCCCGTTGTTGTTCAAAAACAGACTATGTCCGTTTGTCCGTATCAAGTTAGAGGTCTTGTTATTTGCGACATTTTTACTTTTTTGAACTTCTTTACCTATCCTGTTTTCAATTTTGTTTGCAGCAAATCACGAGAAAATGGCCACTTCCCAATTTAAAGTGTCGCTAATTCTGTTAGTGTCTCTTGTATTTACGACATTATTCTTTGCTTGTGCTACAAGTGGTAACAAAACTAAACAGTCATCGTGCAACATGGTAGGTGACTCGCTTAGTTAAAAACGATTTAAACGCCTTCACTAAAATTCACAAATAATCAGTTCGAAAAAGCTACAAAATTTTACCCCATCCAGTCACATTCGTAACAGCTAACAGAAATTTTGCAGAACTAAATCACGTATATAGTAGTATGAAAAAAAGGTCCCGATACATAACTGCGAGATTTTTTTAGTTTTATATACACTACCAAACTAATGCACCGGCGGACTTTGAATTCTATTTTTTTGCTTTTGCTTTTCTTTTTTTGTGTGTGTTATACTGGCATACATCCCCACATGTAGTATAGGTTTTGTGTAACAGGGGCTCTCCCAAAAAAGCCCGCGGTAAGGTGTGTGTTTTTTTATTCCGAACTCCTGCTCCCATTCACAATCTGTGTGAACCTAATGCATAATTTTTCCTTCCAATTTACCAGGCCCTTCGCGTCTATTGTGCTGCAATTCCCGAAATGAATGGCAAACCTGGTTCCCCTGGGATACCAGGCCGCGACGGACGAGATGACCGTGATGGAGCCAAAGGTGACCAAGGTATCCCAGGGAAAACTGGACCCCAGGGGCCTCCGGGACCTAGCGGAAACCTGGGGGCTAATGGAAAGGATTGCGTCAAAGGAGAAAGAGGCACGCAAATGCAGAATTTCATGTTTTCCCGTCTACATGTTGGTACGTTTTTATGTAAATAGTAGCAAAAAGCCTAATACGTCGATATCCTTTACAGTGGCCTTTTTAAATATTTTTTATGACAATTTTGTTGTTTTTATTTTCGGTATGGAAAGCTGTGGATATACTTTTAAGAACCGTCTAGTGAGAGTTTTTAAAAGAAGAAACAATACAGATGTATACAAACGAGTTCGGTTTTTGTATAACCTGATATGTAAAGAATTTACATAAATACAAATTTCGTCGTTAGCTCTTTCTATTTAGAAATGTGGAAATTCCGCTTTGAAAACAAAATTTCATTATTAAGAAGAGCCGGAATTAAATATATGAAGAAACATGTGTGTTTCTCTATTGCCTTTGGTTGCCGTAGAGGCAATTTTTACTGCCATTGCACTGTATCGAAATGTGTGATTCTTATATATTATGTACAAAAACTTCGCAATAAAATTAACAAATTAACTGCGATATATGTCTTAGTAAACCGATATACAGAGAAAATATTTGGGAAGCTTGGCCCCTTGCCGGCCCTGTACATATAATATGGTAAGTGATTTGCAGGCGAATTTTATTTATTTTTTTAACGTCATAAAAAGCTAAAAAAATTTGCATCTGTTACAGAAAAACAATAAGTTATCGTTTGTCGTTTAATTTAACTGCACAGTCAAATGTGGTAATTATTGAGATTTGATTTTACAACACCAAGATATTGGGATAAATGGAATTTAATACTGTTTAATACGCCCAGAGTTACTTTGTAAAACTATTTAGCAGATTATTATTACTCATTACACAGTCAAGTAGAAGTACATAGCTTTTAGGTATAAATCAATTCCAGTACATAAAAACATCGTCCTGGTTGATTGCAGTATACAGAAAATCTTCAGTGAGACAGATAATTTGATTCGTCATGTTATGAACGTGAGGTAACGAAAATAAATTATCCAAAAAGGAGTAATTTTTGTATTGCCGTATAGGAAAAGCTAGGAGTATTTAACTCTCGCTGTTGTTAATGCAACACGTTACTTGTATGTTTCATATGCTGTTCATCATATTGCAGGAAATTATCGAAACTCCCATCAAAATGGCTACTTCGCAGTTTAAGGCGTCGCTAATTCTGGTAGCGTTTTTTGGGATATTATCCTTGGCTTGTGCTACAAGTGGCAGCAAAACCAAACAGTCCTCGTGCAACATGGTAGGTGACTTGGTTATACGTCTCAATCTAATAAGTCCGACAACGTATGTAAATTTCTGAAAAAATGCTGAAATGTCATTTCTTTTAAGATGTTCATGAAAAAATGGCGTATTGAACAAACAATCTTGGTTCAAATTTTCACTGTTAACAGTGCTTCCTGTTTTAGTACGTAGCAGTGTTTTAGCGTTGAAATAAGATTCAAAATGTAATGGCTCTAATCTAAAAGGAAAGAAGTTGTAGAGCTGCTCAATTTGACTAATGATGTCAACCTGACGAGGCCTGTCAATTGACAAATATGAACTTAATCTATTCTACTTTTAATTTACCAGGCCTCTCCCGTCTACTATGCTGGGATTCCCGGCATGCATGGCAAACCCGGTTCGCCTGGGATACCAGGCCGCGACGGACGAGATGGCCGTGAAGGAGCCAAAGGTGACAAAGGTATCCCAGGCAAGACTGGACCCCAGGGGCCTCCGGGACCTAGCGGAAAACCGGGTGCCAATGGAAATGACGGCGCTAAAGGAGAACGAGGGGCCCAGGGACCCCCAGGACAAAAGGGGGAACGCGGGGAGAGTGGATTAAGAGGAACCCCTGGGAACCCAGGTCGGATGGTTTTTAAGAACTGGAAGGAATGCGTTTGGAAAAACATCGATGATGGCAAAGACCACGGTCTGATCAAGGTAAACACATTTTCTTTACCCGTTCATTACATCAAGGTCTAATCAGGGTTAAAGAGAAGTTTTTTATTTGTTTTCATAAAGAAGGAAAAAATAATAACCATTGCCTAATAACAATATAAATTATAACACTAATAATAATACTATAGTAAGTGTTTATTGACGATATATCCATCACTAGAAATATGGCTCATCACTTGTTAGTCACTAACTCACTATCACTTTTATACTTATTTAAAAAATCAATTGGGTGTAGTTTATCATTACTCTAAAACAATGAAAAATGAAATGATAGTGAGACAATATCATTAAAAATCAAAGAAAAACTAAGGGACAAAAGATATAGAAGAAGCTTAAGAGCGTGAGCAGATCATGACCAGTTCTCATTTCCCTTGCCTCTAAACACACAAGACTGTTTAGTGGTACATTTTTACCAGCATATCCGTTTCCCTTTTTGCACAGGAATGTGTGTTCAGCAAAAAATTCTCCGACACAGCTCTTCATGTATACTGGACGGGTACTCTAAGAGTCTATGCAAGCAGTGGCTGTAAACGCTGGTACTTTACTTTCAACGGTGCAGAATGTTCAGCTCCCCTACCCATTGATGGTGTTGTGTACGTACGCAGCAAAACTGTAAACCCTCATCGCGTCCGCCACATTGAAGGCTACTGTAATAACATCCACAAAGGAAAGGTGCGCGTGGGATTCTGGGTTGGTAAATGCGATGGGTACAATGGAAACTATGACGCCCACACTGGATGGAAAGCTGTGTCCCGCATCTTCGTAGAGGAGGTTACCAAAGCTCAAGCTTAGAACTTCAAGCGGGGCAGCCACTCCTGCATATTGACCAAACAGGGACGGTAAATAATAGCGCTTCTATTTGTGGGATACTACAGTTAATTGCTTTGTAGCTGTATAAAGTCTGCTCGTAATAAAAAAAGTTGCAGGAGGCAGTCAAAGAAAATGTTTGATGGTTATTACAGCTCAGATGTAAAGGAAATGCATAAAATGTAAAAAATAAATAAATAAACGCGGGCTTTACTGAATCCCATTTTCCGCTGAGAGAAGCTAAGCTAAGAAAGGTCCGAAGAAAGTTATATTGTTTGGTAGTTTTTGCAGTTTTTTCTCTGGGCTAAACATGAACAAACCGTCTCCTACTTAAATCTCATTTTCGTCATTTAAATTTCCGCGCAAAGACTGGTGGGGCATTAAAAGCAAGGATGCAGCTTCTCCCTATGTTCCTGCCCTCAAGCTTCACCTGTTTACACTGAGTCATTCCATATGCTTCGTTCCGAACGACTTTTCGAATTGCCGTGGGGGAAGGTAAGGGTTTTGAACTCTCGGCGGCACCCAGACCCCCTATGCCAAGACGTGGGTCAATTCTACCTAACCCCTCGGATTACACGCTTTTGGGGAAGCGTAACAGAGCTTACCGTAAAGTGTAAACGTGTAAACAGAGGCTTGTTCAAAATGGCCGTACAAACAATCCCCATTCTTTTTCCTTCCTATTCTTCGGATTTCATACATTTAAGCTTGGATTTTATAAGTTATAAATTGTCCAAAATCTTTCAGACACTCACAATGTAATAGTTTTTTCAATGTTGGAAATATTGTGGGAAAAGTGAGAAAAGCACAATTCATTTTAAGCAAAACCGAATGGATTAAAAACATTATTCTAACGTCACTGTGCCATGTCAGAAAAACCATCAAATTAAATAAACACAAACAGAAAGGCTGTACATATTATTAGCGGCTAATTATCACACGATGGTTTGACAAACTCTTCCCAGAATCTTCTCGTTTTACTGGGCGACACAATAGTACGGATGTTTAGTCCTACCGGTCACCGCCATATTTGAAAACGTGGGCAAAGTGGGTGATCGCCAACTCCACATCTTTTCAAGTATAATGCACCTTGTTTGTCCCCCAAATTTTGCATAAGCGTTGTTTTCAGTTTCTCCTGGGAAAGATGTAATACCCAGAAGACATTAAAAACAAAGGTTATGCAATATTTTTGTTTGGGGGTGGGGGGGGGGGGGGGGGGGGGGGGGGGGGGGTGGGGGGGGGGGGGGGAAAAGAGGTTTTTTTTGGGAGAAAAGGAAAGAGAGAATTCTTTTATTCGCAACACAGTGCTGCATAACTGAAGTAGACCACAGGGATACCCAATTCAGGATAATAGATTTTTTTGAAATGGGGGGGGGGGGGGGGGGGGGGGGGGGGGATGGGGTGGATGGAGTCAAACATGTTGTATTATGGGAGAAATGCAAATAGCGAATTCTTTTCATCTCAACACAGGACAGCCAAGTCGAAATTATCGACAGGGTAACGCATTTCAGATCAAGAGTTTTGTTTGAGAATTCAAAATGAAGGAGAATATTTCTCAACGTCATATTTATGCGAAAGCGTCATTTGTGTTGGGGAGTTTCACAGCGATTTTATCGTGTCATTCTGCCTGCTTTTGTCCTCTTTCCAGACGATGCAGAATTTCATGTTTTCCCGTCTACAAGTTGGTACGTTTTTATGTAAATAGTAACAAAAAGCCTAATACGTCGATGTCCTTTATAGTGGCCTTTTCAAATATTTTTCATGACAATTTTAATTTGTTGTTTTTATTTTCGGTATGGTAAGCTGTGGATATACTTTTTAGAACCGTCTAGTGAAAGTTTTTAAAAGAAGAAACAATACAGATGTATACAAACGAGTTCGGTTTTTGTATAACCTGATATGTAAAGAATTTACATAAATACAAATTTCGTCCTTAACTCTTTCTATTTAGGAATGTGGAAATTTCGCTTTGAAAACAAAATTTCATTATTAAGAAGAGGCGGAATTATATATATGAACAAATATGTGTTTCTCTATCGCCTTTGGTTGCCGTAGAGTCATTTTTTACTGCCATTGCACTATATCGAAGTGTGTGATCCTTTTATATTATGTACAAAAACTCGGTAATCAATTTAACAAATTAACTGCGATATATGTCTTACTAAACCGATATACAGAGAAAATATTTAGGAAGCTTGGCCCCTTGCCGGCCCTGTACTACACATGGCAAGTGATTTACAGGCGAATTTTTTTATTTCTTAACGTCATAAAAAGCTAAACAAATTTGCATCTGTTACAGAAAAACAATAAGTTATCGCTTGTCATTTAATTTAGCTGCACAGTCAAATGTGGTAATTATTGAGATTTGATTTTACAACACCGAGATATTGGGATAAATGGAATTTAATACGCCCAGAGTTACAATGTAAAACTATTTAGCAGATTATTATTACTCATTACACAGTCAAGTAGAAGTGAACAGCTTTTAGCTATAAATCAATTCCAATACATATAAAACATCGTCCTGGTTGATTGCGCATCTCGGTGATTTCAACTAGAAATTCGGTTTTGTGTTTTCTATATATTTCGATCATGCATTCCTGACTGTCTCCAAGCAAAGAAGAAAACGCGTCACAGAGGGTCTTAGAGTGGTTTTACTTGAACCGTCAAACAGATACTAACAAATGGTGCAAAATAGCGAAAGGTAAACAAAAGAAGACAATTAGAATTAGTGCATAATAGTGCGCAGTATTCTACAACCGATTTCACGGTTCAAGTAAAATCACTCTATGGTTAAAATCTGTTAATGCAACGCGAACACTTGTGATAAAGCTGATCAATTTTATGCGGCGTTTATACTTGTAAACAATTATTGCTAGAAAAAATGTTTGCGCGTACCGAAGTTTAAACGAAGGCCAGTTGTCCTGCAACAAGGAGCGCAACTGTATTCCTGAACCACCGATCACTATTTTCCACGCTATTGCTTCCCTTGACGTGCCTATTGGAAACAGCCAATCAGATTCTCGAGCAGGGTGGGCCATGCGAGAGAATACAAGAGTGCCCTCAGTAGAAATACTGAGGGCTGACTGCATGTTACACCACAATTAGCAAAGGGGTCAGCCTTGCCCTAATTTCTTTTTGCCATTTCTTTTTGCGATTTCTTACTTTCTGTTTAAGAAATAACTATGATTTTGAAATGTAACTAACTATGAGAATAATCGGATAATTTATAATAACGATCAAGTACTAAGGGTCAAGAACAAAGCACTTGAAGGAACTTCCTTTTCAGCGCCCCTAGTCAACAATAAACTTGTTCAAACTCGAATTAAACAATGTCAACAAAAGATGGAAAATGATGAAAAGGAGTTCATTCACTGCGGTTTGTTCATTCAAGGAGTTCTTGGACGAAAAAGAAGAATTTCTACTCCTTTACAGGTATGTCTTACAGTCTCTTTCTTTAGTGTTTTGTCGTGCAAAACCAAAGCAGAAGTAGAAGTGGCCTGAAGTTTAGTCGCCCCCTCCACTCAGTTTCACTAATTCAGCCTAAATTTTAAATAGAAACTGCATGCTATTCCCGATATGAGCGCGCAGCCCCCTCATTTGTCAGTTTTCTAACAACTCCGTTCACGAGTCTCCTAAATTTGAAATCGCAGAATACAAAACAGTCAGTTACGGCTCTGAAAATAGCAGTTTTGGCTGCACATTAGTTCAAACACATTTCTTTAGAAGAAACTGTCAGAAGCCGACTGTTGCGGATGCGGGCACTCGCCATTTCGCAAACTGTTTTCTAATGGCTAAATTCGCCAGTCTCTGGAGTTTGAAAGCCCCGGAACAAAAAGTCATTTGCGTTGTGGAAAATAATTAATTTCCCATTGTTCTGGGAGCAGGAAATGGAACTGGAACTCTGTCGTTATGCGGGGCGTTTATCGTGTATGAATATACGCAGTGTGGTGATTACTGAATTATGATATGTGTAACCATTTTTGTAAACGGAGGAGAGAGATTCTTTGAAACAGACATAATATATTCGATTACATCTTTTTATTCTTCAAATTACGAAGATCGAACGGATCAAAATGGCACGAACTAATTTTTAGCAGAAAAGCAATGCCAAATAACAACGGTTACAATCTTGGAATCAGTCTTCCATAAACGAATTGTTGCGCTTACAGAATACATGGTCACGATCGTTTCTGAAGTCGTTATTTTGTTGGATTAATAAAAGACTTTAGAGAAAAAAAATCAGAAATCTTTATAGAAGATAAACTTCTCAGTAAAATTCTGTGCAATAGCATTCATCACTTGCTTTAAATTCATCCAAAGAAAACACATTTGGTATAAGTATTTATTAACGACAGTCCGCCCGTTCTTCAAAAGCAGGGCGAGAATCAGTTGCGTTTTTATTATTGGCATAACTTAAATGCGCGGGCCGTCAGATATCTTTCATTTACTCAAGCAAGAGGCCTTTTTCTCCCCTTGTCGTATTTTACATGTCAACTTTTTTGAGTTTCGTATTATAATGTTTTCAATCTTGTTCGCAGGAAAGCACGAAAAAATGGCAACTTACCCGTTTAAGATGTCGCTTTGTCTGATAGCGTTGTTTGCGATATTATTCTTGGCTTGTGCTACAAGTGGCAATAAAAACAATCAGCCATCAAACAACATGGTAGGTGACACAGAAACTGCCTCTGATAAGTCAGACAAAATATATGTAAATTTTTGATGATGTACATGAAAACTTGGCGCATTGAATAAACAATCTTAATTTCAAAAGTACTTCCTGTATACACAGCAAATAAACTTGAAGCCAAAAAGTATACATTTCATTACAGTGTTTAATGGTTGAGGAAAAATTATAATGTGTCGATCTTATCTACAAGGAAAAGGAATTTTAACAATTGGTTAATTTAAATAATGTTCTCTGACAATTATGTACTTTATTTTACTTGCAAATTACCAGGCCCAATCAGTCTACTATGCTGGTATTCCCGGCATGCATGGCAAACCTGGTTCCCCTGGGATACCAGGCCGCGACGGACGAGATGGCCGTGAAGGAGCCAAAGGTGACCAAGGTATCCCAGGCAAGACTGGACCCCAGGGGCCTCCAGGACCAAGCGGAAACCCTGGTGTTAATGGAAAGGATGGCGCTAAAGGGGAACGCGGAGCCCAAGGACCCCCAGGACAAAAGGGGGAACGCGGGGAGAGTGGATTAAGTGGAACCCCTGGGAATCCAGGTCTGATGGCTTTTAAGAACTGGAAGGAATGCGTTTGGAGTAACATTAATGATGGCAAAGATAACGGGCTGATCAAGGTTTTAAAATTTTTCTGTTTTTTCTTTCCATGTGAAGAAAATTTGCCTCATATTTTAACGACTTTGACTTTATATTTTTGTCTGACACATTGTAAAAGATTCGAGAATCAGCTGATAATGAGCAGAACCAATTTTCCTTTGAAGTGATTCTAGTGTAAAGTTTCATTCAGATAGTGGTATTTCTTTTTATGCACAGGATTGTGTGTTCATGAAAAACTTCTCTGACACATCTCTTCATGTATACTGGACGGGTACACTTAGAGTCCAAGGGTGCTCAGGCTGCTGCAAACGCTGGTACTTTACTTTTAACGGTGCGGAATGTTCAGCTCCTCTACCCATTGATGGTGTTGTGTACGTCCGCAGCAAATCTGTAGATCCTCATCGTGTCCGCCATATTGAGGGCTACTGTAACAACATCCACAAGGGAAAGGTGCGCGTGGGATTCTGGGTTGGTAAATGCAATGGGTACAGTGGAAACGTTGACGCCTACACAGGATGGAATTCTGTGTCGCGAATCTTCATTGAGGAGGTTCCCAAAGCACAAGCTTAGACATCCAAGCCGGACAGCCAATCCTGCATATTAACCAAACAAGGACAATAAAGAACAGTGCTGTTATTTTTCAAGAGATATTACACTTAATTTTCTTGTAGCCATGGAAAGCATACTGATGTTAAATAAAGGGCAGGAGGCTTTGAAAAGGAAATGTTTGCCAGTTTGCTATCACACCTTCTTCGGCATATATATATCCTGAGTATTAGGCCTTCACTATTGTCTGGGGATGGGAGATTTGAAATACACGGTGGAGAAACGCCTATAGATACTCTGGCTATTATAGGAACTAAATGCTTTGAAAATAAAAAGAACGCCAGTCTGCTAAGCGAGAAACGGGTTCAAAAGTGACTAAGACGGGGAGGGGGGTGAGGGGTGTCGATCGAGTTTCAAGGGTATTAAAACGGCCCTTTCACAATTTACGAGAAAAACAGACAAAATGGAGCGCTGGCAAGAAACATGGTTCGCGGTGAGTTAAACATTTATTTCTCCTTTCATGAAAAATTATTCTGCAAAATCACGCTTCACGGTCTCTACGGAAAAGTCCCCTTTGCCTTGAGAAGCTAAGAACTGAAAAAGGTTTCAATTAATCCACATACAGTCGGTATCAAATGATAGGGCTGTTATGATCCCCTGTAGGTACTCGTCAATACGGGCCGACAATGGTTCATGCAGATATTCCATCAATAGCTAGCCACACCCTTGCACCTGTCAAGACATTGGTCACAAAATAGATGCAGCTTTATGACCTTTATTGCAGGTTATGATGGCGCAGTTTCAATTTTCCGTTCGCGTTGCTGGAATAAAGTGACGTGGTTTTCATACGTGTACGCAGAAAATTATCAATAAACAAAAAGCTTAAACAAATGCGAAGCCATTAACTTTTATCTTCATTATTATGTATCCATACTTTTCGGCGTATTTATTCGTCTGTCCTCTATCTTATCATAGCCCGCAAAACATGTTACCCGGTCACATTATGTATAGCCTACACCCAAAGCTAAATTTATGTGTATTAATTTTGGCAAATAACGTAAATTTGCGTCTCATCAAAAAATATACTGATTTTATAAAGCATCATATATTTTTGGGTTAAAACCCTAAGCTTTCCCCCCCAAAAAATAGTGTATCGTGGATCGACTTTTAGCCTGCGAATACAGCCGTCCATCATCGAGTCCCAAGAAACGTCTCTTTTCCCTTGCTTTTCTATTTTCCTGTCTTCTGCTTTTCTTTTTTGCTCTCCGCTCCCCATTTCACTTTGCTCTTCTCTAGAGTGAGATAGCCGCAAAATTTGCATTGATTATATTATTTAACAATTAATGAATGAGGCTGAGTATCCTATGAAGAATTATGGAGATCGAGGAGGGTGTTATCCGCCGATGCCGTAGGCCGAAGCGGATAACACCCTCCGAGATCTCCATAATTCTTCATATGATACGAGAGCCGAATTCAATAGGTATCAAAAAGGGCATAATAATAATAATGATAATAATAATGATAATGGTTTAATGTCAGCGTATCTAAGAAAGTGGCTGTTCATCTGAACATGCTACAGACTAAAAAATTACGAGGATCACACCAGATTAAAAAAAATCATAGCTATATAGAATTTACAATTATGTACACAATAAAACTGTAACCAGAGTATAATACCATCAACTGACGTGATACAACTCACTTTGACCCTGAAGATGACTACCGCACAGGTTGCCAAAACGTCAGTCACTGTCAACAACAACAGTCCTATTCAGGACTACGTTCACCCGGACGATCAAACTCGACCTAGTTTTGATATGTACACAATGGTAAGGTATTTACAAGTAGTTTATGAAGAAGATATACGGAATTAAACTATAAAGCTAATAAAAAGAATTTACCCCCAAAAAAGTTGGATTAAAAAAAATACTGAGCATAAGGCAAGCAAAAGGTAAATAAATTGACACAGCGCACTTAGTCAAAAGAGTGCAATGCTTCATAACAGGGTAAGAGTTCAACCGCTGAATATTTGAAAATTGACGCATTCGTGCTTATTCTCCATAACCTGCGTGGCAGGCGATTTAGAAATGAGGGGCGTGAAATAAAAGATGCGCGCATGAGTAAAGAGGACATGTATAACGAGCGATGTAGCGCGGAGGAATTCCTGCGATTTTCAACCTTCTACGCGTTTGACCTACCCAGGTCGTAGACGAGATTACTTTCTACGTCGCACAGATCTGGCCTGTACTGACGTTGTGATAATCATTCTTTTAGTTGAAGATCGTTGCGAAAATTTCACAAATTTTTAAATCTTGAAATTTTAAACAGGCGGATAAGGGATCTACTTTGCTTTGAGCTACTCAGAATGTTTAAATACTACCGCACTACGACAGTAGCAGACAGAAAAAAAAAAGGAACTGAGACTCGTTCTCAGTTTTTAATTTCTTTATCATTGAGCTGTCTGGGGGTGTTAATTTCATTGAGGGAAATTAACATTTACCGTTATGTCTTCGCGTTATGTACAAAATCATTAAGATCGATTATGTGAAGCGAAGGTACGGTTGCCTGAACGTTGATAGGTGTTTTGCAAAAATCTAATAAGTGGATCCACGTTACCCGAATGTTGCAATGACACCTTTGATGACGTTACATTTTCTAAATGAAGCGATTATGATCTGCCATCTTTTTCAAACCAATACGCTCTTCTATTTTTATTCAAAATAGGAAAAAAAGTAGTATTGGATCAGTCTTATACTTGCCTTGGACACAAGCAAAGTTTGACATAAATAGGATGTTCCGTTGTCCACTTTATCTGGTGGTACATAAATGACGACTATTGACGCCACGCCTTTTTACTGTTGTTTCAAAGGATGAAGTCATGGTGTTTAAGGTCTCCTGTAGGTCACATTGAGAAGCAATTCGCAAATGTTGAAAGTAAAATTAAGAGGAATCGTTTCATAAAATGCACTCACCTCCGGGGGTGTTGTGCTTGCTATTTTTGTTGACATTGTTGCCTTTTCCATTCTCAACATCCCAATTCCAGAGTGATTTTGAAAAACGGAAGAGTAGCTCGCAGGTTTCGTCGTATGCGTCAAGGCCAAGTCGTTACCAAATACCACAGAATGGCTACAACTACTATTTGCAAAAACAATATTCAAGATCAGAAGTAGACAATGCTGTTGAGAGTAGACGTAATGGTCCTCAGATTTCAAACGCTCAAGATAAGACCCGTTATAATATGCCATTCTATGACTCCATTTACAAAAGGAAGCAGGCGTTGTCCTCGCCGAGACCTTATAGTGGCATTGGACATAAATTTCCCTTAATTCCTGACGTCTCCGAAAGAAACCAATATAAAAAGCCATTCTATGACTCCAAGGGGATCGTAAAACAAGCATCCTGGCCTCCAGCTGTCCAAAACCATGTTGAAAGAGCTCGTAATTTTCTTTGGAAAGCAAACCATTACCAAAGACCATTCTTCAATTCAAATTTTAAAATGTTACCATCAGTGAGAAGTAGTAATGCTCCTCGGTTTCCTTACGCTTCAAAATCGCATCAGAGATCTTCAATCTTGACATATCGTCCCCTTAAAGGTAAATATCAGTGGAATAAGTACCTCCGCGGAAATAGTCAACCAAGGCGTTCGTTTGTTTCCAACGCTGATGTTCAGCAAAAACTATCCACTCAAAATGGTATCGACAGGAGAAAGGTTCCTTGGGTGGAACAAAATCCAGCGATGGCCCACTACAGAGCGTTATCATATATTCCAAACCATACGGCGTATAGATCCTCTTTTTCAAACTGGAAGGCGACATTACACTCTGATGTATTGAATAGCCCGTATGGGAAAGGTCTTGAACGTAAAACAGTGTCCTCTGAACAACATGGCGGAATCCCATATATTTGGGAAAGAAAGAAGAGTTACATTTTTCCTTTACCAAGACCAGATTCAACAGATCCTTCATTAACAAGCAATAATCACTTGGAACCCAAGTCGAAAATTCAAAACTATGGTGATTTATACACCAATGGTGATGTCGCTCTCCAATCTGTTTTTCCACAATTAAGCCAGGGTGAAGACGGTTTGATATCCGAAAAATTGTCCGACCAACAGGCTACATCTCGAACTGGAGATGTAGCATACTCGATGGTGAAAGGACTTACCAGGCTAGCACCAAGAAAGTCTTACGTAACAGCGAGTTTGAACGAAAGGTTAGGCCAACTGAACGATCCCATGCTTATTAAACTGAAGAATATTCTTCAGTCCTTAAGAAAGCGAAGTACCAAAAATATTGATGGTAAACAAGTTGTTTATTCTATGTCAAATACTGGCGCATTTCAGCGAGGGCGAAGGCATGCAATAATTGGTACGTACGACCTCTACAAGGATAACCTCAATTCCAAAGAAGTTTCTGAAAAGAAGTCTGCAATAGACAAAGAAAAAGGAGGACCAAACTGGGGTTTTCTTAACGATTTTTCCCCTAACATTAGACTCGCATCTATGATTTTGCTCAAACAAAAGCGAAACGGTTTCCGCAGAGGGGACTTACACGTGCACTCAAGATCCTTGGGAAAATCAAGTGGAAAAGAAAACCCTCTTGCAGAAAGGGGTGAACAGAAAACCATTGTCCGCGCAACTCAAAATCAGCCGAAACAAGGCATGTTCTTCACGAATCAAAGTAGAACTTCGTTGGTTCCCACTATTAAATCTTTCAATAGCACAATGCCTACAAGAGCAACTCAAAAGGGTAGCCAAAAGATGCATAAAAGAAAAAATAGGAAAATTGCCAGACATAATATCCAAGACCGTATCAGTGGGGCATACATTTATCCAGCGAAAAAGTATGGACATGGAACGCTTTGGTCGCCTTATGAGATAGGACCTGACCAAAGACAAATGATGCAGTTCTTGGATTCGAAAGAACAGTTTCAAGCACAGCAGATGGACATGGAAAATCGCTTACGAGCAATGAGATCACGAGGTTTATTAAATTCCCTAGCCTTTGTAAATCCACACTTCGTTTTTCGCCCTCCCTTGCGGTATCCCATGATGCCTTTTCAACAGCAGCAGTATGATTATATGGAAAGAAATGAATTTCCGGCAAGACGATTTCCTTTCCGAAACAATTTACAATTTATGCCAACCGCAAATTATAATTTCTTTCCTATTCGGAACTTGGGTTTTGTTTCTGGAATGAGGGAGCCAGATATCGAAACGAATGTCGAAAATGAGTTACAAGAAAAAAGCGAATATCCAGCGGAAAGCGATCAAGGCTCAGTCGTCGAAAACAATTTAAATTTTCCATCGTTTCCTCCTCCGCAAGCAGGCGTTAAAGAACTATCTAAAAACGATCAAAGTTCATTAGATGGCCGATATGCCCAGGTAATACAAGTAGAAGCTAATAAATTCTACAAGGACATCCCCAATGGAAACACCAGTCCTTATGACGAGCGAATTCAAGGAAGTTCTACTTATATCAACCCACAACTGACGAGAATGCAAGCGGTTAATCAGCCTCTAATAATGTCTCACAAGTGGTTTCCTATAGGGCAAAACAAAATATCTTTAATGGCTGATCCTCGCAAAGTTTCTTCTCAGTGGCCCCCTCGTCTGCCCGGATTGGACCGCGCTTTGACGTTAAATATTCTTCAAGGGAGGGGCTACTTCCCTTCAATCTACAACCCAGTTCTGAGAGGTGTTTATAAGGACACTGAAGCTCGTGTCCAGCCTGTCTATGACGACGGGGAAAGTTATAGTGGTTTTTCCAAATATGGAAGTGGTATCGAACGTGAATCCAAGGGATCTAGCCGCCGTAATCAAATTACCCTGCCCACTCATAAAATGGAAGTAATAAAGGAACCAGGGAAAAAGTTAGCAAATAAAACAAAAGGAGAAGGAATCCAAGTCACAAAGGAATCTTCCAGTGTTTTAAAGTTCAAAGAACACTTAGCTCGTAGAAATAGATTACATCACCCCTTGATCGATAGTAAAAGAGGAGAAAATTCATCAGAAAAATTACACCATGCAACTGAGCAAATCGTTAACCCTAAGATAAACTCGAACAAAATGCAACAGCCTTCTCTTGCTAATAGACCAAAAAATAAAGGACGCGTCACCAGAAATTATGTAAATACGGTAAATTATGTCCTGAATCATCGCATGTTACCAAATATCCGCTCCTTTGCACCACTATACACTCCAATTGGTCTTGGCTCTGATAGGGGTGTTTCATGGGAACAGCTGATGGCAACGAAAACGCCATTTTTAGTAAAAGGAAGGTTATCTGGTTTAGGCAACTCTATTAGAAGGTGGCCCTTAGGTTCAGAGAGACAATTCAGTCAAGTCAACGTCCCACAGCCAATGACGTATTTGTCTCACCAGCAAGTCGCTCAGATTCCAGAGACCTCGTTTATTAGAGACGACGCACAAGTGCAACGGCCTTATGCAGAAAGCAGGACTGCTTTTCAGTCAAATGGAAATGAAGAGTCTAATGAGCCACACCAAACTCCTGAATACTATGCAAATGAGGAAAAAGAAACTGAACACAACGAACCGGAAATTATTACCCTCCCTTCGAATTACGCAGGGGGGGAGAACGGCGTCACCCAAAACCTAGGAAATCCATTTGATGGAGGTCCAGCTTATCCTGAGCAAAGTATAACAGAATTAAAACCAATTGCTGAGAGTGCACCAGAAAATGGAGTTGCGGAGAGTAGTCTGAGTAGCAGACGAGACTTAACGGATAGCGGAGAAACCTTTGCAGAGAAAGATGACATGCAGGGTGATACTCAAGATACGAACAGTGGAACTGACGCAAGTTTCACACCCGGCTTACTAGATGGGTTAGACAATACACAGGCCAGTCTTCTTCAACGGCAAATCGAGGGAAGAAACCCTGACCGTGAAGGCCCCCTTAGTTTCTCCGACAGATTTCATTTCATGCCACGACCGCAAGCAATTATCCATCAACGAGCCCATTATCGCAGCAAAGGCATTGGTAATAATTTAGGGATTCGGGATGGGCATCGGATAAGATTACCAAATTTATCATTAGATTCCATAGAGAAAATGATTGATTCAGCGTCCATGGGAAACGGAAAAGCCGCTCAAGATATAAATGGACTTCATGGATACGGTTCAAAATCTAAGGGAAGTGTTGACCAAGCAGGTTTTGATGATAACCAAGACTGGAAATCGGCTCTAATGAATCAGTCACCAACCGAATTTAACTCAAAACTCGAAAATGCTATGTTACAATGGAACAGTGCAACCAAACCACATCACAAAACTGCCAGTTCAAGTGAATCATCTCTCGACAGCTCCTCTGACACTGTATCGGTTCCTTCGACAAGTGCGACTGATAGTCAGGACATAGTTCCTGGGATTACGTTTGATACCCAAGGACAGCGTCCAGGGCCACTATTTATGTCTAAGGCACCACCAGGTCTCGAGAGTGACAGTAGTTTTGAAACAGTTCTTATGGTTCCACCACAAGGAAAGACATTGAAGGAACAAAGTGGAACGAAGAAGGCAACAATACATCGCAAGGAGGTCCAGCACGAAAATACTACAAAATCAAGGGATTAGTGGAAGTAACAATCATTTTATGGTGAATGCTTAAAAGAAACTGTGATAATTTGCGTTGAACGAGGGCAAAATGCACCTGAGAACTGCTTTTAGAGGATCATAACAATACTAATAATGGGGAATTGAGAGGAATCAAAGTACAAACGAACCTCTGCCTTGCATCTTGGCACGATAGAAAGTTAAAAATATGAAGATATAGGAAATTAAAGAGGTTGTTTTAATCATGCTATGAAAAAAATAATCAGATTTTTAGCCGAGAGAGGACAAGGATACATAGAGAAAAATGGAATGATACGAGAATAAAAATTCTAGAAAATGGGAAAAGAGGATTCTGCTTTTTGTGTCTTAAGCGATGGCTGCGAGAGGAGATAATTAAAACAGCACACCGTTTGACTTTTCTAAAAAGGAAAAATGCAAGGAGAGAAATAATAATTGTAAAGACAAGGTCAACTCTACCCTGCGAACAGCAGACGCATTTCCGGTCGTCGCTTCTCTCCCTCCGAAAAATATTTTCGGAGGAAGAGGAGCGACGAACTGAAATGCGTCTGCTGTTCGCAGGCTAGGTCAACTCGCGTTTTTCCGAAAATTAAGGACTATAGGTTTTCTATAAGGCTCTTTAGGGGATGGGTTGTAACTTTATGTGAGACACCAAATTTTTGTTCACTACCCTCTAAGAAACTATAAAAGCTGATAATGAAAGTGGAAAACAAATTTAATTACAAAAGGGTTTCTTTGTGTACTGTTTCTGGAAAACGAATCATGATTTACATTGATTAACGTTAATATAAGGATACAAAAGTTGTACCAAAGAGATGATATCAGTACGATACCTTAATTAATAGAGGGCATAAGCAATCCTCTGGAAAAACTAGCTAGAACATCTTTGCAACAAAAGACACCCTCTAAGATTGCAGCGCTTTGCTATATTTTTCCAAAATGGACGAAACATGGCAAAAATTGTCTTCATGTCCATATCAGTTAATTGCGTTTTTACGGGGTTCATTGTCTTTGAATTTAAACGCGAATGTTGTAAAGGAACAAATGAGCGTTCTCTTTCCCGATTTCGGTGTCTGTAACGTGCGTCTCTGTGACTTGTTTTTGTAACAGACGGATTTCGACTAGCTATCTTCCTTGCTGCTTTGATCAGGGCACTTGCAAGTGCTTTACCAACCTTGTTTACTGAGTAGTTATTATTTGCAGCATCGGACCTAGTGTCTCGATAAGAGGGCCACTGTGGTTGGTCCGTATTAGGAACAACTTGATAAGGAGGAATTTTTATTTGAGGATAAGGAGTCGGTCCTGGTCGTGGTGGTGGTGGTGGTGGTTGTTGTTGGTTGGGTGGAGGTGGTGGTGGTTGTTGCTGTTGGTTTGGTGGAGGCGGTTGCGGAGGGTAGCCTGGAACGTTCGAATTTTGTTGCATTGCAGGCTGACCTTGAGACAGGGCTTGCGACAATGCCTGCACCAATTTAGCATTGCTGATTGGTTGAATACCCTGTTGAAAGTTTTGAGCCAAGGCCTGGGTCAAAGCAGCGGTGAGAAGATCAGCGGGCTGATTGCGTGCCTGAGCTTGACTTGCAGCAAGGGCCAAGGCTGACGCCAGGACGTTTGGTTGAGGCTGGATCATGGACGAACGAATTGCATTTGCAAACATTCCGATCAGACCGCTGTAAAGTAGAGGATCATATCCTTGAGGTAAAGATGACAAAAGAGGCGATGAAGGGAATTGTTGGGGAAGCTGACCCAGTGGCGAAGGCCACCCTTGAGTTAAAGATAATTGCGGGTTTTGAAAGAGAGGCATTTGAAGACCGTTCATTCCCATTTGACTTCCCATGAGAAACGGATTCGCTGGAGGCATTCCCATGTAAGACGCAGGCATTAGCATATTGTTTAGGCCTCCTATGGGTGACTGAACTCCAGGGGAATTCACTGTAATTGAGGCTGGCGGTGACGCAGAAATGCTTACTTGAGGAGCAGCTACGTTTGGCTGACCATACATCGGTGTTTGTGGTGCAGCTATGACTGCTCGCGGAGGGGGCGCTTGTTGAATATACATCGGAGAGGTGGAAATTGGAGCAGGCTGTTGAACAGGTTGAATAACCGGCTGCTGGTAGAGCACAGGGGGAGGTGTTGGTGTTGGTGCAGCAATGATGATTGGTTGTGGTGGTGGTGGAGGTTGGGGAGCCTGTGGTGCTTGCATAACGTATTCTGGTTGAGGTTGTTCTGGTTGCTGTGGTGCTATAACATACTGCGGCTGTTGTTGGGCAGACGGCTGGGGAGCGTACACAACTTGCGGCTGTTGTGGTGGTGTCTGAGCCGGCTGTGCTATTATAATTTGAGGCTGTTGGTTTTGAGAAGCACCCATTCCCCCCGGCATTGGTGCTATTATTACCTGCGGAGTAGGCTGCTCTGCAGATTGCTCTTGTTGATTGATAGTGTAAATGCTCTGAGCCGTGGGAGTCACTGGGACGCTTTCGTGTTGCTCAGGTTGACTAGCATCACCGTTATCGCCAATTTCTAAATTGAGGTTAATGTTGGCTGCGGTCGGAAACGCCCTTTTTATAGGTGGCGTTCCAGCGTGTATAGCTATCACCTGCACCTTCTCCGTCGGTTTTGTAGTTGGCGGAGGTGTGGGCGTGGTCGAAGGAGTTGTTGGAGTGGTAGGGGGTGTAGTAATGGTAGTGATGGGGGGAAGTGTTGTGGGTGTTGTTAGTGGTGTGGTAGGTGTAGTAACAGTAGTAATCGTTGTCTGCGTTGTTGGGGTTGTTGGAGGTGTTGTTGAAGGTGTTGTTGGCTCGGCCGTCGTCGCTCCTCCCTCATCAAGTTTAAACGCTTCCTCTTTGGTGTTGATCGTGTTATCCGGAGGTAGAACGATATATGGCTCATCGTCGACCTCCAGGTCCTTGGTATTCGTAAGCTGCTTTTTATAAAGTCTTGTGTCGTAAAAGGGATGTGTGACTGAGACACCATTCCAGTACTTTCTTCCTCTAAAAGGCGGGACACTCCTCCGCCAAATAAAGTCTGTAAAAGCAAGAAACAGTCATAAGCAGATAAAAAGTAACATGTCACAGAAACATTTTCCTGTTATAGATTGAAGAACCTAAACTTGATGCCAGACCTTAAGGATTGGGAGAGTCTAAGAAAGAATTGCGCAATGAGTATTATTTATGGTATTTCTCTTAACCAAATTGTTCATTTTTTCCTAGTCACAGCTGTTAACTACCTTCTTGTTTGGAAAAATGTTGAAAATTGATTTGGTATCTGCTTATCGTGAAGATTTCATGAAAGACCTCTGTTTGTGACTGGAAAAATGCAGAGACCGAAAGTATTTATTTAAACAGGGCAATTTTGGTCACCTGAGATAGAGGAACAGAGAGACAGTTTTTTGCTCGCAGATTTGTCTTCTACTCTGCAAACTCACAATGTTTGAAAAGAAGGTAAGGTCTCGACTTTTAATGCGTAACAACCTGTTGTAAAGCTAGTCCGGATCATCGCGCTACGTTTCCTTAACCAATCAAAACAGAGAAATGATGATGTTTCAAGGTGCAATTAATACGCGCCTTTTTCATGTTTTCACAATGGGGCTTTGCAACCTTAAACAAGGTTCAGCTTTAAATCAAGCATGTGACAGGGTCTTAAAGCCATGCTCTCCGCTCGTATAAATAATTGTAGTTTCTATTGCCCTGTTGTAAAGAGAAGCGGTTGGCTGCGCGAATCTGGTGGATCAACCAACACAATCTTCGTATTTAATTTTTCTCTCGCTTTACAACAAAATGAAACTTGTTATGAAACGGATTGAGTGCCCATGTATATGTCACTCGATGCTTTGAAATACTTTCTTATAAAGGAACAGTCTTACAACATAGCGAATATACAAGTGATTTAGAAACTGATTAACCGGTTAATTACCGCTAAAAGCGTATCCATTCTAGTATGACAATTAATGGAGTGTAATGGACAATTCGATTACGTTTTCAATGCGATATATTTTGATTGCTGCGCTTACAGTTATGACACGATTCACTCGTCATGCGAGTAGTTATTTTATGTTAGGCAACCAATTTGCCTTTTTTATTTGAACGTTTTGATCAAATATGCCATAAAAATGACACTTTTTTAACCTACCTGTTAGCTTTTGCCGTCCACTGCGATGTAAACTTGCCATATTTTCCACTTTTCTCACAGATGGCATGGTCGCAAAATGTACACCGCTAACATTTTTGTGGTGCGAAGGTATTTTAACATTGTCGACCAGCAATCTTGTCCATAGTTCATTTGCCTTCTTTCCTTGATTTACCTTTAAAAAAGTTTCATTTTTTTGTCGATTTTCATGATACGCTTTAGATGGAGTAGTGGCAAATATTACAAATGACAGAACCAACACATCCAGCACTCTTCCGGATGAGAAATGCACCGCTATTTTCATGTTTTCCAGAGCAATTTCTACGCCGTGTTCTGATGTTCATTTCTGTATAGGAAAACTACAAACCAAACCATTGGGAATGTGATTTTACGGTTTACATTCTTTCAAGCGGAAATATGACAAAGAAATATAAGTCAATGGGTCACCAATACTATCGGCGTGAAAGCTTTGTTTAATTCACCGCCTGGCCTTTAAAAATTCATATCTTGTATTGCAAAGAGATCAACAGGTTCTTTCAGGTGTTAGAACAGACGAATCTGACACCTTTCGGCTAAAAATATCTGAAAATGTTGGGAAACGAAGACTACTTAATTCAACTACCATCAAATAAAGGTTTACGATAACAGAGCAGGACAATTTCTGAGGCTTTTTCGAAATTTTTTCTTTGCACATTTTATGACTTGTATGAACGGCTTACAAACCATGTGGTATGCAACAAAAATCCATTCCTTTTAAGAACATTATATCTGAGGTAATTTTTAAGGTTGGCACAGGTGAATGAATGCGTACCTTGGCGTATTTTTCCGTCCATTAATGATAAAAAATAACGTATAATTAGTGTTCCTTGTCATTCTTTATCTAATTTTAGTTAATTTGAAAAGTAAACATGCCGTCATTATTAAGGTTACTTTAATTTAAGAATAAAATATGTGACTGTATAGTCTTAATGAGTTGATGAAAAAATGGCAGGAAACAGTTGAAACCAAGCGTTTTTATCTTAGGGGCAATTAAGCGTTAATATCGGAGTCTTAATGTTTGTCAGTCAATTACTTGCTTTGAGGCAAGGATCAAGCAAAACATGTTCACAAAAGGCTGAAAGCGCTGGAAGCTCCGGTTAAAGGCTCGTCGGAGGCGTGTTTGGAAATGCTCTTAAATGTTCTGTAACTCTCATCTAATATGTACTTCAAAACTGCTCTCGAAAGTGGTCAGTTTGGAGCCGCACTTATCAAGGAGAATATAAGCGTTTCTTCATTTTATGTCATGTTTTGACTGAAAATGTTGAACGGAAGATGTTCTCTCTTAGTTTTTTTGGTTCAATGTTTTTACGCCGGTGTTTGTCAATCAAATGAAGACATTCAGACCGTCCTTTAGAAATTTTTTCAATGCCTGTTCCAGTTATTTAAGGTTGTTTAAAAAGACAGTTCTATGCATGCCTTGGCTAATATCGATTTTTGGATGGGTCATTGGAAAGTCCCACAAAGCAAGGCTTTTTTTAAAGGAAAAAATATATAGCCTTTCTCCTGAAAAATGTCATTTTCAAAGAGAGGTTAAACGCTTTATTTTAAGCAAGCTCTTTTCATTGCTTTGTCGTTTCTAATACTGAGATATACTGTAAAATGTTACTGGTGTGTTATTTGGCGTTGAAAAGGTGCTGCCATGTTTCCGTTAGAAGAAGTATTTTCAACTCTTAAAGTAGTCATCGATCTGACAAAACACCTTTGTTACGTGCCCCGACAAAATTATGATTCCAATAATGCTGCACATTCCTTGTTATTTTTTTAACCCGAACATATCATGTCTGTTTATATTAACATTGTTGGACTAAGCAAGAGTCCACTTCACACAAGAGAACCTGTCTGCATGCGACTTTCGCGCAAGGCATTTCAGTGACCAGGTTGAAAGCGGGTGGCCTTGAATATTAAATTCCACCTTTCAATTAAGACAAGACATAACAAGAAGTCTTGTTACCTATTTTCAGATAGTAATGTGAGAAAATGAAGTACAAGTAATGAATGACAATGAGAAGCGCTTTTTTATGTATTTTTTTTAACTTGATCGTTTTGTATCAAGTAACAGCCAAACATGACCGTTTAGCGAAACATCGCGTCAGTAAATTTAAGGCGTTGCACAAGATTCTGTTCCGTGTAAACCATCATCGCCACAAACCCACCGGCAGGACCTTACAGCACGGTAAGCGCCTTCATAACACTCATTGTTTCGCTACTTTCCTGTGGATATGGAAGGTCTATTTATTCCTCTTTTCCACTTAAAATCATAATCTTGTAATTACGTTTTATTGACTTTGAGTGAACGAATTAAAAAGAACAGTGAGTGTGTTTGTCGACTCACTGCCCTTACTTAATGGCTTGACGCACAAGCAACTCTAGGTTCCACGAACTATATTGTCATACAATTTATGTGTCGTGGAGTTGTGTGGTCGTATTTTAGCATAAAATGATAATAAAGCCATAACGAGTTATACTAATGACGGAAATGCATTAAGATCTGAAATTTGTCCGTAGTTTAGAAAATCCTCTTTTAAAATTTCATATGCTTTCGTCTTTAGGTACCAATCTATTTCGAGTCTTCCAAAAGGGAGAGAGCATATAATGTTCTGGGGGAAAGATTTGCATAAAGGGGTATAGTTAACTCCCTCTAAGGTGGGTGCCGTCGAAGACAAGCAGCATGTCTTAGCGAGGTGTCCTACTTATAGAGAGTCAAGAGAATGATTGAAGGACCGGCAAGAACTAACACTAAGTGTCCTCCTTAGTGTCCGTTTGAAGAGACACTACGGTCCTGTAAACAAATGTCACTCTTGCTTTCGTGACTCTCTTGTAACGATTGCTTTAGAGTGTCTAATAATTTGCCTTATCTTACAGAGCCCTCGAGATTCCTACATTCAGGAAAACATTTTAGTCACCTATTGAAAGCATTGTCTAAGCGCAAGAAAAAGTTGAGGAATGCCAAAGGTTCAGCCAAGGCGGTTATAGTCAAAGTGAATGGAAAAAATGTTTACTCCAGCTTTGGCGGAGTTCTGAATACCACAAACCCGCCAACACCCTCACCATTTCCAAGGACAACTCCTGCGCCACAAACGCACAACATTAACCTTCATATCAATGTGACAAAATCGAATCCCCCAGAAAAGGAGCCGAGTCGACCTGTCATCATAGCGGCACCTCAACCACAGCCCCAGCCTCAGCCAATCGTGGCAGTGGTACCCCAGGCAACCCAACCTGCACAGGTTCAAGCTCAAGCTCAAATAGTGCCTCAAATACTGCCTATTGTAACACCGGCTCCAGCTACGTCAGCACCGGAGAAAAAGGAATCAAGCCTAAATAAGTTACTGCTAACGGCGGCATTATTGAAAGGACTAGGTGGAGACTCGACTGAAGGGAATTCACAAGCTTTTCCCTCCCTGTTAACAAACCTTATACCACCGTATAATTCTCCCCTCAGTTCATTGCTTCCCGGAAATGCTGGGTCATCGTTAACTGCTCCTCTGACTGGGTATCCTCAACTTGGGGTTCCCCAAGTTGGGACCCCCCTGGGGTATCCTGCGCTAGGTAATGTACCCCTGGGGTACCCGGCGAATAGCGGACCACTTGGAGGTCTCAATCTAGCGACCGCAGCAGCTCTTAATAATTTAAACATGGGGTATCCTAGGGGTGGAGGAAATAGAAACTTTGGATACCCAGCTATTGGGAGACCTAACATGGGATACCCCGCCGGCGGGCAACTGAATATGGGATATCCAGCTATTGGTAACCGAAATATGGGATATCCCGCCGGTGGTAGATTTGGTTATCCAGCTGGTGGAAATCAAAATGCCGGGCCTCTAGGAGCTAGCAATCAAAATATGGGCTATCCTGCAGCCGGAAATTCAAATATGGGATACCCTGCTGGTGGAAATCAAAACTTGGGGTATCCGGCGGGTGGTAACAGTAACATGGGATACCCTTCTATGGGCAACAATAACATGGGATATCCGGGTGGAGGCAGCAACAACAACTTGGGTTATCCCGCCGGTGGGAATGAAAACATGGGATATCCTGCTGGCGGGAATGAAAACATGGGTTATCCTGCCGGTGGTAATGAAAATATGGGATATCCTGCCGGTGGTAATGAAAATATGGGATATCCTGCTGGTGGAAATGAAAATATGGGATATCCTGCCGGTGGTAATGAAAACATGGGGTATCCCGCGCCTGGGGAATTTCTTAATTTGCCACCCACACCGTCTACAAACACTGGCGTATCACCCGGAGGAAATACTGCGGCTCCTTTACCAAGTCTTGTTCCCGGGGGAGGCCCGTCCGTTGTGACCCCGCCGCCGGGCGGTTATCTTGGTGCAAGTCAGGGCCAAGGTACAGCAGCGCCAATTCCCCCAATTGGTGCAAGTCAACCAGGTAACCCGAGTCAACCAGCTGGGGCAAGTCCACCAGCCTCTCCGGTTCCACCAGCTGGCAGCTACGTTGCTCCGGCAACAAATGCTGCGAGTTCGTGTTGGTGTGGTTGTGACGCTACTTGCTCTAATACTTGCAACCTTTGCAATTCAAGTCCCACTGGCAACTATGAAAACATTTCTGGTGTATTGCAGCCCACCAATACTGGCTGAGACAGATTTAAGAGTAACACACAAAAAGGCTTCAAGCAAAGGAACTTCGTCCTTACCAATACTGGCATTACTGAGACTGGACATATTTTCTAGTTTGAATTCATTCTTTAAAAGTAGCTTTAGAATCCCTTTTAGATCAAACGCCAAATGTCGAAGTCAAGTAGACCTCTCTCAGTTTCTCACAAGATTAGGAGATAAAACCATAAATAATTTTTATGGATGACCCTGACATGAAACTACACATTTCTGTGTAAATATGATGATAAACAGCAAAGCAGAGGTAGAATTTTGTCACGTGGTACAAATTTTAGTTTGCCGTTAACGTGATTCTAAGTGCCTCTACTGTAACTTGTGTCATGGCAACACTTTGCAACCGTATCTTATAACGTTCTTAACTTTTCTAAATATGTATCAAACATAACAAATTGGTTTTTATTGAAATTTTTTACTGTAGCGGGTTTACCAATGGATATGTAGTTCACGAGCGATGCTACTTTGTAACTAGCTACTGGCAACTGGCAAGACTTTGCAGTTAGGTCCGACAGTCGATGGATCGGCCCTATGCGTCAGAGTATTTCTGCTTTGTAATTTAATTTAATTTAATCCTTGGTACGAACTTTTTTACTGGTAAACGTAGTGATGTTAAATGGTGACAAAACGCTGTGTCGAATGCTTGATATTACTTCTCAAGCAAAATGATTTTAGAAGGAGAAATTAAGGATGCAAAGATGAGCAGTTTTTCATCTGATTTCCAAATACTCGTTAAACATTAATTTCATTTGTATTTTCTTTATGAATTACTGATATTAATAAGTTTGAGAAGATTAAAGGAGAATTAAATTTGCAACAAGGATTAACTGCACCAGAGTATATTCTGTCAATATCTTTCATGTGTAAAGCCAAAATGGCTAATTAATGGACACATTCTCTTTAATGTTTGCATTTTTCAGGATGTATTCAGGTTGTGTCCATAACAACTACTCATTTAGGCCTCGCAAGCTTTGCCTAAAGTAAAAGACTAATCACAAGCAGTTAAGATGAAACTACAGTATTCTCTTCGAGTCTTTTTAAGTCTGAGATTTGTTATTTCGCACCTGCGCCCCTCCCGTCATACATTTGCATTATCATAACAAACACAGTGACGTTTCATTCAGGGGCACATGGAGGTAGTTTTGTCTTTCTGAGTCTTGTGAGTCACCGTAAGAGCCCTTAATATCGAATGGGTGAGGACGTTTTAATAGTCTCCCAGTCATTAAAACGCAACCTCGGCAATTGTAAATATAAATTGAAAAGGGTTTTAAGACTACATAGCGTACATTTAGTTTGAAATAGCCATGTACATAGTACTAATGCCTAATTCGCCAACTAGGGGACAGTCGCCTTTCTGATGATTCCACCAGGAGATAATCTTTGTCCAAAGGGTTTTCGGTATTCACTAAGCCGCGTACTCGACTGAGTGGTCTGTAATCATTGAAAACCAATGAAAAGTATCCTTGATCAACAGTATTCCCATAGAAGTTGTCTTTTGCGCAACCTAATGTCGGTTTGTTCTTGGCCCGTGTTGATACATAATATCATGAAAAACACTCACTCAATTGGTCATAGCTCTTTTTATGTAGTAATAACTATGTAGTCTGTTAAGGGACTAAAAGTCTAAAAGTGACGCTTTCAAAACTGCTGCATGGAACAAAGGGAAAGGGGTTGGAAGTTAATAAGGGGGAACACTCAGCCAATAAACAACTGACCTCTAGTAAACATTATTCGAGTATCACATTGATATCCAACCAGGTATTTAAAAACAGCAAAAATATAATGATAATGTAGTCATCCCTTCACACAACTTTAACGTACGCCACGAAAAGTACACTCATAATTTTCTCTCAGTATGCTCTATCGCAAACCGCTGGTTAACTTCTCAGAGAAGTTTGATGAGCAAGATTGAATGCTTAGGTTTCCCTCACTAAATAAATTACGGTTGAGGTCGTTGAGTAATTAACCTATCCAAATGGGATAAAGCGTTGTTATTGTAGTTAAGGCAGTTTAGTAGATTTTAGACCCTCTTAGTAGTAGGACTATTAATATTTGCAAGAAGGGCTGAAAAACTTAATTTCTTCGAATAGTTGAACGTTTTATGTTCCTTTTGTTTATGACAGATTGTGTCTTTGCGGTTTAATTTGAAAGAAGTTATCTTGGAATTTCATTTGCATACTTACCTTTAACAACTCAGGCATGACTCGAGATTAGTCGAGAATAGAGTAAAGGAACTAGTAATTGAAAGTTTTTATAAACGGTCGTTTAGTTCTAGTATAGGAAGTTTATATGAAAAACTCTTTCATCTTTCGAAGGTTTCCTTCCGTGAAATTCAGTGACAGCTCCACCCAGTCGGCTCGCTAGAATTTGCGGTTAACTGAGGAAAGTAAAGCAAATAAATCATTACAGTACTCCCGACCAACAATAAAAGTATCCTGTTATGCTTACAGGGGAGAACATTCTTGACCAGTTGAGATGGGAAATGTTCCGTTTAAGTCTATAATTAGTTGGATATTCGATTGTCCTCTCTGTAATAAGTTTGGGCCAGGTATTAAGAAATGGTAACAGCCTTCCAGAAATCGACCACAAACCGTGAGTGGTAGTAGGTTTGTGATGCATTAAATGAAAGAAAAGGTTGTTAGAATGTCAGGATTGTCAGGCAAAGGGACACTTAAGCAAACTATTGACATTCAAAAAAATCGGTTAGCCAACTTAAATAACAATACAAAACCGGCTGTCCTACTGGTGATCATAAAAGTTTTATGCAAATCTTTGATGAAAGCAAACATGGTAACTTATATTTTCTTGCCCAGTGAGGAAATGAAAAGAAACATATGCCTCTATGGACGACTTTCAACATGAAAAAAAGGATTTTTCTTCTCTTGTACACGCTGTGCGTGTATTGGACGTCAGTCATAGGGGTTCATCTTGCTGAAGATCGCCGAATTCCAAGCTTAAGATCGAGTGGTACGAAGCTTAGAATACATGATCAAAGCTACTCTTCTAATTCTAAAAGAAGAAAAGGTAAAGTCCTTTTAACCAAAATGTGGTTATTTTAATGTTTAGGCCAGGAATGGAAATGAAAATAACAAAATTTTTCATATCATGTCATATCCGTGTAATTGTGTAAGTGATATGCCGGGGGACTTTGTTTGATGAAGAATCTAAAAGCAATTGATTGGCAGTTGTTTTGTAATTGATAGGCATTTTACGCTTGATAGCAGATACACTTGTGAGACCGAAGATGTAATACTGAAGTTGTTTTGATTATCTCGAGAAAAATCTACCACCGTTGTTGTTTACGATCGATCATGAAGGCAGCCATATCAGTCACACGTTCACTGAATTATGAATTAATACAATTTATCCGGTTAGTTTTGTTAACAGTGCGTTTAGGTCATGATGCATATATATAAGTTTCTTGTATCTGTAAACCATAATAAGTTGCTTTGGAATATCTGGAGAGATTAAGTGTCCTGAATTAAATTGCTCTTTTAAATCAGAATTCCATTCGGTGATAAAGGGGCAATGCATTATTTAAACATCGCGAGGAAATTCTACTAACAGTAGCGAACTGCTAAATGAAAGGGGTGGTATTCATCAGCGGATACTCTGCCCAAGGTTTTATGCAAAAATCATATACCCCTCTTGCAATACTTCTCTTTTTTACGATACGCTTTTTTCTTGGCTTTCTGACGTTTCTGTCAAACCTTTGCTCTGCAGAAGGCGGATTGCTTAGCCCCTCGCGTGCGTGCGGTAACCAAGTGGAAATCAGGAAAATGGCGATGCTATGTTCAGCAGGGGGCTTGAAAACAATGTCTTCGTCTTGTACTTCGAAATAAATCTAGATTTATCTTTCTGGTGTAGATTAAAAATATGTTTTATGATGAAGAATAATTAGCCAATAGTGGGTGTTATACGACAGGCCTGGTGCTTATCTCGCCTAGAGCTTTCCGAATTCGTGGCATTTTCTAGGCTGTTATCTGTGGAAAAGCGGCCAGGAGAAGAATGCTCGTTTTAGGGGATCCTTGATCCTGTCGGTTATGGAACATCACGATTTTTTTCTTCTCTTAACGTTTTTTCTTCACTTACCAAGCATTTTATAAGATCGTAATTACGATATGCAGGGTTCGTAATAAATAACATACACGCCAAACGAAATCGAAGTTATATATTTTATGGGAAATAGTTTCTTATCAATGAAACTACTATGGGAAGTAATCTGACTGAAAAATTTATCTTTCAGGGTCTTCCAAATTGGCACTGCATAGGCGAGGGCTTAAAACGTCCTTTTCAAATATTAAGAGAGCTTTCATTCAACGCAGAATACAGTTTAAAGGTGCACCAAAAGGCGTTATCGTAAATGTGAATGGCCAAAAGATTTACTCAACAGCAGGAGATTCAGCAGTACCACAACTTAACCAGGGCTTCATAACACCGAATAAGGCCATCAACCTCCACATAAACCTTAATAAGAAACCTTACGAATCGTCAAGGCCTCAACGAAAGCAACAGCCGATTATTATTGCCGCACCGAGACCTCAACCGCGACCGATTGTGATTGCTGTCCCTCGACCTCAGCCACCGATGGTTTTGCCTGCTCCTGTTCCTCCTGCTATCTTACCAGCACCTCTTACGCAGCCAGCACCCCTTCCGCAGCCGGCACCACTTCCGCAACCAGCACCACTTCCCCCTATTTTCTTACCTCCACCTGTTCCACAGCCTGCTCCAGAACCAGTTAAGGAAGAAAACGAACTCGGAAATATCCTTCAAACGGTTGCTTTGTTGAAAACCCTGGGTAAAAAGGAAGAACCCCCAAAAGTCGTGACTGTGCCTGTGCCTGTTCCCGTGCAATCGTTTCCAGCAGGATACCAGACACCAGGTCAAAATTACGGATACCCTCCGGGTAGAGGTCCAAACCAGGGATATCCGGCCGGGGGAAATCAAAACCAAGGATACCCGGCCGGTGGACCTGGAACTCAAGGTTACCCTGCCGGCGGTGGTGGAAATCAAAACCAAGGATACCCTGCCGGTGGCGGTCAAAATCAAGGATATCCGGCCGGTGGAGGTCCAGGAAGTAACAGTCCCCAGGGATATCCAGCTGGTACTTCATTGGGAGCTCCTCCTACAGCTGGTAATGGTCGCGTACCTGGGACTGGCAATACAGGAACGGGAGGGGCTACGAATCCTTTAGCAGCTTTAAATGGTCTCGTACCTTTCCTTCTTGGCATGAATTGCCGTTGTGGCTGCGAGAGAAGATGCCCAGATTTATGTGGGTTGTGTAAAGATGTCGACGAGGAGATTTATGACTCAATAGAATGTTGTAAGACAGTGCCATGTCCATGCTCCAATCCGGGTGCCTTTGGAGGGACGACACAACCAGCTCAACAAGGAACCGCAGTAGCAGTTCCCCAACAAGGAATAGGTCTACCAGTGCCTCAAAATCCGCAAGCATCAACAATACCAGCAGCAGTATCGAACCCCGCGCAAGTGCAACCAGCTCCAGCTCCTCAGCCGTCCCAAGCCCCACCGTTATCATATCCTCAATCTCCAGGTTCCACCCAGGTAAACCCAGCTGTTCCAGCGCTACCTGCTTCAGCACCTCCACAAGCGCCTGCCTCAGCACCTCAGCCTCCTTCTGTTGCAGAACCTCCGCCTCTTCCTGGTACATCACCCGCAGTTCCGACCCTTCCTCAACTCCCCCCTATTCCACAGACGCTGCCAACGGCCCCGTTAACGGCCCCTGGTCAGTTACCCCCGGTTCCACCCAAGCCTGAGATTACCCCTTCAGTCCCGGGAGGAAACACGCCAAAGCCACCAAAGCCCGAGGTAGCCCCACCTAAGTCGGAGGTAACGCCACTTAAACCAGAAGTAGCGCCATCAAAGTCAGAGAAAACCCCTCCAAAGCCGGAGATTCCACTTCCATCTCTTCCAGGATCTGAACCAGGATCACCTTCTCCACCAAAGCCAGAAATTGTTCCTCCAAAGACTAACCCAACAGAAGAGTCTCTACCTTCTATTCCTCCCGGAACAAACGGACCCGGTGCTCCTGGAGAGCCGCTACCCCCACCACCAGAAAATGAAGGTTCCATCAAGATCCCTCCTGTAGCTGTATTGCCCGGAAAAAGCACTCGTAAGTGATGTTCTTTGCTTTAAACTTTTACGCAGCTTTTCAGTATAATTCCAAGCGCATGTGAATCCCCTTTTGAATGTGTTATATTCAAGGGTCTTTCTCTTTTCTTTGAGTCATCTATGAAAGTTAATATTCAAACCAAGATATGACTCAACGGGGAGGGAAATTTCTCATGTGTCCGTCGAATTGGTCTTGGAAAAAACCGAAATGCATTTGAAATGAAGCATCAATCCCATAGTTAAAATATCTATCAAGCAACATGACTCGTTGCATCCAATAATAGCTAACATTTCTTTCATAACAGGGGGCAATTATCTTGTAAGATAACACTTTGAATAACGTTGTTAAGCCAAAGGTATCTCTCCTTATTGCCTTTAGTGTCAGTTTGTGCATGGGCTCCTGGTCTGAACGCAATAGGTTATGGGCACCAGCGAGATTTGGTGAGCTTGCCCACGGAACGGAAAGGTTGTGGTATTTGACAGGAGCTTCGCTTATAGGGTCGGCTAAATTTGTGTACCATCATGAGAAGCAGGGGTGCCAGGGATTTCGAAGTCGAATGGTTTCTGTGCCACACTGCTTCCTTCCTTCCCTATGATACGATAATAGCACGCGTTCGGTTGTTAGCAACTTTTTATTCATACGTTTCTTAACCCTATATCAGCGGTCATTCTTGCTATAAACAACTCAACTGATAACTAAATATTTTATTCTCACAGCTGCACCATCGCTGCCATCATTACCACTTCCGAAGCCAGTCTATCCTGTTCCCCCTCCGGCTCCTCAGGTATTTATCATAAAGGAAAATAACGAATCTCCAAAAGACCAGGAAGACAGTAAGAGTGCCGAAGCTCTCGATAACTTAAGCAAAACGTTTGAGGATGCGTTCACAGAGGCTTATAAGTCCGAGGAAAGGAAAGGTAGATATAGGCATCAACCTCGAAATGGACGTTTTAGGCAAAGGCTACAAGAGCAAGACAGTTTTGATAATGACTCTGAAGAACCTCCTAGGAATGGCTTTAGGCATAGATTACACGATCAAGATGATCCGAGTTTAGATTTAGAGCAAGAAGTAATCAAGGATATTGAGAAAGAGGAAGGCGAGGAGAGAATGCAATCAAGTGTCGGCTCACGGAGAGAAATTGCGAGACAAAATTCAACCAACAATAGTGAAGACGATGAAGATTACAACAATAACAACGATGACGACCTCAGTGATAATGGCGACGACAGGGGTGATAGTAATGGGTATGATGATCGTAGCCATGGTGATAATCACAAAGCCGACGAGGAGGATGATAGTGAGGATGATGATGATGATGATGATGACAGGAGGCACAATAATGATAACCGTAACGATGACGATGATCGTGCAAATATGGGCATAAGTCTGGATACTGAGCCGTCATCTGATGCAGACGAACCTCGTCATTCTCATTCTCACCCTGACAAGAAATATGATGATTATAGGCCAGGAGACATAAAGAGACGGCGAATAAGAAAAAAGAAAAAGTATACACGTTATCATGATTATAGAAGAGGCAATCACCCTAAAGAAAGTCAAGAGCGGGATAGACTTTCACTGGCAAAATCCAATAGTATTCGCAAGCATTTAAAGGTTCGAACACACACCAACTGGGACAATCACAAGGCAGAGGCACATAAACCGCCAAAAAAATACTCTTACGCTGAAAAACAAAAGAAAAATCCTAAGAAAACTACATTGCGTGGCAAAAAATATCGCAAATCCAAGAAAACAAGGGTGAAGAGCTTAAAGCATCGGCTTAAAACCCAATATTATCCAAATAGAAACTCAGTGCGTGTTCGTTATAATAAAAGTAAGTTTGCTCATTTACAGGAACGTGATTCAGGAAAAAGCCGCCATCGTCATCATACAGGGTACCCTGTTCATTACCACAAACAACTTAATCACCATCAAAGCGGACACCAACATAGGAAGAAATACAAGCAACGTGGTACCCAATACAAAAAACATCAAAATCATCACAATCAACAATATAAAAACAGTTATTCTAACAGTGGATCATTATTACCCGAGGATGAGATTTCAGAATCTAGCACCTTCGAAGAAGGAAGTGCGAATCAGGATCATGAATCCTCTACATCCTCAGGGTCCGAAGACCAAAATACTCCTTCAGATTACACTGAAGGCGACCGTCACATTTCTGATGTAAAAAGTGACGTTAACAAAGGCCTAAAAACTCTACTAAGTACTGTACAGTCGTTTAAGCAATCAGCGCACCACAAATTACGAAAAAATACGAACTGGGGGAATATAGCGGAAAAAGATATCAATGACTATAGTTCTGGCGAAGAGTCAGGAGAAAACGAGGTCAGCGGTTTTGAGGGTAGCCATTATAACTAGTTATCATAGTATTTTATTAGTGAATTTTTAAACATCGAATGACTCAGATACAATTCTTTTATTATGGTCATAAATAGTGTGATGGAAAACCCCTTATTTGAAAAATATTTTGCTAACGACATTCTCGATAAGAAAAATGCTCCTTGCACTGAAGGGAAGATATGGCTTTGTTTTACATTAGGAAAAATGTTGCATTTTTTTTGATGCGAGAAAACTGGGTAGTTAGAATCTTTCCTTTTGCTATTCTGACCCCCACGGCACAACGAAGGCTAACAATAACCTAATCTATTCTTTTTTGTTAATATATTTGCACTTGTTTACTGATAACTGAAATTAATAGACAGCTTTTATTGGAAATAAAATATTCTTTGTTTTATTCACAACTAGTTTAACACACTTACATGACTGTATTTTCAAACATCAGAAATTCGACGTTCAACGTTAAATCCTGTTTGGGAACTGAAGACTTTTTTTTCCTGCTCTCGTCCCATTTTTCTCGATCTTGATGTTACAATACACACATTTCTGCATGAAGAGTCCTAGAGGTCATCATTTTTATGTTTTTGCTGAAGCTAGGCTCTGCCCTCAGATAGGAGGGACGTCGCGAAAACATGTTCAAGGGAAAAATAGGACGCGCGGGATCTTGAAAAGGGGCGGCGGGAGTTATTTGCATCAGTTTTTTACGATCTCTGCACATTACTAATACTATTTGAAGCTAACCCAGAAGACGAGAGAGCGAAACCTACGATAGCCACGTACCATACAAAATCTTACTTTCACGCGAGGTCATTTAGCATTATAAAGTCAGACCAGAAGCTGTTTGTTTATTCCTCAGACGCATTTGGCAAAAATTGATGATAATCGATTACTATGGTTCCCAGATATGATGTCATCGATTAGTAAAGTCGTTAGTTTACTAGTTAGGCTCTGAGATAGTAGGGACGGCGTGAAAATAAGGTCCAAAGAAAATAGGACGCTCTTGATTCGGGAAAGGGGGAAAGAGCTAGGATAGAGGTCCACCGCCTTCTCTCTATTCCTAGCCTGAGGAGAACAGCTGACATTGAACGACGCCGCCACTGGTTTCCCCGCGAAATGACGTCTGAGAAACGAGCGCAGAAATTCCATTGTGGTGACGCGTTACTACCCAGATCAGGGTACTGCTTCTGATTGGTTTAAAATTTGTTTCATCCAATCAGAAGCACCAATGAGATCTTGGTAGTGAGGCGACATCAGTATGGAATACTGTTCAACCCGTAACTCTTAAGCTATAATTGAAACCTTAATAAAAATAAAAAGCAGACAAAAGCAAGAACACAAACAAAAGGAAGAAATTCTCAAACACGGCTGGATACAAAAATATTTATTTTCAGAGGCCTCTTCATAGCTAAGGTTTCATCACACATTGCTTTTACGTACAAAAATAAATAAATAAATAATGTTCGCCACTCAGATAGAGTACCTGTTTTCTGAAAACAACTATGTTCTCGAAAGACAACGTGTATTGTCATGATTCATCTAATTCCTGGATTTGATTGGCCGGTGATCTGATAGCATTTCAAACGCTTGCATGAGAGTGGTTTTTGCCAAAAATCGCGAACAAGACTGAAAGGAAATGGTTGGAATCAAAACTCAGGCCCTCTTGGTTTCTTATCAAAATCGTCCTTCGCTCTCATCATCTGAGCATCAATTAAACATCAAGTTATCGGAGTGATTTACTATGCCTATGTTACCGACCTGCGCTTTTGAATAAAAAACTTACTCGTGTTCTTTGTTGTATGCCACGTACGTTACGTAAACCGACAAAAAATGTACAATAAACAATCGGCCGTCTTTAACTGATGTGACGTCCGCTATCCAAGTTAGTGAGCAACAAAACAAGCCTTTCACAGAATGTATTGACTTTTTGTTGGTGTGGTAGACGAAATGTGCTTCCGTACAAACGTTCTTGAATCCTTGAATTTTACCTGTTAGGAAGTGCTAACAGTGCAAGGGCCTTGGCTAGTTCTTTCTCTTCTACCATTTCTGCATTGCCTTGCTCTGACGTTGGGTTTGACTTGCTACCTAGCTCGTGACTTTGAAGATAGTACGTTGTTGGTGTGAACGCCTTGGTCGTGGCTGGTCCATGAAATGGTATGTAGGGTACCTTGGAAGATGGTAACATTTTCCTCAAGCCTGAAAGTTGTTTCTGAATACACATACACAAACAAAACAAAACGTTTCAAGAGTAGTAGTACCATGATGTACGATGCCGTAGCCTCGAGAAAATCACGTCAGTTCCAAGTTATTTAACAAGCTACAAAGACCAATAAGTTTTCTGTGTGTCGTAAGTGATCATGACTCATTGAAGTTCAAGTTCTCTCCATGGAAAGAAGTTGTTGAAATATCGTCATTATTTTGAGAAAGTCTAATATATCTATTAACAAGACTTAAAAGAGATATAAGAACTCCATCTTGAAACCTCTAGATGAAGTCGACTAGCACATAAACTAGTATACATTCAACTGTTCTTTTTTGGGGGGGAGGGGCGCGGGGGCAAGGACAGATTATGCTTTTTATTTGGAGAGGCACTGCCATTTAACAGTTACGAGGGTTGTGACCATTTCAGTGAGGGTAGCAATAAGCTAGATGAGCTTAAAGGAGTTAAAACTTACTTGTCCATGCGTGTAGTCGTATGGGGTGGTGGTATGTTGATCAGCAGCTTGTCGTCAGTTTATCAGATGATGAAAGTCTGTATCGTTAGTAATTAACATAACAGGTGTTGCTGTGCTAATCAAACAAGGTGTTCCTGTGCTTTTAATATTGGCAGTTTATGACAATATTCTTTGATTTTTAAAAGAAAAAAGAGACAGAAACAGCTAATTTACTGTCGGCCGACCTTTCCCTCCCAAACCATTGTCCTGGTAATGTATTTCTCCAAACAATACACTAATTTTTCTGCTTCTGACTTGCCGCCACGCTTCTTTAAGTGAAAGCTTTTTAACACGTGACAGCTGGCCCACTTCAACCTGAAGACTTTTCTTCGTCAATTAGAAAGTGTCACTAATATATTTCCAAGTGTACAGGTTTCCTGTCTTATATTCTACTTTCAGCCCGTTATACGATAATATATCTCTTTCTTTGAATCCACCTTTTTAAAGGTAAATCCCGAGCCATTAAAATTCACGTGGTAGCGCAAAAGAGAACTTAATTAGACGTGTCAGGCATAATTCTGTTAGTTCAGTCAAAGAAGGCATGTATTGTTAGCTAGTTTCTTTTGTCTTTGCACTAAAGTATTTCTGGAGACGCCGAACAGATTTTAATTTGGAGCAAGGACGTAGAACATATGTTCGTGCTACCAGTTTTAATTTGTCACTGACAAGGGCAGACTGATAAATATAAAATAAGTGAGGAAGAGTTTCAGTAAAAAGTGACGATGAACAAAAATACCCTGTTGTAGTTGTAGTTTCTTTCCATTCGATATTAATGTTATGGAAATGTTGTGTTATGTTTTAGTGCTATTTTGAGTCAGTTATGTTTTATGAATCCTTGATTGAGATGGGTGTTTCGGGCTACTTTTTATCCGGTATTTCCAACCTATTATAATGGAGATGCGCTCGCCATATATGCGGATACAAATCACTTGCCTACCCTTGACGGGGTTCGCTTTCGACCTCTATCTTTTCGGGCCCAATGTAAGGGTTACGTATAATTGAAACCTTTGCTTATCGTTGAAAATCTTATCGATTTCTCTTTTCCACACTTGCTCTTTTATCTTTCAATTTCTAACCACGTTTTCTTGGTTTTTTCGACTTGAAAAAACAATTATTGACAGTGTACTGAGTGTTTTTGATAAAGTTAATTAAAAGGCTTCAAAAAGGAACAAGGCATTAACCATTAACTGACACACTTATGCTTAGGGTGAATCAACGACTAAAACTACGCTAATTGGCTTATTAGCTAAATGGTTAGTAAAGTGTTGCAAGGAAAGTCAACTAAATTGCATGCATTGTTAATTAAATATTTATTATATGTTATTCATCAAATAACAGTATACGAATTTTGATCTATTTTTTGTGCCGAATGTTCTTATCCGTGTTTGCTTTTGCATATTGTTATTTTGGTGGCTTACTCGACTTACATAAACTATCTCATTGGTACAAAGTTAGGGTTATATCCTCTAGAAAATTGATACGAAACATTGTGTTCTTTTTTATTAAAAATCAGAAAATTAGAAATCAGTTAAAATACTTCGCTGTTTGTTGATTAAACTGGGTCTGTCATACAACTTCTTTCACTTTGAAAAATTAACCTTTCCTATGTACATTCTAGACATATTATTATTAATAATCATTATTGAACCACCACCACGTAAAGATTAGTCAAAAAATGTTAAAGATACATTAAGATTACAAAAAACAATGCAACTTACTCTTAGAGTTCGCTTTTTGCTCTCTCAATTAGTAAGAGAAAATGTTACTATGTAATTTACATGTGAATTTTCTCGGTTAAGTTTGAAAATCATGTAATCAATTGGGCGATTAATTTGTTTCAATAACATTGTGTCAAATGTTGAGGAAATAACTTAAGAGTCGTAGTTATATTACGATCATTTCAGAGGGTGATGGAAAGAGACGGAAAGGGTTTAGTAAACTACTTCCCGCATAGTATTAGCTGCTCTGATTTTGTTGGAGAGAACACAGGGCACCCAACGCCGGCCGTTTTAGCTATCATAATCCAAATTGCCTGCGTTCCTGATTCTTTATGAGTCGTTTTGGAAGGGATTTTTCATCTTAAGTAGTAAATATTAACTCTCCTCGTTAAATAGTGAAACCCGAGATTGTCTCCCAAGGAGAATTCATAGTTAATAATACAGTAATGGAGACGCTGTCGCTTGAACATTTGAGGTCATTAGGGTAAACCGCGTTCGATCTGACTCAAACTCTTCCAAAACGACTTAAAGACTCTGGAAGACAGCTAAATAACATCTGCTTATGATACAGCTAATGCAGCGTTTGCGTTCC